TTGTTTTTTATTTTCATACCATACATGAATTATATGGCCTTGCTTTATGCCAGCTGCTGTCCGAAAGTCAGAATACTGATTAATCAGAATTGGTAAATCTTTGGCAGAATGCTTATCAGGGCTCCCAGAGCCTGTAGATTTACCACCTGCTGAAGTATTCATTTCCTCATCCATACTCTTGATCATATATCTAGAGGAAAAGAAATCAACATTAATACTACTGTAAAAGTAGAATTTATTGTTTTAATACAGGCAAGTGTGTAGCATAATAAAGTAAGGGATAAGGAAATATATGCTTAAAATAATTTCTTTTCTTGAGTGGTAATTTATTATTGGTTATTAGCTTGATGTGCAAAAAAAACCCCACTGGCTTTCTTCAACAGCCTTTGACATATTTATACATCTTTTATTTTTAAAAGGCAATCATTCATTTGCAATAAACTCTACGATTAAGGAACAAGTGAACATTTATAAAGGCGACGCCGGCCCCCACGCCCCTATAGGTTTTCCGGTCTCGCCATATTTTTTTATTATAAAATGGCGTTATTGTGGTGAATCAAACACCCTTTTTTCGGTCAAAATACCACTAGAAAACGTGCCTCAAATTAGATGAAATCATTATTAACTTATAATATACATAATGTAATTTTTGAGAATACAAAGAGATAGCTTGATAAACTCACCTTTCTATCAAAAGTTGTCGTTGAAACACGCACAAAATTAGACCACGTTTCGCAATATTATAACTTGGAGAAGGAAGAGAGAAAAGTAATGCAGTTAGCAGTTTAAAATCACACATTATTTCATTAAATTGGTGAAAAGTTGGCCCGACTACGAAATTGAATCGATTACTTTAAAATCCCTATATTTTCTCACTATGTATTTCAATAAGGAAGATAATCGACGAAATTTTACAATAGCGAAATTCCCCGGTTGCCGTTCTTAAAGCAAGGTGGCGGCGATGCCGACATCGCTACTCTCTAGCTCAGGGAATGTGTGAAAAAGTTGCCTCATTGTGTTAAGGCTTATTTTATATTTTAATAGAACTAGATTAGGCCTAGACAGTGTTTCTTCCAGACTTTTTTCTCCGGGGGGGGCACTTGAAATCTTCGTGGGGGGCGGTAAACTTTCTTCGGGGGGGCGGACACTGTTAAAAGTATATATTTTCTATATAAATTATATAAATTTCATTTCGTTCGGGGGGGCGGTAAAAATTTTTGGGGGGGCAAAGCCCCCCCGAAGAGATGCCTGGAAGAAACTCTGGGCCTAGATCTATTGAATTGTTGGTAATCTATCGTTTTAGGTACGTAAAATCGCCCGCGATTAGTAATGTGAAAAACAGGCGACTCCTTAAATTTTAATAATTATTTCGCATTTTTAGGAGGATTTATGTTTTGAAAAATACAAAAATGTTTAGGCCCCTACCTACTTGTTTCATTTATGTACCTGTTTTTAAACAATTGATTAAAACTTTTCAGTAATAAATGAAGACTAGCGATGTTTCCAACAGATGCAACCATGCTCATTTATTATAACAGCCATCTTGTTTTTTTTTTGTTTTTTTTATTGTAAACTTATAGCGCAAGATTCAGGGGGAGCCACTCTAACTTACAGATGGCAGATTTTTGTATAGTAAATCATGCTCGCAAACACTGCTGTTTAAAGTTAATTTCTTACCTATATTGATATATTTAGCCACTGATTTAGGTTTATTATTCATTTATCTATACTATTTGACACAAATATAAATATATCACAATATACAATATACTTCTATTAAAGCCTTGACAATGAGGTAACATTTTCGTACAATACTAGCCGCGGCGATTTTACCTATCTAAAACGATAGATTACCGAATTGTTTTAGCCTAATCAGTAGTAAATCAGTAGTAATTTTAGGTAATTTAAAATTTGGCCGATGCTAGCCGGAAAAAGATTTGCATGCGCAATGGAGAGAATCTACGACTTGCCATCGCGGAGATGTTTTTGATGGTACTGCACATGCGTGTGTTTACAAACGCAGAACCCTAACACCAACCCTAATTCTAACCCTATCCCTAATCCTTACCCTAGCCAAAGGTCATGCGCAGAGCTATCTTTTGCCGATAAGTGGAGACGTTGAAAACATCACTAATCTTTATTTATTAGGCCTACTGAGAATAGTGAGAAGTTTTAATACAATTGCTTTAAAACAGGTTCATGAATGAAGGGTTGAAACATTTCTGTAACTTTTAGCACATAAATCTTTCTAAAAATGTGAAATAATTACAAAAATTTGATGAGTCACCCTTTTTTCACATTACTAGCCTCGGCCGATTTTACGCACCTAAAACGATAGATTACATAATTGTGATATATTTGTGTTAAATATTTTAGATAACTGAATAATTCAATAATAAACCAAATAAATGGCTAATACTACTGAATAGTAAATTTATCAATATTTTACTAGCCTCTGCCGATTTTACTTACCTATGGCTAAAACGATAGATTACCGCCCAGTAGCCTATACAGTAATCTATCATTTTTGGTTCGTAAATTTAAAACCGGCCGAGGCTAGTAATGTGAGATAAAATTGCTTAATTGTTTAGGCTTCGATAGAAGTATATAACTATATTACGATATATTAGTATCAAATATTAGCCTATTGATAATTAAATAATAAACCCAAATCAATGGCTAAATATATCAATATAAGCTAGAAGTTAACTTTAAACAGCAGTGTTTGTGAACAATATTCAATATTTGCTATATAGGCCTAAACAGCAGTCTTTTGTAAAATAGACTGGCTTTTTTTAATCTTCCGCTAAATCTGTAAGTTTACCAAAAATAAACTTAATTAAACAAGAAGGCTGCTGAAGTAAACGAGCTTTGTTGCATCTGATGAAATCATCACTAGTCTTTATTTATTACTAAAAAGTTCTAATCCAATTATTTAAATAAGGTACATGAATGAAACTTTAAAACATTTTTAGTAACTTTCAAAACTTAAATCTTCCTTAAAATGTTAAATAATTATTAATATTTAGGCCTAATAAAACTAATAAGTAATAAGAAATATTCTTTTTACATTACTTGCTTCGGCCGATTTTATGTACTTAAAACGATAGATTACCGCCTATAACTACTTTATTTACTTTTACCACTAATTTTAGTAATTTAGTCAATTTACTGCGATAAAGACTATTTGAGTCAATTTAAATTCTAGTGCTCATGCAGACCCAGAATTTATTTTAGAATCTAGACAATTTTAGTAATTTTAGAGAAAGCAGAAATACTTGAATGAAATAGATCTAGTGAAATACTTAGAAATATGCATTTGAAATTTGACACTCCATTATAAAAATCTGTATTTAGGCCTTTTTACTTTCTCATACGTAAAGTATAGAGGAACTAATGTAATTGTGCACAAATATCACATGGAATTTTGATAGTTTTCATCGTCTTACACCTCAGTACTTTATCATATTAGTCATATACGGAGTATAAGGGACTTATTTTAATCGGGCAAAAAAAATATGTAGACTTGAAATTTTTGGGGTTGTGGACTACAATTTTCGGGTGGCGGACACTGTTAAAAGTATATATTTTCTATATAAATTCCATTTCCATTGGGGGGGGGGGGGGTAAACATTCTTCGGGTGATAGACAATATTTTTTTTTAAAATTGGTCACATGTTGACACTTATTATTATTTACTAGGGTATCCATCATACAACCTAGTCCTGCACACCAGAGTGAACAAACATTTTAAAAGGGTTTCATCAACACATTGCCAATCATGTATTCTCAGATGTGTAACATTTTTTTTCTAGAATTGTGTTATTTAAGTGTAGTCAGCATGGCGTTATATTGCATCCTAGTTGTTGGGGCACGGGCTAGTCCAGATGCCGCTAGTGTAAACTAACCACCCTCTATAATTGTAAAGTAGAACATAACAAGCCAGGTGTCTGGCATTGACTGGTGTTCTCTGTAGCCACCAATTACCCCACAGCAACAATGCTGGGTGAGTCCTCTAGTTTAATTTAGTCATTGAATGTAGTGTCCTACTGTATCCCTAGTGTAGGGTGTTCTTTAAAACCAATTTACTACATTTAATGTAGGTTCCATAGTGCTCACAGTGGAGCCCTGGGTCACCAGATTGCCGGTGAGCCAGTTGACACATAGGGTTTTTATTAAGTCGTTCATTATAATAAGAGGGAGACCAGGGCACAAAATTGCACTCTGTCAGCACGCAGGAGGACACGCGTTATTCAATTTAGTTGCTAAGCCAATGCAAAAATTTAATTTTAGTTCAGCAATATTATAGCTAAAAATTTAGATAGAGGCTGTCAATCTGATTATAGATCAGTTTGAATTTTTTAAAAGCTGACCATAAATAAAAAAAGTTATGAATTTTTTAGTCATTAAAAAATAGCAGTTTTTTTTCAGACAACTGGGATAGACCCTGAAAGAGGAAAAATACTGGGTGTATGGACCAAAATTTTAAGTTTTTCACTAAAAGTAGTATCAAAGCAAGAAGACTTTATCAATTGATGTAATTTTAAGATATTTTATAGACTTGTATGCTGAATCCAATGATGCTATTTTAAAAGGTGTCCTTTAATTATACAACCGGCTAATCTCATAGATTATGTAATACCCTCCTTCAATTTTTTTTAAAACTTCTAATAATCCATGTGATAAGAAGTGATTTCTTTGAAATTTAAAACAATTTTAATGTATAATCTGACATTAACATAATATGCTGAAGCTAATGGTGGTATTAAAATGGATCACTATTGTTACATATCTATCAAATGTCAGGTTATGTAATCCGACCCTTTGCTCAAAATAGTGAACGATTTTAGTAGCCTATCGCATTCATAATGTGTCACATTCTTTGAAACCATTTACAGCTGTTTTGATTTTTATAGGCCTATTAAAATTAGCTCATTCATCGTAGCTTTCAAATGTTGTTTGTATGCTAAGTAAGTGATAGTGTTACTATTTTTTTTCAGTGAAATGCCACCTTCAAAAGCAAAAGCCCATTTAGCCAGAGCAAGAGCTGCCAAGCTTACAAAGAAACTCCAGAAACAGCATGATGGACCAGAATTTCCATCAACTGAAAATCCAGGAACTGACTGCCAGAACGCTGCATTACCAGTGGTTCCAGTTATAAGAGAATCTTCACCTGAGGGGAAGCAAAACCTTGCTGCCTCTTCAACACAGGAAACGCCTGATGTTGATGTGCCTGCAGATGAGGCAGTGTCATCATATGCACTGATTGACCTCAGCAGCTTAGACAAGATTGTCAGTGAGTTAAAATGTAACGCATGCTGTGAAAAGCTTGCATTGTCATGTGAGAGGAGAGCAGGTGCTGTGTTGATGTTGCAGGTTACTTGCAGTAAATGTAATTTGATACTCTCCAGCACCGCAACATCCAAAACTCTTAAAGACAGCAATCACTATGATGTTAATCGACGGCTGGTGACGGCTTTTGAGTACATAGGTCAAGGGCATGACGAGATGGAAGTTTTCTGTGAAGTGATGGGGATAGAGCCTATGCAAAACAAAACTTACGAATCCCACTTGAATGCTATTCGTAGAAAAAAGAAAAAAAGATGCTTCTACAAATAAATACTATTAAAACAACAAAAATTTGTATTAATTAATTTTCAGCATTGTATACATTATTAGCCAAATTTCTTATTACATACCTACATTTAAAAAAAAAAATTCCCTATTTTGTTCAACAAAAGGGAATTGCCATTATTTTATTTTTTAATATTTGTAGTAAATTTTAATTTTAAAAAATAATGAATGTAAAGAAGTAAATGTGTTCTTTAACTTTATTATAAAGTCATTTAGTCTATTAATTTCTATTTATGACTATTTAATTAATATTTCAAAAAACATTGTAAACTGCAATTGGAAATTGTCATTATAAATATTTCTGTTGAGACTTTTGTTTTTATATAGCAAAATATACCTTTAGATAATTGAGATAAAACAAACCCAAGATGTTTATGGTACCTGATAAATCTTAGTACTGTTACTATTACTCTCTATGACATGATTTCACATTACTTCTTTCTATAAATATTAGGAAAGGTGTTTTAGGTAGTCCAAATTAATTATGCATTTCACTAGAGCTTTTTTTTATTCCAAGATCTATGGTACCAATTTTGTCAAAATATCTTAACAAATAACAAACCAACATATACATATTCTCATGCATCTTCAAAAAGTGCCATTTTAAAGAACCAATTTTCATTTTTTACTGAAATTATTAACAGCATAGATGTCCAGGAATTTGTGTTTTCTCCAAAGTATGTAGTAGCTATGTCAAACTTTTTGTGGCATCCGATAAAAAAAAATAAATTAACGTGCACAAAGCAAATATTATTGGTCATTTATATTTTCAGCCCATAAATAGCATAGAATTACAAAAAATTTAAACATTAATAACAAATTTTGGCCTTGATAAACAATACAAAATATTACAATAACAGATATTACTTAAAGATAAATATAAGAACATGCTCTTGGTTAATTTGTCTTTATTGTACCTAGAAAAATTAGGAGATTACACAGGCACAAAAATGCCCATCATACAATATTTTTACAAAATAGGTTAAAAATTCATAATGAAGAGATAAATATTGCCACATAACTATTTTAAAAAAGTAAACCAATTTAGTCCTGTCAAAATATACACAAACAAAAATATCAAAATGAATTCTCAAGGTCTATACAACTAATTGGCAACTTTTCACAGAAGGGTGTACATTTTCACTATTAAAAAGGGTAAATATGACAAAAATTAAATAGACACTCATTTAATTATTATACATCAATACAAAGCAAAGTAATATAATAATAGAAACCTAAAGTAGATCCAATCAAAGGTCATTTTCTGATAAAATAACTTCTTTTAATATCATTGGGATCTATGTTCTATAATAGTGAAGTGGGAAATGAATGTACTGCAATTTAATATGCTATTGCAGCTGCACTTTTTAAACTGTTTGTAGATTGTTTTCAATTTCCAAAATGGTTTCCTTTTATAAATATTATTTTTCTAATGTAATGTGTTATCATATTGTCATCAAGTTTGTGTCTTATTTTGTTGAACAGCGTAACATGTAAAAAATGTACAGAGATGTTCTAAACCCATCACAATCTTAAGTTACAGATGACCTAAAAGGTTTTGATTTTAAAATGTAATTTATTGCTTTAAATTAAGGTAAATATAAAGTTCTTAAAAGGTTGTCAGTAATATAAAAACATTGTATGTAAACATAATTGATGACATGTTAACCATGGAATATAACAAAAATGAGCAGAAACCTTGCTTTTGGAGTTTGTTGTTAAAAAGGTCAATAAATGTGTTTTGTTAATAAAATATTTCATATTTTTGTATAATGTTTTTTTCAAACCTAACAGTTAAATTTCTCTATTGTTGATATTCATATAATAAGTAATGAATGTTTTAGTATTTTTACATTTTTTAGGAATAAAATTATATGAATATAAGTAAACAAAAATGTAAATTTTTTGTTTAACAATAACGAATCGATAAATAAAGTTATTTGTCATGTTATTTAAAGATTATTCTTTTAAAATCCATCACCTCATTTTTATAGAGTTAAAGGTATTTCAGGGTTAAATGTTGAAAGTAAAATTTAAATGATGGAAGATCACTGTAATTAATTATCAGATAATAGACATCCACATGTGACTAGATAGGGTTATGGGTAAAAAAAAAATAATCATTGTAATTAAAATACATTTTTAATTTATTTTAAATCAGTACGCTTGATTTGTAATAAATATGCATCATTTAACAATGTAAACATTATTTATAGACCTGCCTTAATTTTGACACTGCTTGTTGAACAAAACATCTAAAGCCACTTGGGTTGTATTTTTTTTAATAAACTGAACACTTGATGTGTCCCCCTCTATAATGAACGACTAGCAAGAACTTAAAAGCAGTGAATAAAATTTAAAAACAAAGATAGAAATTTTATACAATATGCCACAGTAAAAGTGTACATCGTGTAAGTATGTATTACATTATGGGTAGTACAAAATAGCATATAGAAGTAGTAATTATAAAACATTCAACTAGCATATAATACATTTTTTCTGTAAATAAATATGGTATTTTTTAATATAAAATACCTGCTACTTTAATAAATGACTAACTTTCTTATACCCCATAATTTTAGAGTACAGATAAGCTCAAATTATTGTATTATTTTTATGCACTTAAAATTGACAGTTTAAGTAAATGAAACTGACACTTTCAAATATAATAGAATCTGCTGGCAAAGAAAACTTTAAAAACAGTATTACAATAATTTATTTCTAGAGTAAATATAATCAAATAAATATAAAATGTATTGTACATAAAAATAGGCATGTTTATGTAAATAGTGGAATACTTAAGACAAAAATTTCAGGCATAATAGGCTAACATTGCACTTTTATACCTATCTACCATTAGATAGCTGGTTTTAAATTGTATTAAGAACACAGTAACAAGTATAAACAAGGCAAGCATTGGACTGCAACCCCCAGAGGAAAAGAAAAGTAGGCTGGCCCAAACAAACCTGTAGAAAAGGACTGTGAAAGAAGAAGCAACAGCTGCTGGGCTCATGAAGAGAGCTGCCCAATGAAGATGTGTAGATTCAGCCCTTTCTACCTCAATGGCTCAATTAAGTAACAAGTTTAAGCACCATAATTTGTAATTGTGTTAATTAATTACCCTTATGTTTTTTGACAACCAAAAAGTTAGTAGTGATGGTTAATGGTTATAGTTTTTTTTAAAGATAGCTTTTAGAGATAAACAGCCAAACTTCTAATTATTATATATATATATATCATATTATATATATATATGTAACTAGGGTAGTTACCATACTATGGTTAACAACGTATTACAGTCTGACGTAACAGTGCAGATGGTTTATTAATCGGATTGTATGACAGAAGCTGCGCAATTAATATTCTGATGCAACGATTAGAGTACGAATACGAGTATGAATATGAGTACGAATACGATTACGAATACGAAGGGATATATAGGAGGAACGAGGAAAATTATTCATACATACACGGTAGGAAAGGTCTTTTTTTTTTTACTCAAGCAATAAAAATTAGAATGTCTACTCTGGACGAGAAGCAGACCCATATTGTGGTCCTACCCAGAGAGTCCCACATTAACAAATTTTACGGGGACGGTGATCCAACTTTAACCAACAGGTTCAGTGAAGAGGTCAAAGCGGCCTGGGCCTCGAGATACATGTCACCAGAGGAAAGATTAAGACTGCTGATGGGCAGTATAGGAGAGACGGTTAGGGCAGAGGTCAAATGCCACGATAAAACCATCCAATCAGATCCAGATAAGGTGCTGGATCTAATTATGGAGACCTTTGGGGAGAGACGGTCGGGATCGCAACTGCTATCGGGGTTCGTAGGCTTAAAGCAGAGAATGGCGGATAGTGTGATGGAGTATTCACACCGAATGAACAGGGCCTTTGATTTGGTAAAGGGCAAAACACCTGACATTGATGTGCGCCTACTGAGGGACCATTTCATCGAGGGGCTAGCAACCCCGATCTTAAGGAGAGAGTTGAAAGAAGAGGTCTACAAAGACCCACAGTTGACCTTCCTTCAGGTCAGGAACTCAGCGATCCGCAGGTCCGAGGATGAGGACCAATCGAACTGTTCGGTAGACAAAGTCTCTGTGCCGGAACAGAAACAATCCCCACCCACAGGGACCGGCACGATGGAAACCATGATGGCTCAACTGTTGGCCCACCTGGATAAGGTTGACCAACGATTGGAGAGGTTAGAAAGCAGGTCAACAGCAGAGAATCAGGGCAAAAACGGGACAAAACATAGACAGGTTGGACAGCCGCGACCTGCTGGTCCATCACTCCGGTGGACAGCTGACGGTCGACCAATCTGCCTGTCCTGCTCACAACCCGGACATATGGCACGGTACTGTCCGGTGAAACGATCGCCCTCTGTAAGGCAGGTCAAGGCTACAGAGCGGCGAGGTTATGGCTTAAGAAACAAAATGGGACAAACAATGAAAGAGTCTCAAACAAGACTCGAAGAGAAATTATCAGATATTGAAAAAATGAACTGTGAAATGAACTTGGATGTTAAAAAGTTTCAAGTGAACAATTTGTTGGCTAAGAAAAATGATGATAAGGAAGAAATTGGTAGACTTAATAATGGGATCTCAAGGTTAACCATGAAACTGGATAGGGAAAGTTCATGCAAATTAAAAGCACAGGAGAAATGTTCATCTTTAGAGTGTCTGTTATCTGAAGAAGAAAATAGAAAATTTGTACCTGGTTTTGCAAAAATTGCCGCACCGTTGCATGACTTGGTAAACAAAATGACAAAGAAACACAGTAAGGAGAAAAAGAAAGGTAAAACACAACTGATAGGTGAATTATGGACTGAGGAATGCCTGAACTCGTTTAAGCTACTGAAAAAGGCTTTGACAGAGGCGCCGATATTAGGATACGCAGACTTTGACAAACCATTTCGGCTAGAAATTGACGCCAGCTCTAAAGGTCTGGGAGCTGTGCTATCACAACAACAGGAGCAAGGTTTCAGGGTTATTGCGTATGCCAGTCGAGCTCTGAAGGAATCAGAGAAGAACATGACAAATTACAGCGCCATGAAACTAGAACTTTTGACATTAAAATGGGCTGTGACTGAAAAATTCAGGGACTATCTATTAGGTGCTAAATGTGTGGTATACACTGACAATAACCCCCTGAGTCACCTACAGACAGCACAGTTGGGATCCATCGAACAGCGATGGGCAGCAGAATTGGCACTCTTTGACCTAGAAATAAAATATCGCCCGGGGCGGTCCAATGGCAATGCGGACGCTTTATCAAGGAATCCTTACGAGAGACCGGGTGATGAGGAAGAAACGCTGACAGGAATATGTGAGGTCAACAGAGCGTCAACAGATATCCCTCACGGGGTGCAAGTGAAGCAAAACGGGCAGACTGTGGTGGAGCACACATCCACAGAGCCCCGACATATGGACATCAGTGATTTTAATTGCCTTAATAATAAAGAGATAAGAGATGCCCAGAGAACGGATAGTGGCTTACAGCCGCTGTTGAAATACGTCCAGGAACAAAAATTCCCAGGAAAAAGGGAAAGAGAACAGTTTGGTCGGGAAACAAAGAAACTACTGAGTCAGTGGGACCGTCTCAGCATAAAGATGGTGTTCTCATGCGGAGAATTCATGACCAAATAGACGGGACAATACACCAGGTGGTGGTGCCTGGACAGTTACGAGAAGAAGTGCTAAGGTTGGCACATGACAGGGCAGGACACCAGGGTCAGGACAGGACGCACAAAATATTACGACGGCGGTGTTACTGGCCCAATATGGAGATGGAGGTCAAACGCCATTGTGAGGCTTGTGTGAGGTGTCAGCATGCGAAAATGCCAGTTGTTAAAATAAGACAGCCACCAGGACACTTACTGGCGACAAAACCACTAGAGATTGTGGCTATGGACTTTACGTCGTTGGAGCAATCATCGGATGGGACGGAACATGTGTTGGTAATGACTGATGTATTCACCAAATGGACTGTTGCGGTGCCCACACGAGATCAGACGGCCAAAACAGTGGCAAAGGTCTTAATAGAACATTGGTTCATCAAATATGGCATACCAAGACAATTACACTCTGACCAGGGAAGGGCCTTCGAGTCAGAAGTAATTAACCAACTGTGCAGCCACTACGGGATCAACAAATCTAGAACAACCACATATAATCCTAAAGGAAACGGACAGTGCGAGCGGTTCAACCGCAGCATGCATGATTTGCTGCGTACTCTAGAACCTGAACAGAAAAAACGTTGGCCTGATTTTCTCCCAGAGTTGGTATATCTTAACAACTGCACCCCCCATGCCACAACCGGCCTTTCGCCACACATGTTACTGTTCGGACGGGAGGCTCGACTCCCTCTTGACTTGTTCCTAGGACAAAAGGAAAGTATGACTGGCTCATACACCGCACTAGAATATGTGAATGAACATATGAGACGAATTAGAGAAATGTACAGGGTGGTACAGGAAAGACTAGAACATGAAGCACGGCGAAGGGAACCGCCGGTACAGACAAAGGACCCGCCACTCAAACTGAACGACAGGGTATTACTGCGTAGCCACCCGTTAGGCAGAAACAAAATCCACGACCTCTGGGGACAGGAGATACGGCAAGTCGTGGAGATGCCTAAAGTAGCAGGTGGCCCCTTTAAGATAAGACCCACCAATCACATCAAACCGGATCGGTGGGCGAATATTGCTCAATTAAAGAAATATTGGCATAGTCAAGAAGAGCATTTACATACAAAGAAACCTAAGACAATTAGTGAACCGGAAACTACAACGGAAATTCTCATACCCATCCCGGAAATATGTCACCATCAACAGCACAACAGCGATACACAAGTGGACAATAACTGCAACAATGAGGATCCCGGTCCTCCCAGAAGCAGAGACACAGTAGAACAGCAGATAAGTGGTCCGCGGAGAAGTTTGAGAAACAGAAAGAATACGAAATTTTTCGTCAGCAACCATCAATTCTTTCATGGTCGCGCTGGTATGAGAACAGACTGTTCAAAAAGTTATAAAAGTGAACTGGTGAAGGCACCAAACGAAAAAAGGTGGATGTGAATTCTAGAACTGCGTTGTGTCTGAGGAATATGATGAAGACACATTTGACATGTTGAAATAGGGATAACTGTCAATCTTATACGAATGTGACGACATTGACAATGAGTTGAACAGTTAAATTTTTTTTACGGTGTTGCGTTTGACATTGAAGGAGTGCACCTGCCAAGCGTTGTTTGTGGTTGAAAACACACAAAAAAAGGCGGGGGTGGATGTAACTAGGGTAGTTACCATACTATTGTAAGAACGCATTACAGTCTGATGCAACGATGTGGATTGATGGCGATCGCAAAGCCGCGGCGCAGTATGACAGGCTGATGCAACTAGTGGAAACTATTGCATATACGAGGGGATATAATGAGACGGTGAACTGTAGATACGGACAGTTGAGAAGGGAAAGCCGAACTGTAGAGACGTGTTGAGTAGGAGTGGCAGTATCAAGTTGGTTACTGAACGTTGTAGACGTATTGTGTTAATAGGGACGATAGACATGTGCATTCGGTTATGTGAAGACTAGTGAGGACGGTTGGGGGTCAGTTGATTCATTCTATTATTGTGAAGCATTTCTTTTGATTCATGTAATAAAAGGATCAATGGTAAACCTGCATCTTCGAGTATCTATATTGTGGTCGATGTTGTGTAGAATGAGTAAATACACTCGTTAACATTTGGCACTACAAGCAAATAGACTCGTTACATTTATATATATATATATATTATATATATATATATCATATTATATATATATATTTATATCATATATATATTTATATCATATTATATATACATATATATGTATATATATATACATAAAGATAAATGTATACATATACATGTGTGTGTGCGTGCATGCATGTGTGCACACATGCATGCGTGTAAAACTATTGCCTCTGTTTGATTTAACCTTTGTACCCATCACCCTGCCTGTGACTTAAGCTACTGATAAGAGCTTTCATATTATCTCTATTTTAGGCTAATCTCTCTGTCTGCAGATGTATCCTATTTTTCTAATGTTGTCTTCTTTCAGAGCAATTTGGTATGAGAGTTAGTTTAATGTTAAGTTTGTTTCTAACGTGGTAGACATCAGTAAAAATATACAAAGAGAGACTTCTAAGGTTTTAGTTTGAAAAACACAGAACATTATATTTTACAATAGATTTGATTGATTAAAATAAAAAAAAAACTCACACTAGTTTTATAAATAATATAGTAACAAATAATATATAAAATATTGTGTCTGATATGTAATTGAAATGTTCAAAATGTAATGTTTGAGTGTAAGGACAACACATGTTTCTGATTTATTTCAGTAGACTTCATACTTAATAGTCACAATAGTAAAAAGGAGAATTACACTTAATTAACAAAACACTAAATTTTAATAGCTGCAATAGTAATCTGAAATATGATACATGCATGTTATATTATTAATACTATTGCTGGGAATGTTAAGTAGAGTTCACATAATGAGATGCTCGGACTGTTTGTTAAAATTCATTTCAAAACATGTCTATAGAAATCTTCATTTTAATACTAATATATAACAGTTATTTTAAAATGCTTTAGGAATAAAAGTACATAAATAGATACTTTTCAAAATATGTATGTGAAAATATGATTAAATAAAATGGTGCCCTTTCTCATGCTTTACACAAATCTCTTTAAAGAATATGCCCTGTTATAATCTCTTTTATTTATGTGTAAATGTAACAAGGTTAATTCTTGAAAGTAAAATATATTCAAGGGAAAATTACTGACTGCATTAATGAGTAGAAAAAAAGCCATTTTCTTATGGTATTTTACTAGATGGGGATACATGTAAAAAAAATAGAATCTATAGCTTTTTAAAGAATTATATTTTTTAATTAAAACATGTTTAGCCCATTTTATTATCTTTGTTGTGACATGCCAGGCACTTGAGCTAACCCCCTCCACAGAGGCATAGCGAGGGGGGGGGGCGGGGACATAAGTCTCCGGGCTCCGATCATAGGGGCGCTAAAATGGGTTGGAAAAATAAATTGAAAGGTTAAGGGGGTGGGGGGTGCATATCAACAGTTTGAGGGGTGCAAATCGAAATCTTGAGGGGTGGGGGGTGCAAATCGAAAGTTTGTCTCTGGGCGCCGGGAAGGGTCGCTACGCCTCTGCCCCTCCACTCACCCCCCAGGACAGAGGTCCCCAAAAGACACCTGGAGGTTGAGTCTTCTTAAAGAACTGTAAACTGTATGCATGAGTTGCTAGACTGCTATATCAACAGCAGGGGACCAGACACATTGTACTGCCATGGTTGAGTCTCTAAGCTCCACAAGGAGTAAAGAGGATTTAGCCAAGCAAGCAAATTATATTTGTAATTTATCATCATCATCTTTTCACTTTTGTGTCGAGGACATCCTGGGCCACCACAGAAAGCTCTTATAATTTTAATTAACATGCATTACTCAACCTTTTGAACGTGATTTTAAGAATGGCAATTATTTTTAAAAGTGCCTTTTGAACCTAAGCCACGATGGCTAAAATTAAATTAAATTCTTTTTTTTTTAAATGAACTCTTAAATAACGGAGAGTCATTATTTAAAATACATGACTGAAGCAGTAAATAAAATAAAAACAACAATACAATTAAGTAATACAATAATTTAAATAATACAATATGCAACAATCAAACATTTTGTTTTTGAAGAATCACAAAATAACATCAGGTAAGTTTTAAGTATATGGAGCATACAACATGAAAGCAAATGTAATTGTTCTGTAAAGGAATAAGTCATCCTCAATCTTTTTAGAGTTCAAATTTTAAATATAGGTTCGTTTTAAGTACTTGTAATGGAATAATCAAGTAATTTAAAAAAAAACACACATTAGCTCAAGAAAATGCTTGCAAAAAAGACTTGTTTAGATTTATTTCTACTGTTTCTAGATTAAATGTAACATAATTAATATAAAATGTGCACAAATAATGCAATATTAAAGTGAATAGAAGAACAGTAAATCACAAAAGTTATTTTAAATTAACTAATTATCTTCTTTATTAGCACTACACACTTAGAACAATGATAATTAGTAATAAGGGTATTCATTAGATATAGCTTTTGGGAGTATAAAGTCACACTTTGACAAATACTAAAACGGCTGGTAGCAAAATAATATTGATAGTATTTACACATGATAAATCATAATTCTATCTAAAGTTAACTTTAAACAGACCACAGGAATTAGATCAAATAGGCCTACATCAATTGTGGGCTACAAGAAAAAAATCTGATGAAACACAAAATATAAGGCAATAATAAATTTTACTTGCTACAGGTCCTACTTAAAATGCTGGTAGCAAAATATGTTGTTGATAATATTGATAGTATTTATACGTAATAAATCATAATTCTATCTAAAGCTAGCTTTAAACAGTTAACGGTAATTAGATAAAGTACATGAATTGTAGGCTACATGAAAAAAATCAGATGAAACACGATATATAGGGGAATAATAAATGTTACTTGTTATGGGCTGTACTTGATAACTTCATCTAATACAGAGAAAAAAAAATACAGTTTCTGATAATGCAGATGTTTAATTTGCTGTAAAAAAAATCTCATTTGTTGTAATTAAAATTTCATGTAGGTTTATCAACTAGAGATAGTTGGGTCCAAAATACATTTTACTCTCTTAAATAATTAAAAGAGTTGATGTGGTCAAATGTCAGAGCACTAGACTGCTATCCTGAAAGTCTCAGGCTGGGAACTCAGACTCGAGTCTGTAAAACACACACTGATAGGCTCCTGCCTCTTATTTTGGAAGTAAAGGTGGCTGGACACAGTGCTGACCACACTATTCTTACATGTACTGAGGTCATAGAAAAAGGTGAACTACATCATTTTCCCCATTGACCACCCAGTTCAAACTTTGATTTACACTATCTCCGTGTCATTGAAACAGGCAAACTCTATTTCATCTCCCCTGTGTGTCTTAAACAAAAATGGGAAAGGATGATGATAATAATTAAACTATATAGAATTTAAGGCAGCTATTAAATTTTAAATTATTTTTTTACCAAAATTGTTAAAAGTCAATTTCAAGCCGTCTTCCACACTAGAGCCCACATGACCATTGCCAGGTACAAGACACAATAAGAAGACATCAGCTTGCAGACATTGTTGGTGGAATCTACAAGAGGCATTCAAGAAATTTTTGTTTTAATAAATACCAAGATACTACAGTGGGTTAATTTTCATTTGAGTGTACTATTTATTATATAAGCTGGGAAATCCAAACCCGTTACCTCACAATGCTAGTAACATTATATTCTATAATAAACATACTTTATTTTTATGCAATATAAACTTATTATTCCTATAATCTGATCATAAAAGGCTGTAAAAAATAAATAGTAAGTGATTATTAATAGAAGTCCAACACATTTCAACAATTTTGTGATAGTGTCTATTAACCGTTGAGTATTCATGTTAAAACAGATTACAGCTATCAAGTTGTGAACTAAGCAATTAGTTTAGCAACTTTTTATCTAAAGTAATTTAATCCCTCCAAGAAATAATATAATAATAATAATAATAATAATTATAATAATAATCATAATAATCGTAATAATCATAATAATCATAATAATCATAGTAATCATAATAATCATAATAACCATAATGTGCAATTAATTTTATTACCAGCAGTTTGATACACCAGTTAAAAAAACCTACTTGTATTAAATTTTTTATAAGTTTTACGCAACATAACTCAAGATATAAAACATTACATACTTGCCAAAAGAGGGGAATATGGTATAAATTTTTTTACTTCATAATAAGTCTCCGGTCCACAAAAAAATACTTTATGTTTTTCTGTAGAGTGAAAAATATAAAGTTCTATAATATGTTAAAATATAAATATTTTTATTTGATAAGGCTTAATTATACCCTCGTCGAGTTTATGTAATAATTAGAATATAATTAGATTACAAAAAGCACAACATTGAAATGAGTAAATAAAAAGTGCATCTTACAACTGTAATTTTTTAAATGCAGAAAAGTGTATTGATGGAATTCGGATCTTGTAATTGCTTTTTTAAAATGATACGTTTTACTATACCAAGAATAAAAAGAACAATGTCAAGAGTAAAGATGTTTCATCATACTCTGTATAGAGATGTGTAAGAATGTATTGACTTAAGCAAACTTTTTTTTTTGTCTAGAAGACTGCTACAGCACTCTCAAAAATACATCTGAGAAGACACTCAGGTCATATTAGATTGTAATACATCTATTCATTTTTAACGGCTATACAATATTTTCAACTAGTCTAGTTCAACTAACCAACATCTTTGTATGAAACAACCAGCCTGCTATCTTGTGTTCCAGGAACAGCTTTTGTCAAATTTGTGATGACTTCCTTAAGTCCATTGAAGTACCAGTTAGCATAGCCTCCGATTCCATAAAATTGGCAGGTACAGGTCCTAGTTTCTCCAGGATACATGGGTTCAGAGCTCTGAGATTCACAGGTCGGGTCCAATTCTGTGTGGTCAATTACTGGAAGAAAAAGATAAATTCAATAATGTTCGTGTTGTATCCATATCTGTCTTTGTCGTGGAGAAGGACGAATTAGATACAGTAAATGCATTCAAGCATACGCTAAACGAAAGGGACATTATGGTCGGATGTTAGAGCAATCCAATGTCACGAGTTCAGATCGCTGGCACCATTCTGTTACATCCCTGAGCCATACAGGCTGTGATGGGTACCTAGCTCACGTAAAGTTAATAATGGCAACCGACAGAAGTGCTGACCATACTATCCGTTCCCATGTCAAGATCACAGAAACATTACTTTATGCATTTAACAAGGGCATGCTTTATAAATGTAAAATACCAGATACAAAGTGACAGTCTATTAATTATAAGGAATTGTGAATTTTAAAGGGGTAGGCTCCAGAAAAAAAAACAACTTAATTTATGTAATCCCTGCTAGGGGGGGGGGGGGGGGTTACACTATCTACCTTCCCTAGGCTTATCTAACTAATCTGTCCGGCCAGTGCAACCGTGGTAGAACCCACGGTGGTTAAACCCTAACTTTAATCTAGATGAACACACACAACTTTAAAAATTTAATAAAATTTAATACATTTAAAAATGGAACCAGCAATAAAAACGTAAAAAAAAGAATACATGAAAATAACTACATATACAAAACAAAAATTAACAAAACACAACTAATTTAAACAGATTTTAACGTAACAAAACACTCAAATTCGGACTACCGTCAAGAATTTGATTCACTTATTTAAACATTTAGATTAAGTTTCTTTGACTTATGACGTATCGGATGGTCCAGGATCTGACTCACAGACTTCCACCCTTCATCACGACATCCAAAAGCAGACACTTAGACACCCCTGCCGGAAACTGACTTTCACGCACCTAGCACACTACACGTAAACAAATAGTCCCTAATTCACAGATAACAAACAACACGCCACGAAATACGACAGAATTATAGAAAAAGACACTTAAAATAAGCATTGACAACAATCTATATACATAATTCACTTCAGGGAGACGCTAGAAAACAAGCTGTAAATGCGCTCCCTACCATCCCCACCCCAACATGGTCTTAGTGAGCTGTGGTTCACGCTATGTTTACCTTCGTGGAGTCGGGTTTAGTGACGGCCATTAGGGGCAGATAATTTAGTTTGAAACGATTTTAAACGTTGGGGGAGGGGGGGGGGGGAAAGGGGGGGGGGGGTTATGTTCCTTAATGAGCTACTTATAGTGTTTTAAAGAAATATTTTCAGTGTCAGCGTTGGTACTGTCGAATTCACAAATTATGAATTACTGAAAAGTAGAAAAAACAATAACTAAATAGCTGCGTTTGTTATCCCGCGGGCCGGCTCGTAAAAACAAAATAGCTGTAAACAGGGACATAAACAGTTACACAACATGAAACGAAACGATACATTCGCCTTTTAAGTTACATATAAATAATAATGACAACACTCTAGCCGCTCACATTCACTTAATTGTGTATATGTAATTTAGGGCACTAAAAGGAACATATTTGCAAGAATCAGAGACTCTTTTGAAAATATGGTTGCCTTGGCAACGGCAATCATTTTGAAAAAAAATCTTTTAACGAGTTCTAAAATTTCATAAATTAATATATTTATCGGCCTTATGATCATTGATTCTTCTTTTACTAACGCTAATACAATTGGAAAACACTCTAGAAATTTTTTTTTGCAATTTTCAAAATTCGTTATGGTGAAAAAAATCTTTAAAATCAATACAAAATTAAATAGTAGAATAAGTTCCACTTCCGTTTACCGGAAATGGCTGAAAAGTTCATACAGAACTACAAAATTAATGTTATACTTATAACGGTATATACTGTAACGGTACTCAAGTTATCTTGTTCACAGACATACACATACACAGACCTACTGACAAAATTGCAAAACTATGTTTTTCCGACTCAGGAGGTGTAAAACGTCGAGACGTGAAAATCTCGATTTCGATTTTTTGCACGATTATAATACTTCCTCTATACTTCGTATTCGAGAAAGGCTTACTATTTAAAACGATTTTTTCCCGTTTTTTCCGGAGCCTACGCCCTAAAATTTTACTTTTAAACCTATTTAGTAAAATATTAATGCACACTCAATCGACTGCTGTGTGTGGAGTGAGAGATATGATTTATATGTATGCTTACTTGTTATGTGGACAAAAATATCAATCTGTACCTGCTATCTACTCTTCTGCAACTTGATATTTATCCAATAGAACTCAACTATCTCTATACTTAATATTCTCCAACACTGCTTTACTAACAACTATTCAGCTATATGAACAGCAACTAACACGATATGCTGACCAACTTTCAACCCCTAAACTAAATTTCTGATGCTATCTATCGCCAGCCAAACAGCCTGTGGCTGATGAACTCCCTTCACCCATTGAACGTGCTATAGGCCTTTCTATTGGCTCCTAGCTACTGAACACTGGCTTCTAATGCCGATTCTAAAATAACTACGATAATTGATCCATTTCTAATTTTTGCTTAAACTTTCATCACCACATTGTGCATATCGAAATGATCCAGCATAAATAATTAGCTTGGAATATTTTTGATATCTAACACAAACGCTCATAAAATTAAGTAAACACCTACCATATTGAGATAAACCAGACGAGCTTCTTTTAACTTGAATAACCTGAGAGCCGTTCATGAGAGACATGTTTACAGAGTAGTAGTGGAGTTCTAAATAAATAATTTCCATTGGAACAGTCAACATGCACCAGTCCTTGCATAACCCACTGTCGTATTCAGTCGTGTGATTGTTGTAGGACACATTTCCTATGGGATATTCCGGTGCACCCTGCAAAAATTTTTGGGTGCCATTACATTTTAATAATAGCTACAGAAAGAAAAAAAATTACGTCCTTGAGTCCACCTAGCTGATGGGTACTTGACTCACGTGAGGAAAGTGAAAGTGATGGGACACTGTGCTGACCACAGTATCCCTTTCTATACCGAGGTCATTGAAACAGATGAACTCTTATTCACCTTCCTTTTGGCCCATTAAGTTTGGAAAGGTAACTTCACAACAATAAATATTTTAAAATCATAAACTAAAAAGGCGAGGGAGACAAATAAAATAAAATGCATGGAAGAAATGAAGGAATGAGCAGCATTTTGTGTGTTAAAGCATTACGAAAAGGTCAACACTGGTGCCCCAATCAGTAGCGGAGCAAGGTCGGGTGTCACCCTGTGTGGCACCCGTTTCACTTGCAAAAAACTTTTCATTTTGTCGTAAATTACAAACTTATGTTTCCCCTCGACTCAGAAGTGGATTTACAATAAGTTATTACACTTTTCAACAAAATATTTTTCCTCAGGCAAATTTTGCAACATTTACTTGATGTAACTCTCCCCTCCTCCATTCCCCACCCTCACGCTAATACCTTTAAAATGTGCTCAGATAATACTCAAGTTTGTATCTAAAGTCTGTTATTAATAATACAGTTGGATGTAGCAGCCCCTACCCTTGATGTAACTCCCCCCCCCCCTCTCCCCACCCCCAGGCCCCAATGACCTATAACGGTTAATAAGCGCTAGGTAAAAGAAAAAAAATAACATACCGACATATAGAGCTTAAAATCACAGCTGATATTATATATCATCAATTCAGTGCAGCATTTAACTGTCTCGACTTTGCGATCCTCACTTGATGAATAACAATAAATATAATCTAGTGAAGCTGGATACAAAACAAAAAATCTATTATGCATTTTTATGAATCACTGAATTGGTATTTTAAAAAATCAAAATCACAGAATAACTTATTAGAGCTCATTATTCCCAAACTAAGTACCCCACAGTTTGATTCAAAATTAAAACAAACTACACATTTGATCCATATTCTGCAGATTATCGAAATAAAATAATGCACAATTACTTTTAAAATTGCGTTTAATGTAGAAATTGTATTTAGTAAAATATTAAAAGAAAATATATTGCTTGAACAAAGACTACATTACACACCATTATGTCTCAAAATTTAACTTTAAACTACAGACTGTGAATCTCAAAACAGTTGCAATTAAAACTGTGTTCTGCTGATTAAGAATTCCTTACAGGGTGAGTTACAGTTTATAAATAGTCATAGTTATTATTTTAGAAGGATAATAGTGCACTACATGGTGAAGAGATTAAAAGAACAAATTTCATAGAGTAAACATTTGATAGACGGAAACATTTGCGAATACAATTCATGTCAGATTTCCTAACAGAAATAATTGTGTTCAAAAGCAGAAGTTTTTTTAGTATAGGAAAATGTGGAGATGTTTGATGCTGACATATTTTTTTTTTCTGATAGTTATATTTGAGTTTTTGCTGAAAACAACAATGAAGCAAACACCTTGTGTAAGGTCTTTCTCTTATTGTATGTGTCCACTCACATTTTATTTCTATCGTAACTAAACCACTGATGTTCATTTTTCCTCCATCTTCTGTACCCAGGGTCATTATGGCTGAAATTTTGTGGTCACCAGGGCCTAGTGTCAAAAGTGGAATTTGAAGGCTACAGTTGTTCTGGAACGATCCATTCACAAGTGTCGAGTGGATTTCAGTAGCATTCTCAATAGCAGTAAGGTTATATAAGAAGGTATCATTTGATGACTGTATAGATAAATAGATCAGTTCAACGTTCTAACAAAAAGTTCATCGCTATTTTAAAATTACATAAATACCCTAGGCGAATGCAATACCAAGCTTAACTACAAATAAATTATTTTTAAATGATGAAAACTTTTTTTTTAAAACTTATCCATTTTGACAACTTACAAAATATCCATTTTCAATATAAAATTCGCAGTCCTCCATTTTGTACACAGACTCTGATGAACAATTTATGAAGGCTATTTTGTTGTAGATGTCATATTTACAGTCGAGACGCATCACTGCAGCTGAAAGATAAGTTTGTTAAATATTTGTTTTCATTTAAACTGTAGATTGAGTGAAGGTAAAATAAAAGGGTATTCGTAAGTGAAAAATAGTGTTGCCACACTTTCTAATATTACTGGGCTAACGCCTCTTCTCCTCACACAAGTCCTACCATCAACCTTTGATTGTGATGGTTTTTATGGAAGACCTCCATTTTTATTTTAAAATATATTGATACATTTGTTAATATTAAATGTATGCGAGCCTGATAATAATACTGAAAAACTATTGTAATCCTTCAATATCAACTTAGTAGAATTTAGATAGATGTACATGTAGACCTTCAGGCTAGTCTTAGTCTCTGGAACTTACCTGCAGTGTTAATGAATAGGCACATACAAGTCAGAAATGCTGTAATTTTGTTTAGACTTGGCATTGTTGAACTTGTAAGTCTTGAAATTTTAAAACAGATCAATAGTATAGATTAGTCTAAATGTTAGTATTTATTAAAACTTTTAATAAAAGTATTTGATCTAATCTACACCTAATCCTATAAAATTAATATTTGATAAAACATAGTAGAACAATGAACTCACGAGCTAGATGTACTTCTTACTAGATTTAGATGTAGTGAAAAGCTAAATAGCTAATAACATATATTTAATAAAACATAGTTTTTTGTACGCTATTTATCATGAATAAACCAAACGCCAAAATATGGGTTCATATTTGAAGGCCTCAGATATCTGTTATCTTTTAAAATTAAGTGATAAGCTCGTACGTCATAGTACATTGTGTAATGTGTCAGACATAAAATCTAGTCCAAAGTTTAAATCGATGTAGTCTAATGAAATTTTAATTGTAGAGATTAACAACAACACGGGAGCATTATCAGATATGTATTCATTATGGGAGAGCTGTAAGGTGTTACTGCAGATTAATGCTACGCAAAAGTAAAAGTAAACATTGGGACGGGGGGGGGGGGATTTTTTTTCTGCAGTTACCAATACTTGTTGCAGACCAGGCTATGATCTTGCAGTCTTGTTGCCTAGTCGCCGGCCGAATACGTGGCTGACACTGGCTCGGGCACTAGCCAATAAGGCCGTCGTTGTCTAGGGGTATTTAATTATTCCACCCGAGTCAGCTACAGTAAAGTAATCAACGGAACAGGAGACCTTAGTTTGTGCTGTTTATTAATTCGCTGAATCATTGTTCCGCTGAGCGAGGCTTCCCCTAACCGTTAAAGTCTGGAAGGCTTGTTCGAGAAAGAAAGAGAGAGACTAACTAACCTGCCTGTATTTATAACCCTGTCTTAATCCCCTAGCTGTTCCCACGGGACAATGCGCTCAAAACTTGTGAACCAACACATTATCCCCCCTGGTGCTAACAACCCTGGCTACTGGTCAGTATAAATACTACTATTGTCCTGCCAGAGCGGTCAATCTCTTTGAACGTGTCACCTACTGTCCATCCCTACTGTGTACCCTGTAATCTTGTGAATAGATGCTTGTGGAATTATGACCCAACAATAGTGTTATAGTATACAACTACATTTAGTTAATGAATTACAAGAGTAAAATTGTTTGAGTGAGGACTAAGGAATTTAGTTCCACATAAGCTTCAACTACTAAATGTATTATAAAGAATGCATCTGCCAAACTTTGTCAAGTAATATACAAAGACAGGCAGTAAACCTATATTCTTTTGTGGTGATGTTAAATTGTCAACACAGGATATAATTTTGCGATCAGTTTTTTCCTAATGACTCAAGTTATTAAAATGTTTCCATGGGTATAAATAAAATGCCTAGGATACGGAAACAATTGAACTATACTTCAATTGTTCCATAGACTGTCAGGTTTGAATGGGAACTTTACTTCACTATGGGAATATAAAATTATGGGTATATAAATATATGGGTATATATATACACTCACACACTCACACACACACACACACACATATATATATATATATATATATATATATATATATATATATATATATATATATATATATATATATATATATATATATATATATATATATGTAGCCTATACTATATGTAGAAAATAGGGCCTATATAAAATCATATATATATATATATATATATATATATATATATATATATATATATATATATATATATATATATATATCCCTAGCACTAACCATAAACCAAGTCCAACCATAAAACCCTAAAATGAAATTCTGACTGACCATAACACTATATCTGTGTAGGCATATGGCAATTACAGGCCGTGAATACACTGAAAATGTTAAAGCGAGCCTTAAACTTCCAATTGCAAGTTGACACACGTACATTCCAACCCCCATCTTGTCTCAAAGTTAGAATTTGAAAGCATTGCTCATTGCATGACAGTATAGACTTACTTATTACTTTGATCAAATACTTAACGAATTGAGTTGTGAATTGAAGCTACTAAAAAATGCTGTTCTACAGAAACATTAAAGCAAGTCGAATACGACTTTACCACCGACTTTTCAAAGTTGATTTTGAAGCTTTGGAATTTAGGTGAGTAAAACATATTTTATGAAAATTTTGTTTCTATTTTTGTCTAGTGTAAATCTCTAGTAAAGGACTACACACCAGTAACATTGCTTTCCATCAGCTACTTTTTAATACAAAATTATGAAAAAAATCTGGGGCAAGTTGATACACTGGGTTAGCTTACAAATTACATTGGTTTGCTAGGCAACATAACATGTTTTCTTTTTTCTATGTTTTAATTATTTGAAATGTTGTAATTAAACAATTAGTCTTATCTGTACCATAATGACCATAATCTGCTGAGTTTAAAAAAAATGATTGTTTGCTCAATTCATGAGAAATCATATTTGTACTAATGGCCTCATTAGATCGGTTGTCACCAATGTGGAGCTTTAAAGTGTATTTCTCTATAACTTGTTACTACTATTACAAATGTGAAGAGCTTTATTTTCTATATATATATTTTCAAAAGGGTGTCTCCACGTACGTTTCTCTTTCTCTCCCACCCACCCCCCCCCCCCCCACTGGACAAAATTACTCGTGCATCAAACTCATGGAATCTTATCAAGAAAAATGTGTAAATACGGGTTGATAAACTAAGGCAACACGATTATTAAGTTTAGTTTAATTAAAGTTTTGTGACTTGATCATGCTGTCGTATCTTTGTGACTTTTTACTTGGTGCCAACTTGCCACAGCAGGGGGGGGGGCACGAAGCATTAAACTTGACCGTAGCACATTTTTCAATAAGTAATATAGGCCTACATTTTAAAAAGAAGATTGAATTCATCATACTTAGTTTTTTTACTTCGTCAATTTGTTGTTTAAATGTAGGCTTGTAAGTCTAATCCTGTTCATTATTATTTTTATTAAATCTAAAAAGGTCACATATAAAAATTAGACGAAATTGTAACATTTAACCCCACCATGCCCTTTTAACAATCTAACATGTTTATTTTCGTGAGTCTATTATCAGACATTATTACTATAATATAGATCCCATAAATGGGAAAGAGATAACTAGATTTAGGTCAAGATCTACAGCTTCTAGTCTGTAACGTTATGAGGAATTGCATTCTATTACAACGTAGTTTACTGATGTCATAGGTTTTATCAGTTTGCGTACAAAATCTAAATTTAGTAACAGATTATCAACAAATAAAAAGGGATAGCCTAATATATTTCTTTATCTGAATTCAGATATGGAATGTTGGTACGCTCTAAAATATTTGGAAACGTGAAGTTATCAACTGGTCTATTTGAGAACTTTAGTAGATTATATTATAGCGCTGACAATATATATATATATATATATATATATATATATATATATATATATATATATATATATATATATATATATATATATATATATATATATATATATATAAGAATTGTAAGAACCTAATTCAGTTATGAGATATATAAAAGAAATGTCTATTAATTTTGCAAGGGTGTCGCCTAGGGGGGTGCGATTTTTCTCTATTTACGGTATACAAAAAATAAATAAAAGTGGATTGCGGTTGACACTGTTTATCTGGTCGCCAAGAAAATTTGGGAAATTGTTGAGAATACTCCTGGAGAGGTTTCTGCGCAATAAAATTTTGAAATTTGCAGGGGTGGCGCTCCTGCAGGGCGCGATTTGTTTTTTCTCAATGTACGATATAAAAAAATAAATGTCGATTGCGGTTTGACACTCTTAATCCGATCGCCATCAAACTATGGGGAGTTGATTAGAACACGCCAGGGGAAGTTTCTGTAAAAAGTATTTTTTTTAAATTACGCAAAGGCGACGCCCTTGGATGGTACGATACTTCTCTATATACAATATATTTAAAACAATTGAAAGTCGGATTCGTTTCGACACCGTTTATCCGAGTGCTATAAAACTTTGGGGAGTTGATGAGAATACTCCCGAAAAGGTGTCTGATGGGGGGGGGGGGGAGTGGAATTTAATTTCGCACGGGCAGCTTCAGACAGGATGCGATTTTGCGCTCCGGTCTTTACCGTGAGCACTATGGCGCTTACGTTCGTTTTAAACAGTGAGACAGACTATAGATAAGATGAAGCGTTATAGTCATTCACTAAACATAATCAGGCGCGTCCATTGGCGTCCTTGTAGCGGTATGACGCATACGTTTGCTTTAAGGATTGTGATAGAATATGGATAAGAAGTAGTCTTAAAGACGTTCACTAAACTGAATCAGACGCGCTTGATAGTGCCCCATGAGGGTACGATTAGCCCGGCTGTCCTGGGACTTTTTAATCCCGCGGCAACGCACGGGGACGGTCGCGCTTGATTAAAATATATACGTGTTTCGTAACATTATTAAAATAATTCTATTGCTTCCCTTCACACTTATCTGATTTTAATTAAAAAAGTAATAATTTTTAAAAATAATATTAGTTTAATCATACTATCTACTTCTAAGTTTACTAGAAAAAAAAGAATTCAACTGCAAACATTTCGGCGTCTGATTTCAAGACTTTCAATTCGACAGTCATGTACTCTACCATCCAACTAAGCTCCATATAAAAATATATACTTGCTAGAGATAAAATGCAATTTAATACTTAATTGCATGTTTTATTTAACGTATGTTTACATAGTTCTAGCTTCAACATTCTTTACCTTATATAATATCACCTTTTACATGAATAATTGACCTTTTACATTATTAATATCACCTTTTTAATGTGTCATGTTTGGGTTAGGTTAGCCCGTCATCCTTCCTGTAACATAGGCCACGATAAGAGCTTTCGTCATCTATATTCTGGGTTAGTGTTTTCTCTCCAGCTGTACACTGGTGTATCAAATCTTCTTGGTGTTTTCCTGAAGGTCAATGTGGCATACAGGTCAGCATATCGTTATCAAGTTGTGTCGGTTTTGATGGACACCAGTACTAATGTACATTGAAAGACGTTTTAAAGCCTGACACAGTATAGGTTTTAATGTAAAGAACACTGCACTTTATATTTTCAAATATATTTTTATTGCTTAGGGTATATAAAAGATTATCAGCAGGTTTATATTTATAAATAATATTTAAAAAATTAAATGTGATAATGTAAGCAACACATTTTGTATAATATATTATTCATATTTTATCAGTGGAATGTTTGAATAAAATGAAGAAAACATATATTTCAGATTTATTTTGGTATTATAACATATTAGGCTATGTAATTTATACACACATTAAATTATTAGACAAAATAACCCTTTTGTGTGTAGAATTACATTTAACATATTACTATATTTTAATAGCTGCAATAATAATCTAGAATTATTTCTAAGTGAACAGAAATAGAACACGCTGTGACCAGGTTGATAAATAATATAATCTTTTAGGGCAAGTTAAGTAGAGTTGACATATTCTGATGGTTTTAGCAAAGAAAAACACTTTTTGTTAAAATATTTTTTTTTCAAATTATATCTATCTTTAGTTTAAAATGATTAAATATTGTAACTTTAAAATATTTTTTTAAAAATATATAAAAGGTACACATTTTAAAATATGAATATTAAAAAATTATTTTATAAGCAGTTGTCTGTTGTCATGGTTTACACTATTCATAATGAAACCAATACCCTGTTACAATTGTATTGCTATAGACATTTAGATTTGTCTTAAGTAAAGCTTCACATTAAAATATTTACAATAGAATAGTATTGACAACAAAAAGTAAAATTAAAGAATAGAAAAAAGTCACAGACTTTTGCTATGTGACTAGGTAGGCTACAGGTACATATTTAAAAAATCTATTCCTTTTTTCAGAATAAAAAAAAATTATATTTATTATTAAAATGCATTTTAAAAATGTCTTTGCCTGATATTTATATTTTCAGTTAACATGTATTAATCAAAATGTTAAGCATGAATTTTTGACTGGCCATCAATTTTTACAATTTGTTATAACTGTTTAACTAAAGAAAGGCTGGCTAAAACAACATTTTTATTGCATTATTTTATAAAATGAACACTTGATGTTAAAGAAGGTACTGCTGTATTGCACATTAGGATAGGCATCATAACAACATATTTTTAAAGTCAATGTAATATAAATTATGACTTATACTGTTTAGCAAAGTATGCTGTAAACAAATATTGATATTTAAAAATAACAAATCATAACTTTATTTCATGCATAAATACAAATAAACAATAAAGGTTGACAGCAAGCAATGTATAAGGAACTGTATGTTTGTTCAAGAACAAACTATTGATTTTGCAATTATGTGTAATAATTTCAAAGATATAATTCTGTATAAAAAAAACTACTTTGTATAAAAAATGTTTTTATAAAACACAAAAGTCTTTTAGTTAATTCAACCACATTAAATTCAGTATTACACAGAGCTTTCAAATAATTTTGTTGAAATTGAAATTGTTTATAGATTTAGCCTTTCAAAAATTGTTGTAAGAAAATGATAACTTAAGATTTATTTGTAAAGTAGTTATCTGCTAGCTTAAAAATATATGTCATTAATTGTATGAAGTACATATTTGTAGGTTACATTTTTTTTTCAAAATACCAAACAAAAAAACAAGATGAGGAATAATCACTGTGGCTTGCTTCATATCTTTCTTGACAATTACATCTTCTAAAGAGAGAAAAAAATCCAGAAGTTGAAAGTGCTGTGAAAATAGATGAATTTATTGTGATAAAATGTCTTGGACATTAGTCATCTAGAGCGAATTGGTTTAAAAACACGTTATGTTTTCTATAATAAGTAAAGACTGATTAAATTAGCAAGAAATTATGGCTTTTATAAAAAATTTAAATATTTTTTTTACCAAAATAGATAAAAGTCAATTTCAATCCAACTTCCACAGCAGAGCCCACATGACCATTGCCAGGTACAAGACACCATAAGAAGACATCAGCTTGCAGACATTGTTGGTGGACTTCGGCTTCGGCGGAACTAGAAAAAGGGCCACCCCGCAAAAAAACAAACAACCATCAAGTAAAATTGAAAGAACTTATATTTTTTTAAATATAAAAAAAGTTGATTATGGTCTACTGGGGCCGCTAAATGGACTGCCCTTCCCCCCCCCCCCCCGTCCCAATTGCGGGGTCTGGCGGCACTGTAGTTCCGCCCCTGGTAGAAACTACTAGATGAATTCATACACAATTTTGTTTTAATAAATATTGAGAGCCTACAGAGTGTTTATTTCTAATTAGAGCGCACTAGCAAATATATAAGGTGATATCCACAACCGCACTCCCTTCCCCCCCCCCCCCCCCCGCAAAAAATATTTAGTCTACGTTTAAAAGTTTAATGCTATCTCCTGACCAATCTGCCTGTGAATGTTGAACTCACTTCGGCCATTGATCGTGCTATATGCATTTCTATTGGCTCCTACTGCAAAATGACTTCTAATGCCAATTCTAAACTGACAATTTTCATTGATCTATTTTCTAAAGTTGCATCACCACATTGTGTGTATCCAAATGCACTAAAATAATGTAACAGTGTGGAATACTTTGATATCTAAAACAAATGGATATATTATGTCAGAGTACTTAAAATAACTAAATACTTACCATAATATCCAACACCTTGAGATACGCTGCTTTTAACCTCAATAATTTCAGAGCCGTTCATGAGCGACATGTTAAAACGGTAGGCGTGTAGTTCTGCCTTTACGATTTCAAATGGAACAGTATATGTACACTTCTCCTTGCATGTCCAACTGCCGAATGCGTCCGCGTAATTGATGTAGGAAATATTTCCTGCGGCAAATTTCGGTCCATCCTAAAGAATTTTGCGGTTGACTTTAATATTTAATAATATCTAAAGAAAAAAACAACATATTTGTACGTCAATGAGTCCACATACCTCTGATGGGTACTTGACTCAAGTTAGGAAAGTTAAGGAGACTGAGCATTGTGCTGACCACACTATCCCTTCACATACCAAGGTTATAGAAACAGATGCACTCTAATTCATCTTCCCTGTGGCCCGTTAGATTTGGAAGAGTAACTTTACAGAACAATATTTTTAAAAGCATGAACTAAAAAGGCTTTGAAGAAATGAAGGAATGAGCTGCATTCTTTAGTAGTCGACTTATTTTAAAATAAGCAGATGATGGGGAAACTTGCTAAAGCATTATGAAAAGGTAAACATTTGTGCCCCAATCAGTGGCGTAGCAAGGTCGGGTGTTACCTGGTGCGGCATTTAATAATGTCCCCCTACTCGCCCACGAGAAAAAAAATATACACACACACACACACACACACATATATATATATATATATATATATATATATATATATATATATATATATATATATATATATATATATATATATATATATATATATATATATATATATACATATGTTTGTTTGTTTGTTTGTTTATTTGTTAGTTATTTATGCCATGAAATTTTGTGAAGTTGTTGAGAATACTCCAGTTTTATGGCATAGATTCATGTCTCATATATACGTATATAGAGAAAAAAAATCGCTCCCCTCCCTCTTTTGCAGAAACCTCCACCTCCACCCTCAAAGGTGTAACCCTGTGCATTCCGCACCACCGCATCTCCCCCAACGTAACGCCTTTGGCCCCCAATGACCCTTCAGGTTTACGCGATATGTAAAAGAAGAAAATGACATACCCTAAATAAGAGAGTAAAATCACAGCTGAAATTCAAATACATCAATGCAGCGCAGCATGTAACTGTCTCGAATTGTTCATCATGAGTTATATAATGACAATGAACTTCTTCTAGTGAAGCTGGACGCAAAACAAAACAAAATTATCATGCATTTTGTAATGATTGAATTGGTAACAAAATTTAAAAAAAAAACAGAATATCATGCTAGAGCCCATTATTCCCAAAGTAAGTACCTACAGATTGATTCAATATTAAAATAAACAACCATATTCAGTAGATTATTTATAATAATCGAAGCATGTACAATTAATTTTAACATTGGGTTTAATGTAAAAATTGTATTTAGTAAAAGATAAAAAGAAAATATGTTGCCTGAAAAAAGAGTATATAATACACCATTATGTCCCAATGTGAATCTTAAAATAGTTGCCATTAAAACTGTGTTCTGCTGATTAAGCAATCCTTACAGGGTGGGTTACAGTTTATAAATAGTGATACTTATTATTTTTGCACAAAAATAGTTCTCTACATGAAGAGATTGAAAAAAACAAATTTCATGGAGTAAATATTTCATAGAGGGAAACGTTTCCGAATACAATTCATTATCTGAGATTTAAACAGAAATAACAGTAGAGAATGTTACTACAGTTATCAAAAGCTGAAATTTAAAATAAAGACCTATATGATAAAAAAAATGCGGAGATGTTTGAGGCCGAATTAAATCGTTGCTTTAGTTAGCAATGTTTTTATTTTTCTGGTAATTATATTTGAGTTTTTTGCTAAAAACAACAATGAAGCAAACCCAATGTGTAAGGTCTTTCTCTTATTGTATGTGTCCACTCACATTTTATATCTATCGAGGCTAGACCACTGATGTTAATTTTTCCTCCATCTTCTGTACCCAGGGTCATTCTGGCTGAAATCAAGTGATCACCAGGGCCTAGTTTCAAAAGTGGAATTTGGAGACTACAGTTGTTCTGGAAATATCCATTTACAGGTGTCGAGAGGATTTCAGTAGCATTCTCGCTAACTGTAAGGTTCTATAAGATATTATAAATTGATTACTGTTTAGATAAATAGATCAGTTTGGCATTCTAAAATAAGTTAATAGCACTTTCCAGATAACATATAAAACGTAGGCGATGGCAATACAAAGTTTAAATACCAACACATTTTATTTATAAACGTTAAAAAATATTTCTAAAAACTCATCCACACAACTTACAGAAAATCTAGTTTCAATATAAAATTTGCAATCCTCCACTTTGTCGTCAGCTACTGATGAACAATTTATGAAGGCTATTCTGTTGTAAATGTAATATTTGCAGTCGAGATAGCCCCATGCAGCTAAAAGTTAAGTATTTTAAATATAAATATTCGTTTTCATTTAAACTGAAGATTGAGTGAAGTTTAAACAAAAGGGTATTCTTATATGATAAGAAAATGTGGAGATGTTTGATACTGACTTAGAAGAAAAATTAGTTTTATTTTTTCTAATAGTTATATTTGAGTTTTTTTTTTTTTTCTAAAAAACAACAATAAAGCAAACATATTGTGTAAGGTCTTTCTCTTATTGTATGTGTCCACTCACATGTTATATTTATCGAAACTGAACTACTCATGTTCATTTTTCCTCCATCTTCGGTACCCAGGATCATTATGGCTGAAATGTCGTGAAAACCAGGGCCTAGTGTCAAAAGTGGAATTTGAAGATTACAGTTGTTCTGGTATAATCCATTCTCACGTGTCGAGTGGATTTCAGTAGCATTCTTAATAACAGTGTGATTCTATAAGATATTATAAATCAATGACTGTTTAGATAAATAGATCAGTTCGGCAATCTTTCCAGATTACATGTAAAACGTAGGCGATGGCAATACCAAGTTTAATTACCAACAATGTTATTTATAAATGTTAAAAACAATATGTTTAAAAACTCATCCACACAACTTACAGAAAATTTAGTGTCAATATAAAATTTGCAATCCTCCACTTTGTAGTCAGCCACTGATGAACATTTTATGATGGTTATGCTATTGAAGTCATATGTGCAGTCGAGACGCATCACTACAGCTGAAAGTTAAGTTTGTTAAATATTTGTTTTCATTTAAACTGTAGATTGAGTGTAGGTTAAATAAAAGGGATTCTTAAGTGCCGAAGAGTGTTGCCACACTTTCTAAACACTACTGGGCCAACGCCTCTGCTCTCATCACTTAAGTCTTACGATCAACCTTTGAGTGTGAAAGTTTATATGTAAGACCCCTTTTTTATTTATCTAACACGTAAGAGTATAAAATATAATTATACATTTAACAATATTAAACGAATTCGAGCCATGTAATCATAAAGAAAAATTATTGTCATCTTTAAATAACAACTTAGGGGTCGTCCATAAATGATGTCACACTCGTAGGGGGAGGGTCTGTAATTTTGCAACGGTGTGTGATGAGGGGAAGGGTGGGGGATGTTCAGATAACACTTTTGCATTATAAAAAAACAATGTTAGAAAACGAATTTTTAGACGTTATTTCGCGTTTTAGTAAACTGTTTAATCGGAATATATTAAAATACTCTATTTTGACAGAGTTCAAACAAGAAATTGGTAAAAATATCGTCGTTTTAAGAAAAATTAAACTGCATATTTGAGGGGGCTTGTAGACAGAGGTTTGACGTCATTTTATGGGGGTCTGGCTTTTTGTGACGATGTGTGACTGGGGGGAGGGGGAGGTAAAAATCGTCAAAAAAGCGTGACGTCATTTATGGATGATCCCTTAGTAGAATCTAGATCTAGATAGATGTAGATCTATATCTCTTGACGGTCGTAGTCTGGGGAATTACTCACCTGCCAAATTAGGAAACAGGCACATACATGTCAAAAATATTGTAAATGTGTTTAGTATTGACATTGTTGAACTTGTAAAACCTTGAAATTTTAAAACAGATTAAGAGTATAGATTAGTCTGTATTTAAATATTTATTACATTGTTTACAAAAGTGTAACAATTAAGCTACACCTAAGCCTATAAAATTAATATTAGATAAAACAGAGTATAATTAGTTTTAATAATTAAGAATACAGAACTTTTAATTTTAAAAAAGATCATGGGTGTTGATTAGTCTAAATTTTAATATCTATTAAGAATGAAATAAAAGAATTAGATCTAATCTACAGCTAAGCCTTTAACATTAAAATTAGATAAAACATAGTAGAACTCTGAACTCACGAACTAGATGTACTTCTTACCAGATCCAGGTGTAGTGAAATGCTTAAAAAAAAACTGACACATTTTGTAGGCCCTGATATCTTTTATCGTTAAAAATTATGAGATAAGCTCTTACGTCATGAAACAACATTGTGTAATGTTTCAGACATAAAATCAGTGGCATAGCGAGGTCGGGTGTCACCTGGCGAGGCACTTAATGGTGTCGTCCCCTCCCCAGATGCACCCCCCCTCAAATTTTTCTCTACATATTTGCTATTTTTACCTTGGTGTCACCGCCCTAAATGTTGTCACCCGGTGCTATTCGCACCCCCCCCCCCCCCCTCTTTCTCTACGCCTCTGCATAAAATCTAGCCCAAGGTTTAAATCGCTAGTTGACACACTGGGTGTGCTATTAGTAACTTTGTTTTGCAAGGCAACAGACTAATTTTGTTTTTCTATGTTTTAATGTTTAATTATATAAAATGTTTTTCTATTAAATTAATAGTCTGTATGTTCACTAAATTTCGGCGTCTGATTTCAAGACTTTCAATTCGACAGTCATGTACTCTACCATCCAACTAAGCTCCATATAAAAACATATACTTGCTAGAGATAAAATACAATTTAATACTTAATTGTATGTTTTATTTAAACTATGTTTACCTATAGTTCTAGCTTCAACATTCTTTACCTTATATAATATCACCTTTTACATGATTAATTGACCCTTTTACATTATTAATATAACCTTTCTAATGTAGTATGTTTAGGTTAGGATAGCCTGTCATCCTTCCTGTAACATACGCTACGATAAGAGTTTTTAAGTCATCTATATTCTGGGTTAGTGTTTTCTCTCCAACTGTACACTGGTGTATAAAATCTTTTTGGTGTTTTCCTGAAGAACAATCATGGTTTACACTATTCATAATGAAACCAATACACTTTTATAATGTTATTGTTATAGACATTTAGATTTGTCTCAAGTAAATCTTTGCATTAAAATATTTAATGTGGACGTCCACAGTCAACTGACCCCCCCCCTTTCCCTAGTCTACACGCGTCCACAAAAGTCAATTTATTCCCCCCCCCCCCCCCCCCGTTTGGACATCATAAATGGATGACCCCAAAATGTTTATCAATGTTTCATTTAGTTGAATGTACCAAAAAAATCGTTTTCTGGTGAGAAACTTGTCGATAAAATTTTTAAAAATAATAATATAAATGCCACAGTCAAATGTGTGAATAGTATAAGGATTTAATACATTTTGAAAATAAAATACAATAAAGTAAATTCAAATTATATTAAACGTACAACATAAAACCACAGAAAACGTTTTGGTAAAAGAATCAATGTACTTTATAAAAAAAACTTTTATTTCATGCATAAATACAAATAAACAATAAATGTTGACAACAAGCAATGTATAATGAATTGTGTGTTTGTTCAAGAACTAGCTATTTATTTTGAATTATGTGTAATAATTTCAAAGATATAATTCTGTATAAAAAAACTACTTTCTATAAAAATGTTTTTATAAAACACAAAAGTCTTTTAGTTAATTCAACCACATTAAATTCAGTATTACACAGAGCTTTCAAATAATTTTGTTGAAATTGAAATTGTTTGTAGACTTAGCCTTTTCAAAAATTGTTGTAAGAAAATGATAACTAAAGATTGGTTCGTAAAAAAGTTATCTGCTAGCTTAAAAATATATGTCATTAATTGTATGAAGTACATAATTGTAGGTTACATATTTTTTTTCAAAATACCAAACAAAAAAACAACATGAGGAATAATCACTGTGGCTTGTTTCATATCTTGCTTGACAACTACATCGACAGAGAAAAAAATCCAGAAGTTGAAAGTGCTGTGAAAATAGATGAATTTGTTGTGATAAAATGTCTTGGACATTAATCATCTAGAGCGAGTTGGTTTAAAAACACGTTATGTTTTCTATAATAAGTAAAGACTGATTAAATTAGCAAGAAATTATGGCTTTTATAAAATTTTAAATAATTTTTTTACCAAATTAGATGAAAGTCAATTTCAAGCCAACTTCCACAGCAGAGCCCACATGACCATTGCCAGGTACAAGACACCATAAGAAGACATCAGCTTGCAGACATTGTTGGTGTACTTTGGCGGAACTAGAAAAAAGGGCCACCCCGCAAAAAAAAACAACAACCATCAAGTAAATAGTTGCAAAAACATTTTTTTTTAATATAAAAAAAAGTTAATTATGGTCTGCTGTGGCCCCTAAATGGAGTGCCCCCCCCCCCCAATCGCGGGGTCTGGCGGCACTGTAGTTCCGCCCCTGGTGGAATCTACTAGAGGAAATCATACACAATTTTGTTTTAATAAATATTGAGAGCCTACACATGGTTAATTTTCAAAGTGCACTAGTTAATATATATGTGGGGATATCAGCAACCGCAGCCCCCCCCCCCCCGCAAAAACAAATGCCCTCTTTCTGTTATAATTTCCACAAGTTTTGTTTAGAGAAGTTGGATTCATTAAGGTGAAGCTTTTGAAAATTACTAAAATGGCTACATTTAAAATTCTAACGCTATTTCCTGACCAATTGTCTGTGAATGTTGAACTCACTTCGGCCATTGATCGTGCTATATGCCTTTCTATTGACTCTACTGCACAATGGCTTCCAATGCCAATTATAAACTGACTATTTTCCAAATGCACTAAAATAATGTAACAGTGTGGAATACTTTGATATCTAAAACAAATGGATATATGTCAGAGTACTTAAAATAACTAAATACTTACCATAATATTTAACAGCGTCAGATGCGCTTCTTTTAACCTCAATAATGTCAGAGCCATTCATGAGCGACATGTTAAAAAGGTAGGAGTGAAATTCTGCCTGAACGATTTCAAATGGAACAGTATATGTACACTTCTCACTGCATATCCAACTGTCGAATGCGTCTGCGTAATTGACGTAGGACACATTTCCTACGGGGTATTTCGGTGCATCCTAAAGAATGTTGTGGTTGACTTTAATATTTAATAATAGCTAAAGGAAAAAAAAATAATAAAACATATTTGAACGTCCATGAGTCCACCTACTTCTGATGGGTACTTGACTCAAGTTAGGAAAGTTAATTAAGGAGACCTACCACACTATCCCTTCACATACCAAGGTTATAGAAACAGATACACTCTAATTCATCTTCCCTGTGGCCCGTTAGATTTGGAAGAGTAACTTTACAGAACAATATTTTTAAAAATCTTGAACTAAAAAGGCATTGAAGAAATGAAGGAATGAGCTGCATTCTTTAGTAGTAGACTTATTAAAATCTGCAGATGATGTGGAAGCTTGACAAAGCATTATGAAAAGGTCAACATTTGTGCCCCAATCAGTGGCGTAGCAAGGCCGGGTGTTAACTGGTGCGTCATGGTTTCCCCCACTCCCCACCCAGCGAAAGAAAAAAATATTATATATATAAAAATATTATATATTAAATATTATATATATATATATATATATATATATATATATATATATATATATATATATAGCAATGTATGTCTGTCTGTGTGTGTATGTGTGTCTTTTATGCATTACTATACATCTCATCACCATGAAACTTTGGACAGTTGTTGTGAATATTTCTGGGGAGGTTTCTGCAGAAAACAAAATTCAAATTCGCAGGCGTGACGCCCCGGCAGGGCACAATTTGTTTTTTCTCTATATACTATATATAACAATAAAAGTTGATTTTGGTTTGACTCCGTTTATCCCATAGCCATGAGACTTTGAGGGAGTTGATTAGGACACTCTGTGGAAGGGTTCTGTAAAAAAAATCATTTTTAATTTCGCAAGGGCGGCGCCACGGGAGTGTGCGATTTTTCTCGATATACGGTACACAGAAATAATAAAAGTAAATTGCCGTGACACCGTTCTCACGATCACCATGAAACTTTGGGAAGATGTTGAGAATATTCATGGGAAGGCTTTTGCTCTAAAACATTTTCAAATTTGCAGAGGGCTCGATTTGTTTTTTCTCTATATATGGTATATAAAAATAAAAGTCGATTGCGATCTCACAACGTTCATCCGATAGCCATCAAACTTCAGGGACTTGATTAGAACACTCCAGGGAAGGGTTCTGTAAAAAATCATTTTTTATTATCGCATGGGCTGCGCCACAGGAGGGTGCAATTTTCACTATATAAGGTAAATAAAAATAAACGTCGATTGCGGTTTCACGACATTATTCCGATCGCCGTCAAACGTTGGGGAGTTGATTAGAACACTCCAGGAAAGTTTCTGTAAAAAAATCTTTTTTTATTTTAATTTCGCAACTGCGGCGCCACGGAATGGTGGGATTTTTCTCTATATACGGTATATAAAAATAAAAGACGATTGCGGTTCGACACAGTTTATCCAGGTGCCGTAAAACTTTAGGGAGTTGATGAATACTCCCGAGGTTTCTGTGGTGGGAGTGGGGAATAGGGGTGGGTGGGTAGTGGGGAAGGGGGGATTTAATTTTGCATGGGCGGCCCCCCTGCAGGATATGATTTAGCGCCCTGGTCTTTCCGGTGAGCGCTATGGCGACTACGTTCAGTTTAAACAGTGTGATAGACATTGGATAGGATGGGGCATTACAAACGCTCACTAAATTGAATCAGGCGTGCGATTTGGCTGCAAACAAAAATTTCAGTTTCATCCCAAATGGCTCTCATGGGCCTCTGGTGCCATGTAATACGTTTTATTTTAATAATGAAAAAAATTAACCAAGGTTAGATTATTAACTGGGATGTTTCTTTTTGTCCGTAAAAAAATCCAAACAGTTTCGTCACTTAGCGAATGATGCAATTAGCATCTATTTTTAGACCATCCAATCAAAAATTGACATCGAGCATCTAATAATAGACCATGAGTGACGCTAACATATTGCATCAGTAACACTGATGTTTAATACAAGTCAAAAAAAATTTTTTACGTGTTAACATTGTTACCAGGATGCTATTTGCCACGATGGCTCCTGTTAGTTTTAAGGAGCAAGGGGTCGTGGGCTGCGCTTATGCGGTAGTGTAATCGGGGGGGGGGGGGGGGGGGGAGGGCTCCTAAGAGTTTTTGGCCCATAACTCGGCAACCAGACCACTTAGCGACTTGAAACATTTACCAATCGATTCCTGCCATAATTTAGAACAATATTGCCGAAGAAAGTTTTCAAAAATATCCTTTCGTTCGGTCACAACAATTTTTTTGAATTAATTAAAATTTGGACCGAATTAGTAGGCATATTTATCCAACCACACCACACGCGTCATCACGTTCAATAGCTGCGCCATCACGTTCAATGGCTGCGCCATCACGTTCGGTAGCTAGGCGCGCAATGGTTTTTAGTCATGTAACTCTATAGTAAATAAAACATGTAAAATACTGAAAATTGTTTTAATAAAAAAACGTTTTAATAACTAACCAATGGTTTTACTAACCCTGCTCTTGTTTTACGCTACGACAGAGCTATTTTAGATAACATAAGGAAATTGAGCTAAAATTGTCACTAGACTTTTTAATTACCTTGTTTCTAGATGTATTTAATTTGTTTAAGCTGCGCACTTTTCATTTAACTGCGTGCGTCCTTCAAATTTTAATGTATAAGAAAATGAGTAGCGTAGCAACTAATTACTTTTTTTTAAAAATTAATTAATCTGCTAGAAGTTCTTTCCTTTAATGGATATACTATATTTGGAATCAAATTATAATAATTTAACATAATCCATAGAATATATATATACAAAATTTAAAATATATTCAAAATTTAAACATCAATCTTACTTCAGGCGTGAATTATATGTTTTATAATGTTTGGCAACTTTTTCAATATCACAAGCCAACCAGTTCTATTAATCTGTTGCTCGCATTTTATTGCTTATGGTGTCCATTATTCAATTTCGTTTCTTAAGTTTAATTATAATTTATTTACAATGGATTAATACTTTTCAAAAGAGGTGTATGTTTGTAACACACACTTTTAAATAGTATTTAAAAAACAAAATGTTTTCATTTAACTTATTACATATTGAAAAATATTTATGACAAAGACGCATATCCATGAAAAATATAAACATTGATTTTAGTCAAGTATCTCACAACTTTTAATAGAAAACAAAACAAGTCATAAATCATGGATAACAAATCGTAAAAAAGAAAGGAAAAATAAGAACATCGATTTTAAAGTGTGCAACTATTGGTGTCACACACTTACACATTTACACACATGTAAATACACACACTTACACACTTGTAGGCTGTAATATAATAGTTTGCTTGATCAAATGATATGCAGATTTGTAAATATCATATGTGGTTTCACCCCAACCAACTTTGGTGGATGTTATATTTGATGTCGACCCCCTTCCTAACTTGTTGTCGACAGTTTTGTAAACATTATATTTCTCCACCCAGAAAAAAGTATTTAGTTCTAACTCTAACAGTTATTAATTCAATTGCAAAAATCATCGTTTTTGTAGTAAATTATAAAATGTGTTGTCATCCCCCCCCCCTCATCCCAGACTTCATTAACATATTAACAATTGACAACAAAATCTTTTTCTTCAGGTAAATTTTGCAACTGTTAGTTGATGAAACTTCCCTGCATCCCCCCCCCCCTCCTATGTTAATAGCTTTAAACTGTGCTCAGAAAATACTAGCGATGTTTATCTATAGTCAGTTATTAATAACATCATTTTTATATTATTAGCAGGTTTACGTTATGATGTCATCCCCGCTACCTGTGTCGTGATTTTTCAACTTTACTCTAAAATTCTATTTTACTCTAATTAATTATTTACTTAACTGAAATGATCATTTGTATATACTTTGATATTATTTACCTTGGTGTCACCCTCTTCATAGGTGTAATCCGGTGCGCTCCGCACCACCGTATCTCCCCCAACGTAACGCCTTTGGCCCCTATGAGCCTTCAGGTTTAAACGATAGGTAAAAGAAGAAAATGACATACCTTCATTAAGAGAGTAAAATCACAGCTGAAATTCAAATACACCAATCTAGCGCAGCATGTAACTGTCTCGAATCTTCCATCATGAGTTATAGCTTTACAATGAACTTCTTCTAGTGAAGCTGGACAAAAAAATATCATGCATTTTTTAATGGATGAATTAGTAATAAAAAAAACAAAATCACAGAATAACACCCTAGAGCCCATTATTCACTAAGTACCCACAGTTTTATTCAATATTAAAACAAACTAGAAATTTGACCCATATTCAGCAGGTTATTTATAGTAATAAAAGCATGCACAATAAATTTAAAAAATGCGTTTAATGTAGAAATTGTATTTCGTAAAAGCTAAAAAGAAAATATGTTGCCTGCAAACAGCGTATATAATACACCATTATGTCCAAAAAGTTAACTTTAAACTACGGACTGTGAATTTAACTATCTCGAATTAGTCTCTGTTAAAACTGAGTTCAGCTATTTAAGCATTCCTTACAGGTTGAGTTTCAGTTTATAAATTGTGATACTTATATTTTTTGTACAAAAAATAGTTCACTACATGAAGAGATTGAAAAAACAAGAGTAAATATTTGATAAAGGGAAACATTTCCGAATACAATTTATGTCTGAGATCCAAACAGAAATAACAGTAGAGAATGTTGCCACAGTTGTCAAAAGCCGAAATCCCTTTATTTACGGAATTAGTTTCTGAATGAATTTTTTTCTTAAACAATGTGTTATCCAATTGCTTTTGGCACATTTAAAGCTTATGTCGAAGGAAATTTCGTTTCATAAATTTTTAATGGCCAAACAGATATTGTTACTTATAAGTACCGTCAGGAATGTAGGACATTTTTTCCAAAAACATTTTTTTTTTACAAAACAGGAACAAACGATACAATTTATTAACTAGTAACATGGCAATCATTATAACAGTCATTTTTTTGTAATTTTTACACATAAATACAGCACAAAAGTATATTTTGAGTACGATTTTTATTGGATTTTCTGTCGGAACACATCTTAGGCCTCAAACACAGCAAAAGTTGCCGACATTTCATGCTCCCTCATTGTTGTCTGAGGTCTTTCTGGTGTAGCAACGGTTGCCGGACTGAACATGTTTTTGATGGAAGCTTCCAATAGCTATTACTTACAATGAGCCGCATAAACAAACAAAAGCCTAGTCATTCAGTACCCTACACAACTACTAGCAATACTAGTATAATTGTAGCCTACTATAATGTTATGACAAGTCTAAACTTTAGTGTAAAGTTCATAAATAGAAGTGAGCTCAATGTGTTTAGGATAGCCGAAGTGGCCTACTGTTTCCTGTTTACGGATTAAAATTTACCATATAGATCTATGCTATATGCAGAAGTATGGACTATTACTAGTCTACAGATATACATTACGTAAATACTAGTTATTGTAGGGAAGACAGTTTATTGCAGTAAATATAACTAACAAATTAAATCTTACTTCTAGAACTAGGCTTTGGTATACAAATGAAGTATGCTAAACCTAGTAAACGAGCCTGCAACTGCTACCTTCATTCTTGTTATTCTTTTACTACTAGAAATCAACATGTAATTATAATATTTCTTAGGTTAACCATATGATAACCTTCTTATAAATGTGTCAATATCATTTTTTGAGTACAATTTGATAATTAATTATCAAAATAATATTTATGTCACTCCACATCGAAAATCTGCCATTTCCTAAAAATCTTTAAAAAAATGACCGTGTGCCCTGAAGGTACTTATAAGTCCACTTGTAAACATCGATATAATACATAGACATTTTGAGTAAAATTGTATAACTAGAAGTTAAACGCGTTTGCTTGACTATTGGAGATGCCAATAAAAAATATTTGGGGATGAAAACTTCAAAAATAAGGTAAAACAAAGGGTAATCAGGAACGTGTGTTAGAACTTTGCAAAACAATTGTGAATTACCGATACAGCAAGACATTGAAATTGGCGCCACGCCAAAATTTTTCAAAAATCATCGATCCATCCAACTACCGACGACTCAGGGGAGATAATACTATTAATTACATCAATAATTTTTAAAATTCGTATTAAATTAAAATTTTTACAGGCACTTAATTAAAGTGGTACTTATAAGTACCGTCAGTAGATAAAGGGTTAAAATATAGACATATTTGATAAAAAAATGCGGAGATGTTTGAGGCCGAATTAAATCTTTGCTTTAGTTAGCAATGTTTTTATTTTTCTGGTAATTATATTTGAGTTTTTTGCTAAAAACAACAATGAAGCAAACCCAATGTTTAATATCTTACTCTTATTGTATGTATCCACTCACATGCTATATCTATCTCAACAAAATCACTGATGTTCATTTTTCCTCCATCTTCTGTACCCAGGGTCATTACGGCTGAAATCGTGTGGTCACCAGGGCCCAGTTTCAAAAGTGGAATTTGAAGGCTACAGTTGTTCTGGAAATATCCATTCACAGGTGTCGAGAGGATTTCAGTAGCATTCTCAATAGCAGTAAGGTTCTATAAGATATTATAAATTGATGACTGTTTAGATAAATAGATCAGTTCGGTATTCTAAAATAAGTTAATAGCACTTTCCAGATAACATAAAACGTAGGCGATGGCAATACAAAGTTTAAATACCAACACATTTTTTTTATAAACGTTTAAAAATATTTCTAAAAACTCATCCACACAACTTACAGAAAATCTAGTTTCAATATAAAATTTGCAATCCTCTACTTTGTCGTCAGCCACTGATGAACAATTTATGAAGGCTTTTCTGTTGTAAATGTAATATGCGCAGTCGAGATAGCCCCATGCAGCTAAAAGTTAAGTATGTTAAATATTCGTTTTCATTTAAACTGAAGATTGAGTGAAGTTTAAACAAAAGGGTATTCTTATATGATAAGAAAATGTGGAGATGTTTGATGCTGACTTAGAAGAAAAATTATTTTTATTTTTTCTGATAGTTATATTTGAGTTTTTTTTCTAAAAAACAAGAATGAAGCAAACATATTGTGTAAGGTCTTTCTCTTATTGTATGTGTCCACTCACAAGTTATATTTATCGAAACTGAACTACTCATGTTCATTTTTCCTCCATCTTCGGTACCCAGGGTCATTATGGCTGAAATGTCGTGAAAACCAGGGCCTAGTGTCAAAAGTGGAATTTGAAGGCTACAGTTGTTGTGGTATAATCCATTCCCAAGTGTCGAGTGGATTTCAGTAGCATTCTTAATAACAGTGTGGTTCTATAAGATATTAGAAATCAATGACTGTTTATATAAATAGATCAGTTCGGCAATCTTTCCAGATTACATGTAAAACGTAGGCGATGGCATTACCAAGTTTAATTACCAACAATGTTATTTATAAATGTTAAAAAATATGTTTAAAAACTCATCCACACAACTTACAGAATGTTTAGTGTCAATATAAAATTTGCAATCCGCCACTTTGTCGTAAGCCACTGATAAACATTTTATGTAGGTTATTCTGTGGAAGTCATATGTGCAGTCGATACGCATCACTACAGCTGAAAGTTAAGTATGTTAAATATTTATTTTCCTTTAAGTTGTAGATTGAGTGAAGGTTAAATAAAAGGGTATTCTTAAGTGCCAAAGAGTGTTGCCACACTTTCTAAACACTACTAGGCCAACGCCTCTGCTCTCATCGCTTAAGTCCTACAATCAACCTTTTGAGTGTGATAGTTTTTATGGAATACCCCCTTTTTTATTTAACACGTAGAGTATAAAATATAATTATACATTTAAAAATATTACACGAATGCGAGCCACGTAATTATAATGAAAAATTATTGTCATCTTTAAATCTTTAGGGGTCGTCCTAAAATGATGTCACACTCGTAGTGGAAGGAGAGGGTCCGTAATTTTGCGACGGTGTGTGATGAGGGGGAGGGGGAGGTGGTGTTTAGATAACACTTTTGCATTATAAAAAAGCAATGTTAGAAAACGATTTTTAAGCGTTATTTCGCGTTATATTAAACTGTTTAATAGGAATTGATTGAAATACTTTATTTTGACAGAGTTCAAACAAGAAATTTGTAAAAATATCGATGTTTTAAGAAACATTCAACTGCAATTTTAAGTGGGGTTGTAGACAGAGTTGTGACGTTATTTTATGGGGGAGGGTGTCTGGTTTTTTGTGACGATGTGTTACGGACGGGAGGGGGGAGGTAAAAATCGTCAAAAAAAGCGTGACGTCATTTATGGATGATCCCTTAGTAGAATCTAGATCTAGATAGATGTAGATCTATATCTCTTGACGGTCGTAGTCTGGGGAATTACTCACCTACCAAGTTAGGAAACAGGCACATACATGTCAAAAATATTGTAAATGTGTTTAGTATTGGCATTGTTGAACTTGTAAATCTTGAAATTTTAAAACAGATTAAGAGTATAGATTAGTCTGTGTTTAAATATTTATTAATTTTTTTACAAAAGTATAACAGTTAAGCTACCACTAAGCTTATAAAATTAATATTAGATAAAATAGAGTATAATTATTATTAATAATTAAGAATACAGAACTTTTAATTTTGAAACAGATCATGGATGTTGATTAGTCTAAATTTTAATATTTATTAAGAATGAAATAAAAGAATTAGATTTAATCTACAGTTAAGCCTGTATAATCAAAATTAGATAAAACATAGTAGAACTCTGAACTCACGAACTAGATTTACTTCTAACCAGATCCAGATATAGTGAAATGCTAAAAAACTACTGAGACATTTTGTAGGCCCTGATATCTTTTATCGTTAAACATTATGAGATAAGCTCTTACGTCATAAAACAACATTGTGTAATGTTTCAGACATAAAATCTAGTCCAAGGTTTAAATCGATAGTTGACACACTGGGTTGGATATTAGTAACTTTGTTTTGCTAGGCAACAGACTAATTTTGTTTTTCTATGTTTTAATGTTTAATTATATAAAATGTTTTTTTTAATTAAATTAATAGCCTGCATGTTCACTAAATTTCGGCGTCTGATTTCACGACTTTCAATTCGACAGTCATGTACTCTACCATCCAACTAAGCTCCATATTAAAACATATACTTGCTAGAGATAAAATTCAATTTAATACTTAATTGCATGTTTTATTTAACCTATGTTTACATAGTTCTAGCTTCAACATTCTTTACCTTATATAATATCACCCTTTACATGATTAATTGACCCTTTTTCATTATTAATATCACCCTTTAAATGTGTTATGTTTGGGTAAAGTTAGCCTGTCATCAGAGGCGTATCCAGGTTTTCGTTGTAGGGGGAGCGAAAAGAGCAAAAAAGGCGCCGAATTTTTAACACGTTCTATATACGTGTATTATATATAGATACATGTTCTATATACGTGTATTATATATATATATATATATATATATATATATATATATATATATATATATATATATATATATATATATATATATATATATATATATATATATATATATATATATATATATATATATACATATACTAGCTGTATGTTATTACTTCGCTATGATGTAAAATATATTGAAAGTAGCACTCTGAAGAAATAAGAAAAAACACACAATGTAGGCCGACAAAACAAAAATTGTATCAATCTAAACAAAATATATATATATACACACACACTACAGCCAAAAACAATGAACGTAACACGATCTGTTTTGTAATTCTTCTAAAAAATTCTTACATAATAATTGCTGGGAAATTATTTAAAACAAGTTAAATAGGGGAAATAATCACTATCTTAATATAAATATGTATATATCTACACATTTAATTATACATGTCAAAACAAATAAATAATTACTTTAGAATATAATGAAATTATTCAACACTATTCGTGTTTACAAAATGTTTCTGTCTATAATCAGAATTTAATATATCGTTATCATAAATGCTAAAGTATTACAGCATAATGAAAGTTTTTAAAATCAGAGTTGGTATAAAACCTTGCTATTCGTTATTGCAGAAAAATATTCGGATTAACAGCCCACATTTAACTAAATATTGGTCTTTTAGTTCAGATCATATCTTTTTAACTACTGCTTCTTTGTGTTCTTTAAAGATCATTTTTTACTTTCTCGTATATACGAAGTATAGAGAAAGTCTTGTAATCGTGCAAAATAAAAAATCGAGATTTTTACAAACCTCGACGTTTTACACCTCACTGATACGGAAAAACATAATTTTGCAATCTTGTCCGTATGTCTGTGTGTCTGTCAGTGTGTCTGTCTGTCTGTGTGTAAACACGATAACTTTTGAGTACCGTTACAGCTAGGTTGATGAAATGTCATATCTAAGTATTTTACCAAAATCGTAGATCCTGATCAACTTTTGAGCGATTTCCGATAACCGGAAGTGGTACTTTTTCTACTTTGAATTTTTCAAAAGCCTATAATTTGAGTACTATTTCAGAGTTTTTCTACATGTACTTAACAGATCAGTTCGGGTGGGTGGGGGGGGGGGGGGGGGTTCAACTTCTTTCATTCACCACTGTCCGTTCACTTTAGGTCAATTATCCAACCCAGTGTATACCTAGGTGTGATATTAATGTCGCTCTACACATTTGTGGTGGTGATGTGTGTGTGTGTGTGGCGGGGTGATGACCAACTCAGAGTGAACATAGCGTCAGTTATTAGATGACTGTTCTAAACATACATATATATTACACAAATATATATTACACAAATATATATTACAGAAATAGATCCTTAAATAAATAGCAGTGGTATTATGACTATAATTTTTTTACAGAAGGGTCCATGTGGGAGGGGGGTTGTAACTGTTTCATATAATTTGTAATCGTTATCACTATCGCCCAAACTGTAAGAATACTACTACTTCATCGTGATGACGTGGTTGACCTTGTCAAAATGTCCCCACCACTACCAAGTTTGCTCATAAGTAAATTTAAATAGAGGTGCCACATCAGTTGTATATGTTTCTCTATTGTAATTTTAAAAAATTAATCACATGATTCAAACTGTAGGCTATATATAAAGTAATTATGTGTGAAGTTTTATGTATAATATTTTCTAATTCTATTATTCGTAAGCAAATACATTATACAGTTGCCCAAAACCAAACACCCCTCTTGCCAAGTGGTACTACCGTAGACGTTTTTTAAACATTGCAATGCATTGTAATGGTTATTTTTAGAATGGCAAACTGGTGCAGCTGTTAATACGTGTTGTAAACGTAGACACTACTAGACTAGTACAATAATGCTGAATTGCTGCATGAAAAAAAATCTTGTGATTTACATAGATGTGCCGACCAAAAATATTTTTTTAACAAATATCATTGTTTAAAACTTTGAGTTTAAAAAGTTTCAAAAAGGCGCCACTTTGATGAAAATGGCCAGAGGGGGAGCGGCCGCTCCCCCTGCTCCCCCCCTGCGTACGCTACTGCCTGTCATCCTTTCTGTAGCATATGCCACGATAAGTTTTTAAGTCATCTATATTCTGGGTTAGTGTTTTCTCTCCAACTGTACACTGGTGTATCAAATGTTCTTGGTGTTTTCCTGAAGGTCAATGTGGCATACTAGTCAGCATATTGTTATCAAGTTGTGTCGGTTTTGATGGACACCAGTACTAATGTACATTGAAAGAAGTTTTAAAGCATGACACAATATAGGTTTTAATTAAAAGAACACTGAACTTTATATTTTGAAATATATTTTATTGCTTAGGATATATAAAAAATATTCAGCAGGTTTATATTTATAAATACTATTAAAAAAATGAAATGTGATAATGTAAGCAACACATTTTGTTTAATATATTATTTAAATTTTATCAGTGGAATTTTTGAATAAAACGAAGAAAACATATATTTCTGATTTATTTTGGTATTATAACTTATTAGGCTATGTAATTTATAAATACATTAAATTATTAGGTGTTAGTATAAAATTTGCTGTCTTTCATTTTGTCCGCCGGCTCTGATGAACAGTCTATGGAGGCTATTCTGTTGTTACTTATGATGGGATGTGTGCAGTTGAAAGCCTTCACTGCAGCTGAAGTTCAACTTAGAAGCTTTTAGTTTTATTAAATTTTTTAATTGAATAAAGTTTAAATTAAATTATATACTATAGTGCTCATGAATTTTGTCACACTTTCTAACCCTACCGGTTCTCTCTTCTTATCAAACAAGATCTACCGACACCTCTGTTTAGTTCGATGGTTTTATCGGAAGACCACTTTTTGTCTAGCAGGCAAGACAATAAAATAATCTTCCATATTCTTACAATACATTTAAGAATATTAATTGTACACGAGCCTGGAAATAATTATAAAAAGTGTACGTCATCCTTAAATAACAACGGAGTATAATCTAGTTGGGACGGAGTAGCCTAACGATAGAGAGCTGGACTGCTAGCCTGTAGGTCTCGAGTTCGAATCCGGGTTCAAGTCAGTAGACCTTACCTGAGTCCACCCAGCTCTGATGGGTACTTAACTCACAATAGGGAAAGTAAAGGCGGCTGGGTATAGTGCTGACCACACTATCTCTTCATATGCCGAGGTCACAGAAACAAGTGAACTTGCCCCATAAACCGTCATATTTAAAAGGGAACTTTACTACTTATTACTATAATCTAAATAGATGTAGGTATAGATGTCTAGATGTCAGTCATTATCCAGTGACCTACTCACCTTTTGTGGTAATGAATTGGCACATACATGCCAGAAATGTTAAAATTGTGTATAGTTTGGGGTCGTCCATAAATGACGTCACACTCGTAGGGGGGAGGGGGGATCTTGAAATTTTAACACAGATTAAGAGTATAGATTAGTTTGCTTTTTTAATGTATTAAAATCTTTAACAAAAAGTATTAGTTCTAAGCTACACCTCACATCTTTCTGTTAATATTCTTTAAAACAGAATAGAATATAGAATTCATGAACTAGATGTACTTCTTACTTAATATAGCGAAATCTTAAAAGCTGCTGACAAATTTAAAAAAAAAAATAGACGTTTATGCTATTTATCTGAAATAAACCAATTCGTTTATGATTGTAGGCCTAGATGTTTTCCTTTAAAACTGAAGTGATAAGCTCGTACGTCATACAACATTGTGAAATGATTCAAATCGCTTTCTTAATAGGTCGGAGCGATTGTGATGCTGGGGCTAGGGGTGGAGGGTATCACCTCTCCCATGGTCCATTCATAATTTTAAAATGTTGATATTGTAATACTGTTGTGAATTATATCCTAGGGTCTGCAGCAGTGTTTCTTCCAGACTTTTTTCTCCGGGGGGGCACTTGAAATTTTCGGGGGGGCGGTAAACTTTCTTCGGGGGGGGCGGACACTGTTAAAAGTATATATTTTCTATATAAATTATATAAATTTCATTTCGTTCGGGGGGGGGGGGGGGGGCGGTTAAAAATTTTCGGGGGGCTTTGCCCCCCCGAAGAGATGCCTGGAAGAAACTCTGGTCTGCAGGGGTATGAGAGTGCATATGGTGTGGAATTATTTATATAATTTATACTAATAAAAGTTTGTTACTGTGTGCCGAGGTAAGAAGGGATGCCACGTTTGAGAGGAGAATCTGGTTGCTATGAGAAATAGGTTAGAACGGTTTCCCTCGTGTTGTGCTACTGTGTGGAGGTATTTGTCCGTCGCCGTGTATTGGGTCAAGTCAGTGGCGTAGCGAGGTCGTGACACCCGGTACGGCACTTAATGGCGTCACCACCCAGAGACGTAGCGACGCTTCCCGGGGACAAACTTTCAATAATCGATTTGCACCCCCCTCCCCCATCACTTTCGATTTGCACCCCATTCTCTCACAGTTTCGATTTCCAAACTTTCGCTGTTCACCTCTTAAAAGACTATTTAACACTCGAATTAATCACTTAATTAAGTGGAATTATCATTTCTCTATATATTTTGCTATTTTTTACCTTGGTGTCACCCCCCTAAATGGTGTCACCCGGTGCGGTCCGCCCCCCCCCCCTTCACCCCCTCGCTACGCCACTGGGTCAAGTCTTTGTATTAGTTGTGTATGTTGTCTATCCGATCCTGTTGAGTCATTTGAATAAAATCGCCATTGTTGATAAATCCACTAACAACCTAACACACCTATTTTTGGAAGAGTCTATTATCCGACATCGGTAGCACAAATATAGCCTCTATAGATAGAAAAGAAATACCTTGATCTAGGCCAAGATCTAGTGCTTCTGGTCTAGTATGTTGTGTGGAAATAAATTCTATTACTAATGTCAGAAGTTTTATCAGTTTTATCAGTTTTGTGCAGAATCTAAATTTAGTAGCAGATTAGCAAACACATAGACAGGCACACACAGTAGGCTACTGCGTCCCACATACATAACTTTAATACATTTCACATCACCACAACTATAATACTACATCACTATTTGATACACATAGAGAAAAGCGTGTATTAAGTACATTACTAAAATTTATGAGCGAGCCTCCATGCTTTTATACCAAGCCATGGGTACTCATGATCACCTGCATTGGTTCCATGACAAATGATCTCAGGACAAATGATCTCAGACAAAATATCTCAGACAAAATATCTCACGGACAAATGATCTCAAGACAAATGATCTCAGGACAAATGATCTCAAGGACAAATGATCTCACGGACAAAAGATACCAGGACAAAATTTATCAGGACAAATGATACCATGGACAATTGATCTCAGACAAAATATCTCAGACAAAATACCTCACAGCAAAATTTTAATAGTGTATTGGATGATTTTAGTTGATTAGAACTTTTTTTTAATTGACTGTCAATATGGTTTTGTTTACTTTTTTACGCATTAAAATTGTGAATAAAATGAATTTGTTAAACTTAACAAAGCATCAAAAGATTTATCAAACCTAATCTTTGTAATAGCTTTTGATTTGAAAAAGTAAAAATGAAAACAAACGTACCCCTTTAGCTTGAAAGGTATAATAAATGATAATGTATAAAAAAACATAAAGTAACATTAATGTTCAAAACTCTCTAATTATTTTTGAAAAATGTGAAAGGGTCATCAGGTCCGTAACATAATACAATTGTTTTTATTGCAGCATCAACTCAAACATAACGCTTACGTTTGTTTTTTTTTTTGCTGGAAGGTGCATGGTTATGATCACACCTCTCCAATACTATTTGATAATGCATTGTTTGAACTCTTGCTCGACATGTTCTAACTTCACATTTCCAAATCTCTTTGCCTGCTACACCACTTATGGCTTTAATAAACATAAATTCACCAGAAACTAATATCCTAAAACCTTTCTGTTAGGTAACTACTGAGGCCATAGCTGAGTAATCACCACCAATACTACTTTGTTTGCATGCACACTACGACAAACTTAGCTCCGCAATGACCACTGTCGTTTAAATAAGCATTAGTCACCTGATCACTAAGGTGTGAGCGACGCATAACAATGGACTTTAGATGCTAGTTGTATCGTCCATGGAGGTCGGATGTCTTTCCCTTAAGGCATGTCTCTACCATCAAAGCCACCTTGATACGAATGTGTGTCTATATTGTTATTTCATCCGCTTTTATCTAGTTTAATCCACCTGACTTGGTAGGATTGTCTCATGTTTGTCAAGCCCACCGACTCTGTCTATCGAAAAAAATTCTTTAATCTTTGCATACTATATTAGTAATGTTAATTTTTAAATGTTTAGTGCAATATTACAAATTTATAAGGTAAACATTCTAACAATTATTATATAGGCCTATAAACAATCTTAAACATAGTAAACAAATAAAATATGACAGTCAATAAAAACATATTCAGGTCAACTAAAATCATCCAATACACTATTAAAATTTTGCTGTGAGATATTTTGTCTGAGATATTTTGTCTGAGATCAATTGTCCATGGTATCATTTGTCCTGATATATTTTGTCCTGGTATCTTTTGTCCGTGAGATCATTTGTCCTTGAGATCATTTGTCCTGAGATCATTTGTCTTGAGATCATTTGTCCGTGAGATATTTTGTCTGAGATATTTTGTCTGAGATCATTTGTCCTGAGATCATTTGTCCTGTCACCCCTGCATTATAGGCCTATATATTTTTAATGTTAGAATTATTTTTTAAAAAATCTATAAAGTAGTTATTTCAAAACGCAGAGGCGTAGCGACCCCTCATGGCGTTTCGTGTCGTTTCGTTAGTTTTTGTTGTATTAAGGACTATCTTCTTGTGTAGAATGCGGTGTGTGGGTGTACTTTGACTTGGAGCAAAATTTTAAATTTCTTTTTATTGTTCGTGGGCGTCGTATGACACACGGACATAGGCGTAGCGTGGGGAGGGCGGGGGCGGGATATATGTCCCCCGGCGCCTACAAAAGGGGGCGTAAAAATGTGTTGGAAAAACAAATCAAAATCTCATTTTAGCTGCAGTTTTGCATTGTCAATATAAAAAATATATGGGGGGGGGTGAAAATGGAAAGTTTGAGAGGAAGGGTGCAAATGGAAAGTTTAAGGGGAGGTGCACATTGAAAATTGAATGAACATTCTTGAAGGACGTGCTCCGTATTCTCCGGGGCCTTGCCACAAGGGCATATTTCGCCAAACCCAATTTTTAGTTTTTATGCATGTACTGTTTTAGTCTGTTGTGGCCTGTTCTGAGTCTAAAGAATCTAAAAGATTATTATACCTTTTTAAATAATTATATTTCTAATTAAAACATGTTTATCCCATTTTATTATCTTTGTTGTGACATGCCATGCACTTGAGTGAACCCACCCCAGGAAAGGTAAGAAAGAGGTCCCACAAAAGAGACCTTGAGGTTGAGTCTTCTTAAAGAACTGCAAACCGTATGCATGATTTGCTAGACTGCTATATCAACAGCAGGGGACCAGACACATTGTACTGCCATGGTTGAGTCTCTATGCTCCACAAGGAGTAAAGAGGATAAAGCCAAGCAAGCATATTATATTTGTAATTTATCATCATCATCTTTTCCCTTTTGTGTTGAGGACATAGTGCAATTATTTTTAAAAGTGCCTTTTGAACTAAAGCAAAGATGTTTAAAATCATTTTTATTTCTTTTTTTAATGAACAATTACAAAATGGACACTCCTCCTCTATAATACATGACTGAAGCAGTAAATAAAATAAAGACAACAATAGTATAAAGTAATACAAAATGCCACAATCAAACATGTGAATTGTTAAGGGGGATATTGCTTTTGGAGAATAACAAAATAACATCAAGTAATTTTTAAGTATATGGAACATACAACATGAAAATGAAGGTAATTATTCTGTAAAAGAATAGACATCCTCAATCTTTTTAGAGTACATATTATAAAATAAACATAATATAGGCTTGTTTTAAGTACCTGTAATGGAATGAAGTAATTAAAACATTGAGAACAGGCAAACTCTATTTCATCTCCCCTGTGTGTCTTAAACACAAATGGGAAAGGATAATGATAATAATTAAATTATGTAGAATTTAAGGCAGCTATTAAATTTTAAAAAAATATTTTTCACCAAAATTGTTGAAAGTCAATTTCAAGCTAACTTCCACACCAGAGCCCACATGACCATTGCCAGGTACAAGACACCATAAGAAGACATCAGCTTGCAGACATTGTTGGTGGAATCTACAAGAGGCATTCAAGAACTTTTTGTTTTGATAAATATTAAGATACTACAGTGGGTTAATGTTGCACTAGATATTATATGAGCCCCGACCTCAAAATGCAATTTTATTCTCAATAATAAATATACTTTATGTTATGCAATATAAACTTATGCTTGAAATCTGATTTTAAAAGGCTGTAAAAAAATAAATCATAAGTGATTATTGATAGAAGTCCAACAAATTCCATCAATTTTCTGATAGTGTATAATAATAATAAGAATGATAATAATAAAAATAATAATATGCACAATTGATTTTATAACAAGCAGTTGTATACACCAGTACAAAAAGCTTCTTGTATTAAAATATTTATAAATGTTATGCAACATAACTCAAGATATAAAACATTGCATACTTGCCAAAAGAGGTGAATATGGTATAAAATTTTTTATTTTATCAATAGTCTCAGGTCCACAAAAAAATACTTTATGTTTTTCTGTAGATAGAAAAATATAATGTTCTATAATATGTTAAAATATAAATAACTATTTTTATTATATAAAGCTTTAACTAAATCCTCATCGAGTTTATGTAATAATTACAATACGATAAGATCACAAAAAGCACACAAATTGAAATGAGTAAACGGAAAGTGCATCTTACAACAGTACTTTTTTAAATGCAGAAAAGTGTATGGATGGGGAATTAGGATCTCGTTTTTGCTTTTTAAAAATGGTACGTTTTACAATACCAGCAATAAACAGAACAATAACAAGAGCATAGGGGTTTCATCAAACTCTGTATAGCGATGTGTAGAATGTATTGACTTTAGCAAACTACTTTTTTGCTAAGAAGCCTGTTTGCTACAGCACTCTCAAAAACACATCTGAGAAGACACGCAGGTCATATTTGATAGTAATAGGCCTATGTCTATTCGGCTTTTAAATCAGCTATACACGATTTTCAACTAGTCTAGTTCAACTAACCAACATCTTTGTATGATACAACCAGCTTTCTATCATGCGTTCCTGGAACAGGTTCTGTCAAATTTGAAATTACTTCCTTAAGTCCATTGAAGTACCAGTTACCATAGCCTGCGATACCGTAAAATGTACAAGTACAGGTCCTAGTTTCTCCAGGATATATGGGTTTAGAACTCAGGAATTCACAGGTCGGGTCCAATTCTGTGTGGTCAGATCCTGGATGAAATAAATTGAATATTTTTCATGTTGTATTCATGTCTGTCATGGGCGTGAAGAAGGACGAAATAGATACAGTAAATGCATTCAAATATACGCTTAACAAAGGGGACATCGTGGTCGGATGTTAGAGCAATTAAATGTCACGAGTTCAGATCGCTGGCAGAGTTCTGTGACATCCCTGAGTCCAACAGGCTGTGATGGGTACCTAGCTCAGGTAAAGTTAATAATTTCAGCCGAGAGAAGTGCTGACCATACTATCCGTTCCCATGTCAAGATCATAGAAACATTACTTTATGCATTTAACAAGGGCATTTAACAAGGGCATGCTTTTTAAATGTAATATACCATGTACAAAGTAGCAGTCTATAAATTATAAGGAATTGTGAAACTTTTAAGGGGGTAGGCTTCAGAAAATAACTTAATTTATTTGTGTATATGTAATTTAGGGTGCTAAAAGCAACATATTTTCAAGAATCAAGCATCAGGGACTCTTTCGAAAATATTGGTTGCCATGGCAACGGCGATTATTTTGAAAAACAAATCTTTTACCGAGTTTTAAAATTTCATAAATTAACATAGTTATTGGCCATAGGATCATTGATTCTTCTTTTACTAACGTAATGTAATTTTTAAAAAAAACACTCTAGAAATATTTTTTTGCAATTTTTAAATTTCGATATGGTGAAAATTCTTTTAAATCAATTTTTAAAACTAAATAGTAGAGTAAGTTCCACTTCCGTTTACCGGAAATGACTGAAAAGTTATTACAGAACTACAAATTTCATGTTATACTAATATACGAAATTTCATCAACCTAGCTGTAACGGTACTCAAGTTATCTTGTTCACAGACATACACATACACAGACATACTGAAAAAATTGCAAAACTATGTTTTTCCAACTTCCTCTATACTTCGTATTCAAGAAAGTCTTACTATTTAAGAAGTATTTACTTATAAACCTATTGAATAAAATATTAATGCACGCTCAATCGACTGCTGTGTGTGGAGTGAGAGATATGATTTATATAACACGATATGATGACCAACTTTCAACTCCTAAACTAAAATTCTGATGCTATCGCCTGCCTAACTGTCTGTAGCTAATGAAATCCCTTCGCCCATTGAACGTACTATATGCCTTTCTATTGGCTCCTAGCTTCTGAAAAATGGCTTCTAATGCCAATTATAAATTAGCTACTATCATTGATCCATTTCTAATTTTTACATAACCTTTCAACATCACATTGTGCATATCGAAATTCTCCAGCATAAATAATTAGTTTGGAATATTTTTGATATCTAAAACAAACGGTCATATGTCAGAGTAGTTATTTTAAAAATAAGTAAACACCTACCATACTTAGAGAAACCAGACGAGCTATTTTTAACTTCAATAACCTCAGAGCCGTTCATGAGAGACATGTTTACAGAGTAGGAGTGTAGTTCTATATATATCATTTCCATTGGAACAGTCACCATGCACCAGTCCTTGCATAAACTACTGTCGCGTCCAGTCGTGCCATTGTTGTAGGACACATTTTCTATGGCATATTCCGGTGCATCCTACAGACATTTTTGGTTGCCATTAATTTATAACAGGGGTCTCTAAACTTTTCAGCCCGAGGGCCGCATTAACTATCAAATATAAGTTCGGGGCCAAAGTTTCTTCCAGATATATCATTGGGTTGGCATTTTTCCCCAGCCACCTACAACAAACATTTATTTCCGTGGACAAAAAGATCACCGAGGGCCGCATTAGAGGACCTCGCGGGCCCGCGGGCCGTAGTTTGGAGACCCCTGATTTATAACAATAGCTACAGGAAGAAAAAATGTACGTCCTTGAGTCCACCTAGCTGATGGGTACTTGACTCACGTGAGGAAAGGGAGAGTGATTGGATACTGTGCTGACCACACTATCCCATTCTATACCGAGGTCATAGAAACACATGAACACTAAATCACCTTCCATGTAACCCATTAGATTTGGGGTCATCCATAAATGACGTCACGCTTTTTTGACGATTTTTACCAATCCCTCCCCTCCGTCACACGTCGTCACAAAAAGCCAGACCCCCCTAAAAATGACGTCACACCTCAGTCTATAACCCCCTTTAAAAGTGCTTTTGAATTTTTCTTAAAACATCAAAATCCAAAATCTTCCAAAATCTTGTCAGAAGTCGGTAAACATGAGTATTTTGATCAATTGCTATTACAATTTATGAAAAACGTTTTCTAAAACGCAAAATAACGGCTAAAACTTGTTTTCTAACATTGCTTTTTCATAACGCAAAAACGTGACGTCACACAATCTGCCCCCCCCCCCCCTTCATCACACACTGTCACAAAATTACGGACCCAGTCTCCCCCCTACGAGTGTGACGTCATTTATGGACACCACCTTTGGAAAAGTTAACTTCACAACAACAATAATTTTAAAATCATCAACTAAAAAGGCGAGGAAGACAAATAAAATAAAACGCATGGAAGAAATCAAGGAATGAGCTGCATTTTGTGTGTTAAAGCATTACGAAAAGGTCAACATTGGTGCCCCAATCAGTGGCGGAGCAAGGTCGGGTGTCACCCGGTGTGGCACCTAATGGTTTCACTTGCAGAAATCTTTTCATTTTGTCGTAAATTATAAACTTAGGTTCCCCTCGACTCAGAAGTGGATTTACAATAAGGTATTACGCTTTTCAACTAAATATTTTTCCTCAGGCAAATTTTGCAAAATTTACTTGATGTAACTCTCCCCTCCTCCATTCCCCACCCTCATATAATACTGTGATCATATAATACTCAAGTTTTTATCTAAAGTCTGTTATTAATAATACAGTTGGATGTAGCAGCCCCTACCCTTGTCGTGACGAGTCAATTTAGCTCTAAACAGTCTATTTAACTCTAATTAATCATTAATTTAACTGAAACGATCAGGTTTTCCGGTATATATTTTGCTATTTTTTGGCCTTGGTTTTACACCCCCCCCCCCCCGCTAAAAGTCGCTACCCTGTGGGTATGACCCCCCCCACCTCCCCCCCCCCCCACCCCCAGGCCCCAATGACCTATAACGGTTAATAAGCGCTAGGTAAAAGAAAAATAAAACATACCCAGATATAGAGCTTAAAATCACAGCTGATATTAAATAACATCAATTCAGTGCAGCATTGAACTGTCTCAACTTTGAGATCCTTACTTGATGAATAACAATGAACATAATCTAGTGAAGCTGGATACAAAACAAAAAATCTATTATGCATTTTTATTAATGACTGAATTGGTATTAAGAAACCCAAAATCACAGAATAACACATTACAGCCCAATATTCCCAAACTAAGTGGCCACAGTTTGATTCAAAATAAAACAAACTATAAATTTGATCCATACTCAGCAGATTAGTTATAGTAATAAAAGGATGCACACTTTTGAAAATTGTGTTTATTAATGTAAAATCTAAATTGTATTTAGTAAAATATAAAATGAAAATAGGTTGCTTAAAAAAGGCTATATATATATTCCATTATGTCCCAAAGTCAACTCTAAACTAGAGACTATCAATGTTTCTCAAAAAATTGCCATATCAAATCTATTTAGCTGATTAAGCATTCCTTACAGGGTGAGTTACAGTTTATCAGTAGCAATGTTTCTTCCAGACTTTTTTCTCTGGGGGGGGGGGGGGCACTTAAAATTTTCGGGGGGGGGGGGGCGGTAGACATTCTTTGGGGGGGGGGCGGAAACTGTTAAAAGTATATATTTTCTGTATAAATTATATAAATTTCAATTCGTTAGGGGGTGGGGGGTGGGGGCGGTAAAAAAAATTTGGGGAGATGCCTGGAAGAAACTCTGATCAATTGTGATAGTTATTATTTTTACAAGGACAATAGTGCACTACATTGAGAGACTGAAATAACAAATTTCATAGAGTAAAAATTTGATGGAGAGAAACATTTCCGAATACAATACATGTCAGAGTTTCTAACATAAATAATAGTAGAGAATGTTACTATAGTTGTCAAAAGCTGAAATTTTTATATGATAAAAAAATGTGGAAATGTGTGATGCTGACTTAAAAGAAGAAATTAATTTTTATTTTTTCTCATGGTTATATTTGAGGTTTTTTGTGTGCTAAAAACAGCACTGAAGCAAACTTATAGTGTAAGGTCTTTCTCTTATTGTATGTGTCCACTCACATTTTATTTCTATCTCAACAAAACCACTGATGTTCTTTTTTCGTTCATCTTCTGTACCCAGGATCATACGGGCTGAAATTTCGTGAAAACCAGGGCCTAGTGTCAAAAGTGGAATTTGAAGGTTACATTTGTTCTGGAAATATCCATTCTCAGGTGTCGAGTGGATTTCAGTAGCATTCTCAATAGCAGTGAGGTTCTATAAGATATTATAAATTGATGACTGTTTAGATAAATAGATCAGTTCGGTATTCTAAATAAGCTAAAAGCACTTTCCAGAGAAAATATAAAACGTAGGCGATGGCAATACCAAGTTTAATTACCAACACATTTTTTTTTATAAACGTTAAAAAAACATTTCTAAAAACTCATCCACACAACTTACAGAAAATCTAGTGTCAATATAAAATTTGCAATCCTCCACTTTGTAGTCAGCCACTGATGAACAATTTATGAAGGCTATTCTGTTGTAAATGTTATATGTGCAGTCGAGTTTGATCCATTCAGCTAAAAGTTAAGTATGTTAAATAGCCTTTTTTATTTTAACTGTATATTGAGTGAAGTTTACACAAAAGGGTATTCCGATATGATAAGAAAATGTGGAGATGTTTGATGCTGACTTAGAAGGAAAATTAGTTGTATTTTTTCTGATAGTTATATTTGAGTTTTTTTAAATGAAGCAAACATATTGTGTAAGGTCTTTCTCTTATTGTATGTGTCCACTCACGTCTTATTTTTATCTCAACAAAACCGCTGATGTTCTTTTTTCCTCCATCTTCTGTACCCAGCGTCATTAAGGCTGAAATCGTATGGTCACCAGGGCCTAGTGTCAAAAGTGAAATTTGAAGGCTACAGTTGTTCTGGAACGATCCATTCACAAGTATCGAGTGGATTTCAGTAGCATTCTCAATAGCAGTAAGATTCTATAAAATGTTATAAATTAATGACTGTTTAGAGTTTAGATAAATAGATCAGTTCGGCATTCTAAAATAAGTTAATAGCACTTTCAAGATTACATGTAATACGTAGGCGATGGCAATACCAAATTTAATTACCAACAATGTTATTTATAAATGTTAAAAAATATGTTTAAAAACTCATCCACACAACTTACAGAATATTTAGTGTTAATATAAAATTTGCAATCCTCCACTTTGTTGGCAGCCACTGATAAACATTTTATGTTGGTTATTCTATTTAATTCATATGTGCAGTCGAGACGCGTCACTACAGCTAAAATTTAAGTATGTTAAATATTTATTTTCATTTAAGTTGTAGATTGAGTGAAGGTTAAATAAAAGGGTATTCTTATGTGCCAAAGAGTGTTGCCATACTTTCTAACACTACTGGGCCAACGCCTCCGTTCTCATCATTTAAGTCCTACAATCAACCTTTTGAGTGTGATAGTTTTTATGGAAGACCCCTTTTTAATTTATCTAACACGTAAGAGTATAAAATATAATTATACATGCAACAATATTAAACGAATGCGAGCAACGTAATTCTAATGAAAAATTATTGTCATCTTTAAATCTTTAGGGGTCGTCCTAAATTGATGTCACACTCGTAGGGGGAGGAGAGGGTCCGTAATTTTGCGACGGTGTGTGATGAGAGGGAGTGGGAGAAGTAGTTTATATAAAAAAAGCAATGTTAGAAAACGATTTTAGACGTTATTTCGCGTTATAGTAAAATGTTTAATAGGAATTGATTAAAATACTTTATTTTGACAGAGTTCAAACAAGAAATTGGTAAAAATATCGATGTTTTAAGAAAAATTCAACTGCAATTTTGATGGGGGGGGGGGGGGGTTTGTAGACAGAGGTGTGACGTCATTTTAGGGGGAGGTCTTTTTGGGTGAGGTAAAAATCGTCAAAAAAAAGCGTGACGTCATTTATCGATGATCCCTTAGTAGAATCTAGATCTAGATAGATGTAGATCTATATCTCTTGACGGTCGTAGTCTGGGGAATTACTCACCTGCCAAATTAGGAAACAGGGTCATACATATCAGAAATATTGTAAATGTGTTTAGTATTGGCATTGTTGAACTTGTAAATCTTGAAATTTTAAAACAGATTAAGAGTATAGATTAGTCTGTATTTAAATATTCATTAACGTTTTTACAAAAGTATAACAATTAAGCTACACCTAAGCCAATAAAATTAATATTAGATAAAACAGAGTATAATCATTATTAATAATTAAGAATACAGAACTTTTAATTTTAAAACATATCATGGGTGTTGATTAGTCTAAATTTTAAAATTTATTAAGAATGAAATAAAACAATTAGATCTAATCTACAGCTAAGCCTATAAAATTAATATTAGATAAAACATAGTAGAACTCTGAACTCACGAACTAGATGTACTTCTTACCAGATCCAGATGTAGCGAAATTCTTAAAAGACTACTGACACATTTTGTATTCCCTGATATCTTTTATCGTTAAAAATTATGAGATAAGCTCTTACGTCATGAAACAACAGTGTGTAATGTTTCAGACATAAAATCTAGTCCAAGGTTTAAATCGCTAGTTGACACTCTGTGTGTGCTATTAGTAACTTTGTTTTGCTAGGCAAAAGAATAATTTTGTTTTTCTATGTTTTAATGTTTAATCATATAAAATGTTTCTTATTAAGTTAAGAGTCTGTATGTTCACTAAAATAATAGGATTGTTTTTCTCATTAAACATAAATTATATTTGCATTTAAGTGGCGTCACGAGGTCGGTTGTCACCCGGATATCTTTAAGTGTGGTGCTTCAGAGTGTATTTATCTATTCTTTGTTACTAAATAAATGTCACGATAAGTGCAATTGCATTAAGTCCTAGCAATGTTGAACGTGTAAATCTTGAAATGTTAAAACTGATAAAGCTACTGATAAACTTATAGCTACAATTTATGTTATATAAGACATAATAGAACTCACGAACTAGATGTGTTTCTTACTGGATGAAGTGAAGTGCCAAAAAGCTAGTAATGGAAGTGACGAATCTATGATAAAATCTTCATTTTAAACTATTTATCTGAAACCAGTGGCGTAGCCAGGATCGTCTCAAGGGGGGTTCCAATTTTTACCCGGGGACAAACTTCGATTTGCACCCCCCCCCCCTCAAACTTTCGATTTGCACCCCCCTCTCATACTTTTTCTATCTACCGAGGGGCCTACGGGGGGGGGGGTTATGACCCCCCCCCCCTAACCCCCCCCCCCGTGCCTACGCCACTGTCTGAAACAAACCTAACGCGAACAGTATATTCGTAGGCATATTTGTAGGATAATATCTTCTCTTTAAAAAAAAATTAAGTGATACAAGCTCAAGCGTCATATAACATAGTGAAATGTTTTAAACAGAGAATCTAGTCTAAGGTTTAAACCGCAATCTTATCACCCTGATAATCGAAAATTGAGAAAAATATTTCACACCAAAAAAAAATTATTATACATACACACATACTTTTTTTGCCATAGTGGTTAGAACCAAAGAGCTATATAAACGTATATAAATAAGGGCCTTCGTACAATGCAAAAAAAACTAGTTTTGCCAGAATAAAAACAATTAGAAAGGAAGGCCTTCAGTTTTCCAAAATGTTAACATATCTGCTGAAAAATTAGCGATTTTTTGTTTTGTTTTGGCAAATGTTTTTGTTTCTTTCCCTTTGTCTGGATAACACTCCCCTTTTAATTCATCTAATCTAATCACTATGGGTAGCCTAGTGGGTTTTAGGGGGTTTTATCATCTCCCATCGACCCTAACTCCTTTCCTTAAGAAGATGTTGATATATTACTACTTTTACTTTCTTCATCTTTTCCATGGTATCAGATCCGTACACTTTTTACGATGGGAAATGCTATTTCTTGTAAAACTCATTAATTGGTTGGATTACACCCGTAGACTCTCATGGTTAACAGTTTCATTTTAATTGTAGTGGGCAACAACATTATAAGGTACTTAGATCATGATGGCAAGAGAACCCCCAACCGATGTTATTTATTATAGCAGAACTGTTCAGGTGATTTTACAGGTTAATGCTACGGTCAAGTAAAGTAAACATTGGGGGGGGGGGGGGCTCTTTTTTCTGGATCTTTGACATGCAGTTACCAATAGTGCTATAGTATACAACTACATTGGATTAATGCAATACAAGAGTAAAATTGTTCGAGTGTCGACTAATATGCATTTTAACTATTAATTATAAAGAATGAATCTGTTTACACTTTTTCAAGTAATTTACAAACAGTGACTATAAATATTCCTGTGAATTATTTTTTTCGTTCACCGATCTCTCCCCCCCCCCCCATCCCCTCCCCTTGATAAAAATATTCGTATAACCATTTCAATGAGTCTTATCAAGGAAAATGTGTCAATATGTGTTAATAAACCAAGGCAACATATATACATATATTTTCAAAATATATCTATGAAAATCATCAGTTTAATTTTAGTTAATAATCTTATTTTGAAATATTTTAGCAATATTACTATGTAAAAAGATAAACATTTTAAAAATATGAATGTCAAAAAAGATTTGATAGACAGTTGCCTTTTGTCATAGATTAATCAATGTTTATTAATGCAAATAATAACCTGTTATAATCTCATTATTAAAGACTATTAGATATGTAATAGTTAAAACTTTTATTATTGCATCATTTTGTAAAATGAATACTTGATGTTAAGGAGAGCACCACTGTATCGATATCTTAGGATAGGTATCGTACAAAAAGAGAATTGTCTTTCTTTATGAATATAGGACTAATATTTTACAAAATAACTACACACATAAAAATAGGTAAAAAATATAGTTTTAAATTCTCATTACCTTGAAAAAATCCTAATGGATAATGTTATTATATTTATATGGAAAGCTATATGGGGCACCCGCTGATCTGGAGACCACAGTCCAGTTCATAACTAAGTTGGGCTTGTTTAAATTCTTCATCATATATTTAATTAAGAACGAAGAAGAAAATTATTTTTGTATTTAGTAGCATATTTATAAAAAAAAAAGTATTTAAAGAACTGGAAATTAGCAAACTTATTACAAACAAATAATATACATTAAAATTTGTTTCTACTTCTGTTTAATTCTGATGAAAAATAAGTAATTTATTATTTTTAAAGAAATAAGGATTCAACGAAATATTAACATCAGTATACATAAAATCTTTCAAGGAACTGAATATTAATAGACCAATTACAAAATAGTATATAAACATATATACTAAATGTCAGCCACATAGCTTTATAAATTTTTAAAAGACAGTGTATGACGTAAATGTTCATGAAAGATTTATTTAGTTGAATGTAAAAAAGAAATTTTAAAAATGTTCCCTGGGCTGATACCTGTAAATAAAATAAAAATAAAACAATATACCACAGTAAATTTAGTGCACAGTTTAAAGGTATAATGCTTGTTTGATAATAAAATACAACCATGTTATTAAAAATTATATTATATATACAAAATGAAAATAAAGGAAATGTTATGGTAAAAGAATCATGAAATTTCTCTAAAAATTAAAAAAAAGCAACTTATGCTATAATAAATATTAATAAAATTTATAAATAATAAATTATAATTTTATTTTAAGTATGAATAAAACTAAACAAAAATGTTTCTAGTAGAGCATTTTTTAATCTACTGTAAAACCTTTTCTAGTTTGTTAAAAGAACTAATTATTGATTTTAAATTGTGTAATGATTTTAAAAACATAATAGTGGATTAAAATACTACTTTCTATAAAACATATTTTAAAAAACACAAAAGCATTTTAGTTACATCAACAACAATAAATAATATCAAGAATACAAAGAACTTTCAAATATTTTTTTAATTGAAATAATTTGAATAGGTAGTCTTTAAAAAATAGTTGTAAGAAAATTATATGTGAAGACTTTCTTTTTAACAAAATTATCATCTAGCTTAAAACAAATGACATTAATTAGATGAAGTTCATAATTATAGGCTACATGAACTTTTTTTACGAAATAAATGCTACTTTTTACCTTGGTGTCACCCCCCCCCCCCTAAAATGGTGTCACCCGGTGCACCCCCGCCACACCCCCACCCCACTGGGTCAAGTCTTTGTATTAGTTGTGTATGTTGTCTATCCGATCCTGTTGAGTCATTTGAATAAAATCGCCATTGTTGATAAATCCAAGTTATAAATAGTGTATATTTGTCCCCGTCGTATACTGGCTTTGCAACACTAACAACCTAACAAACCTATTTTTGAAAGAGTCTATTATCCGACATCGGTAGCACAAATATAGCCTCTATAAATAGAAAAGAGATACCTTAATCTAGGCTAAGATCTAGTGCTTCTGATGTAGCATGTTGTGTGGAAATAAATTCTATTACTAATGTTAGAAGTTTTATCAGTTTTATCAGTTTTACGCAGAAGATCTAAATTTAGTAACAGATTGGCAAACACATACACAGGCACACACAGTAGGCAACTGCGTCCCACATACATAACTTTAATACATTTCACATCACCACAACTATAATACTATATCACTATTTGATACACATAGAGAAAAGCGTGTATTAAATACCTTACTAAAATGTATGAGCGATCCTCCATGCTTTTATACCAAGTCATGGGTACTCATGATCACCTGCATTATAGGCCTATATATTTTTAATGTTAGAATTATTTGGACAAAAATCTATAAAGTAGTTATTTCAAAACGCAGAGGCGTAGCGACCCTCATAGCGTTTCATGTCGTTTCGTTAGATTTTGTTGTATTAAGGACTATCTTCTTGTGTAGTATGCGGTGTGTGGGTGTACTTTCACTTGGAGCAAAATTTTTAATTTCTTTTTATTGTTAGTGGGCGTCGTATGACACACGAACAGAGGCGTAGCGTGGGAAGGGCGGGGGCGGGATATATGTTCCCCGGCGCCTAACATAGGGGGCGCCAAAATGTGTTGGAAAAACAAATCAAAATCTCATTTTAGCTGCAGTTTTGCATTATCAATATAAAAAAAAATATATGGGGGGGGGGGGTGAAAATGGAAAGATTGAGAGGAAGGGTGCAAATGGAAAGTTTAAGGGGAGGCGCACATTGAAAATTGAATGAACATTCTTGAAGGACTTGCTCCGTATTCTCCGGGGCCTTGCCACAAGGGCATATTTCGCCAAACCCAATTTTTAGTTTTTTATGCATGTGCTGTTTTAGTCGGTTGTGGCCTGTTCTGAGTCTTAAGAGTCTAAAAGATTATTATACCTTTTTTAAAGAATTATATTTCTAATTAAAACAAGTTTATCCCATTTTATTATCTTTGTTGTGACATGCCATGCACTTGAGTGAACCCACCCCAGGAAAGGTAAGAAAGAGGTCCCACATAAGAGACCTGGAGGTTGAGTCTTCTTAAAGAACTGCAAACCGTATGCATGAGTTGCTAGACTGCTATATCAACAGCAGAGGACCAGACACGTTGTACTGCCATGGTTGAGTCTCTATGCTCCACAAGAAGTAAAGAGGATTTAGCCAAGCAAGTATATTATATTTGTAATTTATCATCAACTTTTCCCTTTTGTGTTGAGGACATAGTGCAATTATTTTTAAAAGTGCCTTTTGAACTAAAGCCAAGATGGCTAAAATCATTTTTACTTTATTTTTTTAATGAACAATTAAAAAATGGACACTCCTCCTCTATAATACATGACTGAAGCAGTAAATAAAATAAAGACAACAATATTATAAAGTAAAACAATATGCCACAATCAAACATGTGAATTGTTAGGGGGGATATTGCTTTTGGAGTATAACAAAATAACATCAAGTAATTTTTAAGTATATGGAACTTATAACATGATAATGAAGGTAATTGTTCTGTAAAAGAATAGACATCCTCAATCTTTTTAGAGTACATATTATAAAATTAACATAATATAGGCTTGTTTTAAGTACCTGTAATGGAATGAAGTAATTAAAAACAGGACACTTATTATAAAAAGCTTGCAAAAAAGAACTTGTTTAGATTTATTTCTACTTTTGTTTCTAGATTAAATGTAATTAAACAATATAATATTTGCGCAAAAAATGCAATATTAAAGTGAATATAGGAACACTAAATCACAAAACAGTTATTTTAAATTAATTTATTATCTACATCTTTATTAGCACTACATACACAGAACAATGATAGTTAGTCATAAGGGTATCCAGTAGACATAGCTTTTGGAAGTAAAAAGCAATGTAAACAGAAAGTGTTATTTCAACGCCAAGGGCGTTGAAATAACACTTTCTGTTTACATTGCTATTTCAGTCACAACGCCAGCTTCCACCCCTCACCATGGAAGTAAAAAGTCACACTTCGACAATTACTAAAACTGCTGGAAACAAAATAGGTTGTTGATAATATTGATAGTATTTATATATGATAAATCATAATTCTATCTAAAGCTAGATTTAAACCGTTAACAGTAATTAGACATGGATTGTAGGCTATATGAAAAAAATCAGATGAAAGACGAAATATAGGGAAATAATAAATGTTATTTTTTACGGGTCCTACTTGATAACGTCATCTAATACAGAGAGAAAAAATAAAGTTTCTGATAATCCAGATGTTTAATCTGCTGTAAAAAAAATCTCATTTGTTGTAATTAAAATTTCATGTATGTTTATCAACTAGAGATAGTTGGGTACAAAATACATTTTACTCTCTTAAATAATCAAAGGGGATGGTGTGGTCAAATGATAGAGTACTAGACTGCTATCCTGAAAGTCTCAGGCTGGGAACTCAGACTCGAGTCTGTAAGACACACACTGATAGGTACCTGCCTCTTATTATGGAATTAAAAATGGCTGGACACAGTGCTGACCACACTATTCTTACATGTACTGAGGTCATAGAAAAAGGTGAACTACATCATTTTCCCCATTGACCACCCACTTCAAACTTTGAGTTACACTATCTCCCTGTCATTGAAACAGGAAAACTCTATTTCATCTCCCTTGTGTGTCTTAAACACAAATGGAAAAGGATAATGATAACAATTAAACTATATAGAATTTAAGGCACCTATTAAATTAAAAAAAATTTTTTTTACCAAAATTGTTAAAAGTCAATTTCAAGCTGCCTTCCGCACAAGAGCCCCCATGACCGTTGCCAGGTACAAGACACCATAAGAAGACATCAGCTTGCAGACATTGTTGGCAGAACCTACATGAGGAATTCACGAAAATTTTGTTTTAATAAATATCATGAGACTACAATGGGTTAATGTTGCACTAGATAATATAAGCTGGAAAATCCAACCCCCGACCGCAAAATGCTAGTAATTGTATGCTCGATAATAAATATATTTATGTTATGCAATATAAACTTATGCTTGAAATCTGATTTTTAAAGGCTGTAAAAAATAAATCATAAGTGATTATTAATAGATGTCCAACAAATTCCATCAATTTTCTGATAGTGTATAATAATAATAAGAATGATAATAATAAAAATAATAATATGCACAATTGGTTTTATAACAAGCAGTTATATACACCAGTACAAAAACTACTTGTATTAAAATCTTTATAAATGTTATGCAACATAACTCAAGATATAAAACATTGCATACTTGCCAAAAGAGGTGAATATGGTATAAAATGTTTTATTTTATCAATAGTCTCAGGTCCACAAAAAAACACTTTATGTTTTTCTGTAGAGAGAAAAATATATTGTTGTATAATATGTTAAAATATAAATACCTATTTTTATTATATAAAGCTTAACTAAATCCTCATCGAGTTTATGTAATAATTATAATACAATAAGATTACAAAAATCACACAAATTGCAATGAGTAAACGGAAAGTGCATCTTACAACTGTACTTTTTTAAATGCAAAGTGTATGGATGGAATTAGGATCTCGTTTTTGCTTTTTAAAAAGGTACGTTTTACAATACCAGCAATAAACAGAACAATAACAAGGGTTTCATCAAACTCTGTATAGACATGTGCAGAATCTATTGACTTTAGCAAACTACTTTTTAGCGCAATTTCCATACGGACAATTGCGATTATTAACTCGTCATTTCTGGATGGATGGATGAACAGATGTGTGTCCGCAGCTTTACCGCAGCTTTAAGTCGTATCTCCTCCTCAACGAAGCAATATCGAGGACTAGTTCCAAAGCAAATATGTTAAGCAAGTTCCGAGGATGATTGTGGGCCAAAAAAGTTCTCGGAATTCCTTAATGATTTCCCGAAAAAGCCAAAAAACATCGAAAAAATGAAGTTTTTGGCCCATATCTCGGCAACCAGACAACTGAGCGACTTGAAACATTTACCAATCGATTCCTGCCATAATTTAGAACAATATTGCCGAAGAAAGTTTTCAAAAATATCCTTTCGTTCGGTCACAAAAATGTTTTTAAAATTACATAAACACCTACAAACCGATCGTTCTCCTAGCTTGAATGCACCCCAGCATTATACGTCTTTGTTATCACTATCTATTTTTAGATAACATAAGGAAATTGCGCTTAAATTGTCACTAGACTTTATATTAACTTGTTTGCTAAGAAAACTGTTTACTACAGCACTCTCAAAAAGACATCTGAAAAGACAAGCAGGTTATATTTGATAGTAATAGGCCTATATCTATTCGGCTTTTAAATCAGCTATACACGATTTTCAACTAGTCTAGTTCAACTAACCAACATCTTTGTATGAAACAACCAGCTTTCTATCGTGCGTTCCTGGAACAGGTTCTGTCAAATTTGAAATGACTTCCTTAAGACCATTGAAGTACCAGTTAGCATAGCCTGCGATACCGTAAAATGTACAGGTGCAGGTCCTAGTTTCTCCAGGATACATGAGTTTAGAACTCTGAAATTCACAGGCCGGGTTCAATTCTGTGTGATCAGATCCTGGATAAAATAAATTGAATATTTTTCATGTTGTATCAATGCCTGTCATTCGCGTGAAGAAGGACGAAATAGATACAGTAAATGCATTCAAATATACGCTTAACAAAGGGGACATCGTGTTCGGATGTTAGAGCAATCAAATGTCACGAGTTCAGATCGCTGGCACCATTCTGTGACATCCCTGAGTCCAACAGGCTGTGATGGGTACCTAGCTCAGGTAAAGTTATTAATGTCAACCGAGAGAAGTGCTGACCATACTATCCGTTCCCATGTCAAGATCATGGAAACATTACTTTATGCATTAAACAAGGGCATGCTTTTTAAATGTAATATACCCTGTACAAAGTAGCAGTCCATTAATTATAAGGAACTGTGAAACTTTTAAAGGGGTAGGCTCCAGAAAAAAAAACTTAATTTATTTGTGTATATGTAATTTAGGGCACTAAAAGGAACATATTTTCAAAAATCAAAAATCAGGGACTGTTTTGAAAATATGGTTGCCATGGCGATTATTTTGAAAAACAAATCTTTTACCGAGTTTTAAAATTTCATAAATTAACATATTTATTGGCCATAGGATCATTGATTCTTCTTTTACTAACGCTAATGTAATTAAAAAAACACTCTCGAAATATTTTTTTGCAATTTTCAAAATTCGATATGGTGAAAATTCTTTAAAATCAATTTTTAAAACAAAATAGTAGAGTAAGTTCCACTTCCGTTTACCGGAAATGACTGAAAAGTTAATACAGAACTACAAATTTAATGTTATACTTATATACGAAATTTCATCAACCTAGCTGTAACGGTACTCAAGTTATCTTGTTCACAGACATACACATACACAGACATACTGAAAAAATTGCAAAACTATGTTTTTCCAACTTCCTCTATACTTCGTATTCAAGTAAGTCTTACTATTTAAGAAGTATTTACTTATAAACCTATTGAATAAAATATTAATGCACACGCTCAATCGACTGTTGTGTGTGGAGTGAGAGATATGATTTATATAACACGATATGCTGACCAACTTTCAACTCCTAAACTAAATTTCTAAATGAACTCCCTTCGCCCATTTAACGTACTTTATGCCTTTCTATTGGCTCATAGCTTCTGAACAATGGCTTCTAATGCCAATTATAAATTAGCTACTACTATTGATCCATTTCTAATTTTTACATAACCTTTCAACATCACATTGTGCATATCGAAATTCTCCAACATAAATAATTAGTTTGGAATATTTTTGATATCTAAAACAAACGGTCATATGTCAGAGTAGTTATTTTAAAAATAAGTAAACACCTACCATACTTAGAGAAACCAGACGAGCTATTTTTAACTTCAATAACCTCAGAGCCGTTCATGAGAGACATGTTTACAGAGTAGGAGTGTAGTTCTATATAAATCATTTCCATTGGAACAGTCACCATGCACCAGTCCTTGCATAAACTACTGTCGCGTCCAGTCGTGCCATTGTTGTAGGACACATTTTCTATGGCATATTCCGGTGCACCCTACAGACATTTTTGGTTGCCATTAATTTATATTTATAACAATAGCTACAGGAAGAAAAAAATGTACGTCCTTGAGTCCACCTAGCTGATGGGTACTTGACTCACGTGAAGAAAGTGAAAGTGATTGGACACTGTGCTGACCACACTATCCCATTCTATACCGAGGTCATAAAACACATGAACACTAATTCACCTTCCCTGTGACCAATTAGGTTTGGGGTCAACCATAAATGACGTCACGCTTTTTCTGACGATTTTTACCTCCTCCCCTCCGTCACACGTCGTCACAAAAAGCCAGACCTCCCCTAAAAATGACGTCACACCTCAGTCTATAACCCCCTTTAAAAGTGCTTTTGAATTTTTCTTAAAACATCAAAATCCAAAATCTTCCAAAATCTTGTCAGAAGTCGGTAAACATGAGTGTTTTGATCAATTCCTATTACAATTTATGAACAACGTTTTCTAAAACGCAAAATAACGGCTAAAACTCGTTTTCTAACATTGCTTTTTTATAACGCAAAAACGTGACGTCACACAATCTGCCCCCCCCCCTTCATCACACACTGTCACAAAATTACGGAACCAGTCTCCCCCCTACGAGTGTGACGTCATTTATGGACGCCCCCTTTGGAAAAGTTAACTTCACAACAACAATAATTTTAATATCATAAACTAAAAAGGCGAGGGAGACAAATAAAATAAAATGCATGGAAGAAATCAAGGAATGAGCTGCATTTTGTGTGTTGAAGCATTACGAAAAGGTCAACATCGGTGCCCCAATCAGTGGCGGAGCAAGGTCGGGTGTCACCCGGTGTGGCACCTAATGGTTTCACTTGCAAAAATCTTTCATTTTGTCGTAAATTATAAACTTAGGTTCCCCTCGACTCAGAAGTGGATTTACAATAAGGTATTACGCTTTTCAACTAAATATTTTTCCTCAGGCAAATTTTGCAAAATTTACTTGATGTAACTCTCCCCTCCTCCATTCCCCACCCTCACGCTAATACCTTTAAACTGTGCTCAGATAATACTCAAGTTTTTGTCTAAAGTCTGTTATTAAAAATACAGTTGGATGTAGCAGCCCCTACCCTTGTCGTGACGAGTCAATTTAGCTCTAAACTGTCTATTTAACTAATTAATAATTTATTTAACTGAAACGATCAGGTTTTCTGGTATATATTTTGCTATTTTTTGGTCTTGGTTTTACTCACCCCCCCCCCCCGCTAAAAGTCGCTACCTTGTGGGTATGACCCCCCACCTCCCCCCCCCCACCCCCAGGTACCAATGACCCATAACGGTTAATAAGCGCTAGGTAAAAGGAAAAAAATAACATACCCAGATATAGAGCTTAAAATCACAGCTGATATTAAATAACATCAATTCAGTGCAGCATTGAACTGTCTCGACTTTGAGATCCTTACTTGATGAAAAACAATGAACATAATCTAGTGAAGCTGGATACAAAACAAAAAATCTATTATGCATTTTTATTAATGACTGAATAGGTATTAAGAAACCTAAAATCACAGAATAACACATTACAGCCCAATATTCCCAAACTAAGTGGCCACAGTTTGATTCAAAATAAAACAAACTATAAATTTGATCCATACTCAGCAGATTAGTTATAGTAATAAAAGGATGCACACTTTTGAAAATTGTGTTTATTAATGTAAAATCTAAATTGTATTTAGTAAAATATAAAATGAAAATAGGTTGCTTAAAAAAGGCTATATATATATTCCATTATGTCCCAAATTCAACTCTAAACTAGAAAATATACGCATTCCTTACAGGGTGAGTTACAGTTTATCAATAGCAATGTTTCTTCCAAACTTTTTTCTCCGAGGGGGGGGGGGGGGGGCACTTAAAATTTTCGGGGGGGGGGGGCGGTAGACATTCTTTGGGGGGGGGGCGGAAATTGTTAAAAGTATATATTTTCTGTATAAACTATATAAATTTCAATTCGTTCGGGGGGGGGGGGGCGGTAAAAAACATTCGGGGGGTAAAAAACATTGCCCCCCCCCCCCCACCCCCCCCCCCCCCCGAGGAGATGCCTGGAAGAAACTCTGATCAATTGTGATAGTTATTATTGTGATAGTTATTATTTTTACAAGGACAATAGTGCACTACATTGAGAGACTGAAATAACAAATTTCATAGAGTAAAAATTTGATGGAGAGAAACATTTCCGAATACAATACATGTCAAGTTCCTAACATAAATAATAGTAGAGAATGTTACTATAGTTGTCAAAAGCTGAAATTTTTATATGATAAAAAATATGTGAAAATGTGTGATGCTGACTTAAAAGAAGAAAATATTTTTATTTTTTCTCATGGTTATATTTGAGGTTTTTTGTGTGCTAAAAACAGCACTGAAGCAAACTTATTGTGTAAGGTGTTTCTCTTATTGTATGTGTCCACTCACATTTTATTTCTATCTCAACAAAACCACTGATGTTCTTTTTTCGTTCATCTTCTGTACCCAGGATCATTTGGGCTGAAATTTCGTGAAAACCAGGGCCTAGTGTCAAAAGTGGAATTTGAAGGTTACATTTGTTCTGGAAATATCCATTCTCAGGTGTCGAGTGGATTTCAGTAGCATTCTCAATAACTGTAAGGTTCTATAAGATATTATAAATTGATGACTGTTTAGATAAATAGATCAGTTCGGCATTCTAAATAAGTTAATAGCACTTTCCAGAGAAAATATAAAACGTAGGCGATGGCAATACCAAGTTTAATTACCAACACATTTTTTTTTATAAACGTTAAAAAAAACATTTCTAAAAACTCATCCACACAACTTACGGAAAATCTAGTGTCAATATAAAATTTGCAATCCTCTACTTTGTAGTCAGCCACTGATGAACAATTTATGAAGGCTATTCTGTTGTAAATGTAATATGTGCAGTCGAGTTTGATCCATTCAGCTAAAAGTTAAGTATGTTAAAAAGCCTTTTTTTTTATTTTAACTGTATATTGAGTGAAGTTTAAACAAAAGGGTATTCTTATATGATAAGAAAATGTGGAGATGTTTGATGCTGACTTAGAAGGAAAATTAGTTGTATTTTTTCTGATAGTTATATTTGAGTTTTTTTAAATGAAGCAAACATATTGTGTAAGGTCTTTATCTTATGCTATGTGTCCACTCACGTCTTATTTTTATCTCAACAAAACCCTTGATGTTCTTTTTTCCTCCATCTTCTGTACCCAGCGTCATTACGGCTGAAATCGTATGGTCACCAGGGCCTAGTTTCAAAAGTGAAATTTGAAGGCTACAGTTGTTCTGGAACGATCCATTCACAAGTGTCGAGTGGAGTTCAGTAGCATTCTCAATAGCAGTAAGGTTCTATAAAATATTATAAATTAATGACTGTTTAGAGTTTAGAAAAATAGATCAGTTCGGCATTCTAAAATAAGTTAATAGCACTTTCAAGATTACATGTAATACGTAGGCGATGGCAATACCAAATTTAATTACCAACAATGTTATTTATAAATGTTAAAAAATATGTTTAAAAACTCATCCACACAACTTACAGAATATTTAGTGTTAATATAAAATTTGCAATCCTCCACTTTGTTGGCAGCCACTGATGAACATTTTATGTTGGTTATTCTATTTAATTCATATGTGCAGTCGAGACGCGTCACTACAGCTAAAATTTAAGTATATTAAATATTTATTTTCATTTATGTTGTAGATTGAGTGAAGGTTAAATAAAAGGGTATTCTTATGTGCCAAAGAGTGTTGCCATACTTTCTAATACTACTGGGCCAACGCCTCTGCTCTCATCGCTTAAGTCCTACAATCAACCTTTTGAGTGTGATAGTTTTTATGGAATACCCCCTTTTTTATTTAACACGTAGAGTATAAAATATAATTATACATTTAAAAATATTAAACGAATGCGAGCAACGTAATTCTAATGAAAAATTATTGTCATCTTTAAATAACAACTTAGGGGTCGTCCTAAATTGATGTCACACTCGTAGGGGGAGGAGAAGGTCCGTAATTTTGCGACGGTGTGTGATGAGAGGGAGTGGGAGGGGTAGTTTAGATAAAACTTTTGCATTATAAAAAAAGCAATGTTAGAACACGAATTTTAGACGTTATTTCGCGTTATAGTAAAATAGTAAACTGTTTAATATGAATTGATTAAAATACTTTATTTTGACAGAGTTCAAACAAGAAATTGGTAAAAATATCGATGTTTTAAGAAAAATTCAACTGCAATTTTGAGGGGGGGGGGTTGTAGACAGAGGTGTGACGTCATTTTAGGGGGGAGGTCTTTTTGGGTGAGGTAAAAATCGTCAAAAATAAAGCGTGACGTCATTTATGGATGATCCCTTAGTAGAATCTAGATCTAGATAGATGTAGATCTATATCTCTTGACGGTCGTAGTCTGGGGAATTACTCACCTGCCAAATTAGGAAACAGGGTCATACATATCAGAAATATTGTAAATGTGTTTAGTATTGGCATTGTTGAACTTGTAAATCTTGAAATTTTAAAACAGATTAAGAGTATAGATTAGTCTGTATTTAAATATTTATTAACTTTTTTTGCAAAAGTATAACAATTAAGCTACACCTAAGCCAATAAAATTAATATTAGATAAAACAGAGTTTAATCATTATTAATAATTAAGAATACAGAACTTTTAATTTTAAAACATATCATGGGTGTTGATTAGTCTAAATTTTAATATTTAATAAGAATGAAATAAAACAATTAGATCTAATCTACAGCTAAGCCTATAAAATTAATATTAGATAAAACATAATAGAACTCTGAACTCACGAACTAGATGTACTTCTTACCAGATCCAGATATAGCGAAATGCTTAAAAGACTACTGACACATTTTGTAGGCCTTGATATCTTTTATCGTTAAAAAATATGAGATAAGCTCTTATGTCATGAAACAACATTGTGTAATGTTTCAGACATAAAATCTAGTCCAAGGTTTAAATCGCTAGTTGACACACTGCGTGTGCTATTAGTAACTTTGTTTTGCTAGGCAAAAGAATAATTTTGTTTTTCTATGATTTAATGTTTAATCATATAAAATGTTTTTTATTAAATTAAGAGTCTGTATGTTCACTAAAATAATAGGATTGTTTTTCTCATTAAACATAAATTATATTTGCATTTAAGTGGCGTCACGAGGTCTGTTGTCATCCGAATATCTTTAAGTGTGGTGCTTCAGAGTGTATTTATCTATTCTTTGTTACTAAATAAATGTCACGATAAGTGCAATTGCATTAAGTCCTAGCAATGTTGAACGTGTAAATCTTGAAATGTTAAGACTGATCAAGAGTATGGTTTTATCTAAGTTTTAATATTTATTAAAACTGTTAACAATCATTAGATCTAAGCTACAACTTATAGCTACAATTTATGTTATATAAGACAGAATAGAACTCACGAACTAGATGTGTTTCTTACTGGATGAAGTGAAGTGCCAAAAAGCTAGTAATGGTAGTGACGAATTTAGGATAAAATCTTTATTTTAAACTATTTATCTGAAACCAGTGGCGTAGGGTCGTCTCAATGGGGGGTTCCAATTTTTACCCGGGGACGAACTTTCGATTTGCACCCCCCCCTCCTATCATACTTTTTCTATATACCGAGGGGCCTATGGGGGGGGGGGGGTTATGACCCCCCTAACCCCCCCCCCCCGTGCCTACGCCACTGTCTGAAACAAACCTAACGCGAACAGTATATTCGTAGGCATATTTGTAGGATAATATCTTCTCTTTAAAAAAAATTAAGTGATACAAGATCAAGCGTCATACAACATAGTGAAATGTTTTAAACAGAGAATCTAGTCTAAGGTTTAAACCGCAATCTTATCACCCTGATAATCGAAAATTGAGAAAAATATTTCACACCAAAAAAAAATTATTATACATACACACATACTTTTTTTGTCATAGTGGTTAGAACCAAAGAGCTATATAAACGTATATAAATAAGGGCCTTCGTACAATGCAAAAAAAAAAACTAGTTTTGCCAGAATAAAAACAATTAGAAAGGAAGGCCTTCAATTTTCCAAAATGTTAACATATCGGCTGAAAATTAGCGTTTGTTTTTGTTTGTTTTTGGGCAAATGTTTTTGTTTCTTTACCTTAGTCTGGGTAATACTCCCCTTTTAATTCATCTAATCTAATCACTATGGGTAGCCTGGTGGGTTTAAGGGGGTTTTATCATCTCCCATGGACACTAACCACTTAAGAAGATGTTGATATAATACTACTTTTACTTTCTTCACCTTTTCCATGGTAACATATCCGTACACTTTTTATGATGGGAAATGCTATTTCTTGTAAAACCCATTAATTGGGTGGATTACACCCGTAGACTCTCATGGTTTCATTTTAATTGTAGTGGGCAACAACATTATAAGGTACTTAGATCATGATGGCAAGAGAACCCCCAACCGATGTTATTTATTATGGCAGAACTGTTCAGGTGATTTTACAGGTTAATGCTACGCTCATGTAAAGTAAACATTGGGGGAAGGGGGGGGGGCTCTTTTTTTCTGGATGTTTGACATGCAGTTACCAATAGTGCTATAGTATACAACTACATTGGATTAATGCAATACAAGAGTAAAATTGCTCGAGGGTCGACTAATGTGCATTTAACTACTAATTTTAAAGAATGCATCTGTCGAAACTTTTTCAAGTAATTTACAAAAAGGGACGATAAATATTCCTGTGAACTTTTTTTCGTTCACCGATCTCACCCCCCCCCTGCCCTCATCCCCTCCCCTTGATAAAACTATACGTATAACCATTTCACTGAGTCTTATCAAGGAAAATGTGTCAATATGTGTTAATAAACCAAGGCAACACTTTTATTAATTTAAGTTCAATTAACTGTTGTGACTTGATTATGCTATAGCACCTTTTTACTTTTTACCTCGTGCCTTGTGTCAACTTGCCTCGGCACGGAGAAAGAAGCAAAACCTTAACCGTAACACACTTTTTTAGTTAGAAATATATATTGAAAAAATAAAAAGATTGAATTCATTTTTTTCCTTGTTCAATTTGTTGTAGTCTGTTATGTTATCTATCTATATATCTATAAAGCAAATTTGGCCAGGTGCCCGATCTGACACTTCCCGGCACCGCAGGCGCTTCAAATTTAGCAGGCTTCTGCCTCGGGCCAACAGAATACAAGTGCCGGTGCCTGTCGACCGCAAAAGTCTACGATGAGGGGGTCAAAACCGCGATAGACCGGCGCCTTATATGAGCTATATATAGAATAAAACTTTAGCCAAACGATTTCCGTATATATTTAGTGAGGTCGTACAAAAATGCTAAGGGGTGTCATAAAAAACTCGCATTATTGGGAAAACTCCGTAAAGTGGTCAACAATATTTCTAAATATAATCTTTGTAATTTATGTAAAAAAAACAGAGGGTAATTTTAACAAAGATTTTATGGTAGTTAACATCAGGCTAAGTTTTTGCAAGCACCTAGGGAAATTGACTAGTTCGAATGGAAAAATTGTCGGTTCTACACTAAGCCCTCGATGAGGGCCAATAAATGACCGCGAGTGAAATTCTCCTAATACGATATATATATATATATATATATATATATATATATATATATATATATATATATATATATATATATATATATATATATAAAATTACCCAACGATCTCCCTAATTGTTTACTAAATTTGTATAAAAACAAAGAAAAAAGGATAGATGCCTGAAAAGAACTGAATGTATGCTGAATTTAGGAGGGAGGGGTCTGGCGTTTTGTGACAAGGGGAAAGATAAAGAAAAATGTAAAATTTGTCCAGAAATATCGAAAGATTATATGCATGATTCCATTGTAAATTAGTGTAACGGCTCGTTTACGTATATTTTTGTATATATAATCTATTGATAATTTGTTGTTATTAGCGCAAAATGTGACACATTTTACAAACCATCGAGAATCATTTCTAAAAAAAAACATTCACCCCAGATCATGCGAACAAACAAGTAGGGTAGTTACTTTTCTTTTTAAAGAACAAGGAAACAAATCGTCTTGAAGAAACGAAAGCAACTTTCTTCTTCTTAGTGGTGGCTTTTTTTTTTGGGGGGGGGGGGGGGGGTTCGTACATAAACGATATCAAACTTCTATTGTGCAAAGGGGGTGGGGCGGAATTTTGTGAGGATGTGATAATTATGAACAGATGTATTGGGGTTTGAAAACTGTGTGGCGACTCACTTTTTCACTTAAAATAGTAGTGTTACAAAATGAGCTGTAACTGTTTTACGTATATATATATATATATATATATATATATATATATATATATATATATATATATATATATATATATATATATATATATATATATATATATATATATATATAAGTGAGGACGTTATTTATGTTCTCGGCAGGATTAGTTACCAGTAGACGAAAGGATTACTGTAAGGATTTCATATTTACTTCATAAGTGACCCGACAGTACAACACCTCTTCCTTATACCAAGCACAACCCGTCACTCCTTTCCCACATCCTCTTTCCTTCAGCTCACAATACATCCGCTGTCACTCGACCAGTAGGTTTTTGTGTTAACAAAATTCACGTCAACAAATACGGACTCTTCTCTGATGGGTGGTGTGAGTAGACTACTACAAAAAAAAATCTACAAACCGCAATTGAATGCTATTCATACAAATATGAACTGTAAAAAAATGTACAAAAAACGTTGGATTAACAATCAATTATGTAATATTGCACGAAAAAAAACTAAATTTTTTTTCTTTAAATATATAATAATACACTACAATCTAGATAGCTAAAAAGAAAAGCTTCACTATGTTATCTATTGCATAACATTACTTAATTAAGGAAACAACACACGCTTTTCTTTATAGTTATTTTAATACTAGTGTACTATTATAGGCCTACATATATTTTTAGAATGTATTTATTTTCTCCTTTTTAGTGCAATATGTCATAATAGTTTATTACTAGATCTAAAATGTTTTTTTATATTGTTTTCAGTACTTTAAAATTGTTAATACAAAAGAGTTTTATGACTAAACACTATTGCGCACCTACTGATCATGCACATGTACGTATAATAGTATGGAGTAATATTAAGCCCCCTCTTTATTTGAGAAATTTTAATTAATTCATAAAAATATGTAGCCACCCCATTAAGTCAAATTTGATGCCAAACTGCAGGAACATCGGGTACTAAACCATTTTAAAATTTTGAATCGAATCTGTCAGTGCTCGAAATTTAGCTCGGCAGTTTCGATTTATGACCATAGAAAAAAAGAGGAAGCAAGTTAAATACAAGTTAATAAAAAGTCTAGTGACAATTTAAGCGCAATTTCCTTATGTTATCCATAACAATTTTTAATTTTTTGTGACCGAACTAAAGGATATTTTTTTGCGCTAAAAACCTACACGATGCTCAGTTTAAGCATCATCCTAGGCCTACAAGATGCTCAGTTTAAAATATATTTAAAAAAATTTTGTAACCGAACGAAAGGATATTTTTGAAAACTTTCTTCGGCAATATTGGTCTAAATTATGGCAGGAATCGATTGGAAAATGTTTCAAGCCGCTAAGTGGTCTGATTGCCGAGATATGGAGCAAAAACTACATTTGTTTGATGTTTTTTGGCTTTTCCGGGAAATCCAGGAAGGAATTCCGGGAATTTTTTGGCCCACAATCATCCTTGGAACTTGCTTAACATATTTGCTTTTGGAACTAGACCTCGATATTGCTTCGTTGAGGAGGAGATAAGACTTAAAGCTGCGGACACACATCCATCCATTTATTCATCATTCATACATCCAGAAATGACGAGTTAATATTCGCAATTGTCCGTATGGAAATTGCGCTAAAAAGCTTATATTATGCCCTCTTTATATAAATAATGCAGTAGGCCAACCTATTTTTAGTATTCAGTTATAACATCTATTCTTTAGAGTGTAACACAATAAAGCATATCAAATTTTATCATTGTGTGCACTGCTACTATAATTAGGCTAATGTTCTATTTCATTGATTTGAGAAGGGAAATTCTATAAAGTTATTTAACATATTTTTTTTTGCCAAATTGAAAGGGAAATAAGCATAATTTTTTAACAATAATATTTACTTTTAGTTCCCTTCAAACACATCTGATTTTGATTGAAAATCTAATAATTTCCTAAATAAATTTAGTCATTTAAAATACTATTAATTTGTAAGTTTACTTGAAAAAAGAAATCAATAGCAGAAATTCGGTGTCCCATCTTAAGACTTTCAAATAGGCAGTCATGTACTCAACCATCCATATATGTGCCACACATACACATGTATTTGCATGGGTGATAAAACACAATTTAATACTATATAGCATGTTTTATTTAACCTATGTGCACATAGTTCTAACTTCAACATTATTTCCCTTATATAATATCACATTTTACATTTAATTCACTGTTTTACATTATTAATTGACCCATTTACTTTATTAGTATCACTTTCTAAAGTTGTATGTGTGGGTTAGGTGAGCTTGTTATCATAGGCTATCGATAAGAGCTTTCAAGTCATCTATATTCTAGGCTAGTCCCAGTATTGTGTAATCTCCAACTGTGCTCTGGTGTATCAAATCTTCTTGGTGTTTTCCTGCAGGTAAATGTGGCATGCTAGTCAGCATATTGTTACCAAGTTTTGTCTGTTTTGATGGACACCAGTACAAAAGTACAGAAAAAGCATTTTAAAGCCTGACACAAAATAGGTTTTAATATAAACAATAATGCACTTTATGTTTTTAGTTATGTTTTATTGTGTAGGGTTCATAAAAAAAATCTCAAAGGGTTTTAAAATACTAAAAAATAAGAAAATGTGATAATGTAAGCAAAAAAAATGTCTAATATATAATTTACATGTTATCAATGGAATGTTTGAATATAATGAACACCTATATTTCTGATTTATTTTAGTATTATAACATAGTAGGTTGTATAATTTATCAACACAGAAAATTAAAAGAGAAAATAGCAAATCTATAAGAAGAATTACACCCCCCCCCCTCGAACTTTTCATTTGCACCACCCCCCTCAAACTTTCGATTTGCACCCCCCTTGAATTTTCATTTGCACCCCCCGCTCAAACTTTCAATTTGGTGCCCCCCCTAAGGTCGGCGCCGGGGTACATATGTCCCGTCCCCCCCACTCTCGCTACGGCTCTGAATTACACTTAACAAAACACTAAATTTTAATAGCTTTAATAGTAATCAGGAATTAATTGTAAGTGAACAGAAATAGAACAAACTCCAACCAAGTTAATAAATATTATAAATATTTTAGGGCAAGTTAAGTAGAGTGGACATATTCTGATGGTTTTAAGAAAGGAAGGTACTGTTTGCTAAAATATATTTTCAAAATATATCTATGAAAATCTTCAGTTTATTATGAGTTAATATTGTTATTTTGAAATATTTTAGCAATAAAACTATATAAAAAGATAAACATTTTAAAATAAGTATGATAAAAACGATTTGATAAAGAGTTGTCTCTTGTCACAGTTAAAGCAATGTTTATTAATGCCAATAATACCATGTTAAAATCTCATTATTAAAGACAAGAAGATGTGTAGTAGTTCAAACATGGAATTAAAATATATACAGTGGAAGATTATTGACAAAAATAGATTGAAATTAAAGAATAGAAAAAAAACAATAACACCAAAAATAGCCAATAATACCCTGTTAAAATCTCATTATTAAAGACAAGTAGATGTATAATAGTTAAAACATTGAATTAAAATATATACAGTGGAAGAATATTGACAAAAATAGATTGAAATTAAAGAATAAAAAAAAACTTGACTAACTTTTTCTATGTGACTAGGTAAAGATATAGGTACAATGTTTAAAAAAAATCTATACCTTTTTACAGAATTAAAAAATTATATTCATTATTAAAATGCAATGTTAAACTGTTTTAGTCTGATAACTATATCTGTAGTTAACATGCACTAATTAATATTTTAAACAATAGACTAGCCATTTATTTTTACAATTTGTTATAACTGTTAAACCAAAGCAAGGCTGGGTACTACTACTTTTATTATTGCATCATTTTGTAAAATGAACACTTGATGTTAAGGAGAGCACGACTGCATCGATATCTTAGGATAAATATCATACAAAAAGAGAATTATCTTTCTTCAAGAATACAGGGGGGGCTAATATTTTACACAATAACTATACACATGAAAATATGTAAAAAAAATATAGTTTCAAATTCTTGTTACCTTGAAAAAAATCTTAATGGATAATGTTATTATATTTATAGGAAAAACTATATGGGGCACCCACTGATCTGGAGACCACAGTCCAGTTCATAACTAAGTTGGGCTTGTTTAAATTCTTCATCAAATATTTAATTAAGAACGAAGAAGAAAATTATTTTTGTATTTAGTAGCATATTTATAAAAAAAAAGTATTTAAAGAACTGGAAATTAGCAAACATATGACAAACAAATAATATACATTAAAATTTGTTTCTACTTCTGTTTAATTCTGATGAAAAATAAGTAATTTATTATTTTTTTAAAAATAAGGGTTCGACGAAATATTAACATCAGTATCCATAAAATCTTTCAAGGAACTGAATATTAATAGACCAATTACAAAATATTGGATTATGAAAATATATACTAAATTTCAGCTACATAGCTTTTTAAATGTTTGAAGGACATTGCATGGCATGTCCAAAAAGTGTTTTAGACAAAAACACAAAATAAAAACTGCTCTCTGATTGGTTAAAAGTGTGTAATCTCATTGTTGATTTTCTTTAAAAATGCAGTTTTTAGTTGAAAATTATATTAATTTAAGATAAAATCAATTTTCTTTTGAATTAAAACTGGATAACCCATACATTAATTAAATTAATTTATCATTTTTATAAAATAATGTGTAACCATGAATATTTGAAAAATAATTTACCACAAGTAATTAATATAAAAAAATTGCTTGACATAAAATGTTCATGAAAGATTTATTTAGTTGTATAAAAAGGAAATTCAAAAATTGTTCTCTGGGCTTATACCTGTAAATAAAATAAAATGTAATAAATATACCACAGTCAAATTAGTGCACAGTATAAGGGTATAATGATTGTTTGATAATAAATACTATCATGTAATTTAAAATCATATAATATATACAAGATAAAAATAAAGAAAATGTTATGGTAAAAGAATCATGACACTTCTTTAAAACAAAACAAAAATTATGCTGTAAGAAATATTGATAATCTTTATAAATAATAAATCATAATTTTATTGTATGTTTAAATACAACTAAACAAAAATGTTTATAGCAGATCAATTTTTAATCTACTGTAACACCTTTTCAAGTTTGTTAAAAGAACTAATTATTGATTTTAAATTGTGTAATGATTTTAAAAATATAATCTTTGATTAAACATATTTAAAAAAAAACACAAAAGCATTTTGTTTACATCAACAACAATAAATAGTATCAGTCATACAAAGAACTTTCAAATATTTTTTTTTTAATTGAAATAATTTGAAGAGGTAGCCTTTCAAAAATTGTTGTAAGAAAATGATATTTGAAGACTTTCTTTTTAACAAAGTTATCATCTAGTTAAAAAAAACAAATTACATTAATTAGATGAAGTTCATAAGTATAAGCTACATGAATTTTGTTTTACAAAATAAAAACATGTGGATAACCATGTTAAATGTCAAACTTGATAACTACATCTAATAGAAAGAGCAAAAATCGAGTTTCATTTAATCAAGATGATAAATGTGCTGGGGAAAAAAATTTGTTGTGATCAAAATGTCCAGTCAAATAGTGAGAGGGGTGTAAAAACACATAATACTTTCTATACCAAGTAAAGACTATTTTCATTATTAAAAAATGAAATTATAAAATTTAAAACTTATTTTCTTACCACCGTTGATGAAAGTCAATTTCAAGCCAATTTCCAGACTAGAGCCCACAGGAACATTGCCAGATACAAGACACCATAAGAAGACATCAGCTTGTTGGTTGAATCTACCAGAGGAATTCAAGAATTTTTTGTTTTAATAAATATTGAGAGAATAAAATGGTTTAATATTCATTTATCTGTTGTATCTGAATTTGTCTTTAGCATGAAGAAGTACAAAATAGATGTAGCTAGTACATTAAAAAAAATGCACTTATTGAAAGAGACGTCATGGTCAGATGTTAGAACATTCAAATGTTAACCGTAAATTCATGAGTGTTTCTGTGACATCCCTGAGTCTACCCAGCTGTGCTGGGTACCTGACTCAAAATAAATAAAGGAAGCTGAGAGAAGTTCTGACCATTCTATCCCTTCACATACCATGGTGAATGAAACATGAGTTTTATTTCTTCTACACCATGGACTGTAAAGTTAGAAAGGGTACATTACTTTTTTATATAGTAATTTAACAAGGGCATGCTTTTTAAAAAGTAAAATATTATCCGATACTACTGTACTGAAATTTATTCAACTGTAACAACAATCAATAACCTTGATTCTCGACTAACTTTTACTTAAGTGCACTATAACCTTTTCCCTATCATCTTCATTATTTTTGTCCATTAATGTCCCAAGAATCTTGTGACAGAAGTAGAGTTCATCTATTTCAATGAAACCTCGACAATTAAGGAAATAATGTGATCAGCACTATGCTCAGCCACCTTTGATTCCTAATGTGAGTTAGCTACCCTTTGGAGCTTGGTAGACAGGGAAATTCTACTGATATGAACCAGGATTCGAACTTGGTACTTTTGGGTAAGCGGTCACGCTTTCTACCACTAGGCCTCACTGCCCCATATTTTTTACTTTTTAGTTTTTATAAAACTATTATAGTCAATTTAAATTTTAGTTTCACAACAAATAGTATTCTAGTTACTATTTCCAAGCAAATTGTTCATAAGTTGACAACTCTGCTCACTAAAAAATGTTTCCTGATCAGTTCTTTGTTAAAAGTCATGTCACTAATATTCCCTTTAAAGCACATGTTATTCATGGATTATCTACCTGTCTGCTCTCAAGTTGAACTATCTCTGCTACTAATTTAGCTCCCCTTTTGTTAATGAATAACAGTAATTAATTTGATCAGTTTTCGATCACCAATGTAATTTCCACCAGCAACTTTTGTTTCACCATAACATTGTTTTGTATACAGCTAACAGTGAAAAGTTTTTATTTTCCCTAAATCTAAAGTATTTAATATCTTGAGAATAACTCACAAACAATATATTTTGCATAATTGATTTTAGCACTTTGTAAGATAAAATAAAATAAAAACTGACCTTTGAAAACACGGAAATCATAGCTGAAGTCTGTACCAATTCCATTTCCAACAGTCAGTTTGTACACTCCCATGTGTTTCTCCTCTACTACTGTGAATATAACAGTGACATTCCCCGTGAGCATAGAAGTGTCTTTGTATACCACTGAAAAGTCTGTCATGTTGGCATCATGTTGTTTTTCCAGCTTTAGCTTGGTGGGTGCTGGGTAGCCAAATAGTGGGACGCTGACCCGACCCTGAGTGCCCATAATCAGACCGTACCAGGTTTTTGTCTGGGTGTCATAGAGCTCTTGGGGGCCTGGAAATAAAATCACATATTTAGCTTAACTAATTTGAACTCGAGACTTTTCAGTTTAGCAGCCATGAGCTTTACCGACTAGACGCCGACCCCTAATTGACCTTTATTTTCTTATACCACTAGAGTACCCGTCACCGCGCGTTGCCGCGGGGATAGAAGAAAGTCTTACGAAATATATAAGAAGGGTTTCGTGAATGGCTTACCAATCTTATGTTCTTAAACGCGTGACCTTGTTTTCTGAAACGGAGTTATATAAATATAAACAATGCCTGCGCTTGGATCATACATATCAGGACACGGGTTTACCTACACTACCGCATGAAAACCTTGAGTGTACATTAATCACTCACCAAAATAATATGGCAGAACACACTTCTGTGACCGCCCATGTGTCATGGAGGTAGAGGGGCGCTCTCGGGAGCCCCCCATTACCGCAGAGGTGCCATAGTACTCGAAGGGGAACCGGGCACTTCGGAGGCCGGCAGTTGCGCATGTTGAAGTTTTAACGCTGAATATAGTAGTACTCCTTTCACACTATGCAGGACGCACGATTAACGGATGAAAAGTGCTAACATAGCCGCTCTGGAACTCTGGGCGCCAAATTATGTATTGACGAAAAGAGCACCTTCCCGGTCGCCGCTCATATCAAATTTTAAAACCTTCCCTGGCGCATTCTCACCAACTCCTTGAACTGTTGCAGCACTCGGATGAAAGGTAACGAAATGCTTCTGACTTTTTTTTGTTATATACCGTATATAAAGAAAAATCTCACTCTCCCGTTGCGACGCCCGTGCGAAATTGAAAAAGATTTTTCTGCAAAATCTTTCCTACAGTGTTCTAATCAACTCCCCAAAGTTTCATGGCGATCGGATGAACGGTGTCAAACCGCAATCGACTTTTATTTTTTGTATACCTTTTATAGATAAAAAACAAATCGCGCCCTACGTATTTGAATTTTCGACTCGCAGACACTTCCCCAGGAGTATTCTCAACAACTTCGCAAAGTTTCTTGGAGATCGGATAGTAATGCATAAAAGACAGACCAACACACACACACACACATACATTGCTTTATATATATTTATAGATATATAGAAAAAAATCGCGCCCTGCAGTAGCGCAAGTAGCGACCCATTCCGGCACCCGATGACAAATTTTCAATTTGGCGACCCCTCCCCCCCCCCCACCTCCATATATATTTTTTTTATCCTTATAATTCAAAACTACAGCTAAAATGAGCTTTCCATTTTTTAAAACCGTTTTGGCGTATGGTCGGCGCCCGGCTGAAAGTTTTTTGTTAACCCTTTCCCTCTCTTAAATTCAAACTGAGAAGTTTAACTTAAGAAAACAACTAACAAAAAACAATAAGCATGTATTTTGTAACGACGAATCAAAACTCACATCGTATGTATACGTTAATGGATTTGGTGGCAGTCGTTTTAAAAAAATCCGTGTTGGTTTCACATGAATATTGTCCAGCTTCTCTGCAGTCTGTCATTTTCTTGACATATGATATTTGATCACTGGATTTTAAAGTACGCTTTTTACCATAATAATCATTCTGTATCAGTTCAAGGTCAGGTGGTGGAATTCCTGTAGCAGAGCAGGTAAATAAAACGTTTGAGTACAGGTCTACCACCAGATCAGTGTTTCCGCCATCTCCTGCCATATCATTGTTTTGGTTAAATGCATGGAAGTATGTTATTTTTGGTGGCTCTACGGAGATAAAAAAAATATTTATAGGTGGCATATAAATATGATATGATTATTAAGGACACTGTGCTGGCACTGTTAATTCTGGTGAAATGTTTAGTGGCAGTTAGGACGGAATAAATTGTTATAGCTGGTATTAATAGATGGTGGTGGTGCACTGAGAAGGTTGTATATAAATATATATATATATATATATATATATATATATATATATATATATATCGCTGGTAATAACAGATTGTATTCGTAACAGTGTCAAGGTAAGAAACCTATTTATACTTGGTATTGAAAAATGATAATGTTAAATGTTTTATATATTAGTTGTAAACGATATATTTATTAAATGTTTGAAACTTTATACATTTGCACAGCTGGACTCAATTTTGTTATACATTACTTACCACGAAGAGCAGGGTAATATGCTACAAATATTTTTGACCTGCCCGTGCGAGTCACTGGACCACAGAATAAAGTTTTATGGTTTTCTGTAAAAAGAAATTGTAATGTTCTTTTATCAGTAAAAATATAAATAGCTTTGTCTCCCGTTTAACGTAAAGTAAATTTACTTAAGGGATTTTGCTCATATGAAAGCTTAATTATATCTTTATTGAGTTTATGGAAATGGTAATAAGAATCTACGATACACACACACACACACACACACACACATATATATATATATATATATATATATATATATATATATATATATATATATATATATATATAATATTTAAATATATAAATATATATTTATTTAATAGCAAAGAATAGGACTGCATAGTCAATTCAATTAATAGATGATTTTGGCTATTAGCTCGAATGTCTCTAGTTCAGATTATGATCAGGACTTAGGGCGTAGCTTTTCCCCGGGCCATCGACTCGTGTTGAAGGTAAGTAAAGGTGCCTGGGCATAATTCTGACCACACCATTCCTTCATATGCCTAGGTCAAGAAACATCTTTATTATTTTTTAAATATTTTGGTCTAAATAAAGTTGGGAAAATCTATTTATCAAATAATTACAGTATATTTTAAATTTTGTATTTTTCAACTTACTAATATCTTCTAACGAAATACTTAGTGCTGTATCTGGGTTCCCTGGAACATAATCTATCAAATTTGTGATGAGTTCCTCCAAACTAAACTCATCTAAACCTTTGCCAAGTACACTGAAGTTACATTTGCAGGTTCTAGTGTCACCAGGATATATGGACTTGGACATCTCAGACTCACAGACAGGATCAAAGGCTTTCCACGAAGGAGAGAGGCAAAATAGATTTACATGTTTGTCCAAGTCTAACATTTGTTAGAAGAAAGACAAAATATGTAAATTTAATACATTAAAATATGCATTTTAATGATAACATATTTTTTTAATGCAAGAATCTGGTATGATGGAAAAATAACTTACTGCCAGTCCTACGCAATAAACTGTAAAGGATGAGTTCTAAAAACATTATACCTAAAGCTAAATGACTAGACAAGCAATCACCATTTTTTTACTTGGCATGCAATATTTTTTAATATACACAACATAATATGTCGTTATAATATATATAAAAAGTAAAATATTTTAACTTAATTACAGACACCCAGAAAGCAGCCAATAAGCCAAATTCTCAAATATCACAATGTTAAATTTCGATTTTTTAACAGATTTCAAACAAAATAATACACACTGTTTTAGTTATTTCATTTCCTCTCGTTGTGTACACAACAGCACCTTACTAATTATCTAAACAACAATCTACCCTATCGAACGAGACAAACAAGCATACTAAAACAAGCACCAATTCAAATACCACAGGGCGCCAAATTTCACCTGCTGGGAGCGCCGGCAAACGCGTTTTAAAACTAACTTAGGCGTCATGGTGCTCTTTCCTTTCAGGATTCGGTTGTAACATAGCTTGAGGTGGTTGTTTCATTTTGTTCGTTATTTGGTGCTTGTTTTAGTATGATTATTTGTCTCTTTCCATTTGTTGCTTAGTTATTTTCGACTAGTAAAAATCTAGCTACTTGTGAATTTATTTGAGATTTTTAAGAAATATGAAGTTGTTCATTTTTTGAAATAAAATGTATGTTTTATTGATTACTTTTTTTCCTTTCTGAATCTAGATTAAGATTAGGATTTAACCACATTGGGTTTAGTCACGTATGCACTGACGACCGATAGTTGATTAGCCATGGGTTAGAATTAGGGTTTTAGAAACAGTCAGGATTTACATATATTTACCTATTTCATTGGTGCTAAATGAGCTGTTTTTAATCTCAATAATGTCAGAGCCATTCATGATTTCCATGTTTACAGAGTAGGATTGCCAAAGAAAATACAGCGTGCACCTGTCCTTGTAGACCTGAGTGTTATCTTCTATATATATGTCACTGGAGTAGGACACACTGCCTGGGTTATGATACTTTGCACCCTGCAAAAATATTTGGTTAACCTAAGACTTAAAATTTTAGCAACAGGAATAATATTTAAAAATTTAAAGTTAGAATATTGAATTAAATTAGTAAATGTATTGTTGTTGTGAAATGTGTAGTTCTACAAAGATAATTTAGAAGAAGAAAGAAGTAAGATATTTTATATGACATGGTCAGGTGGAACATTGCTTGACGGATAACTCAAAAGTCTCAAGTTCAGATCTCAGACTCAAGTATGTAGGACATCCCTGAGTCCACGAAACTCGTGTTAAGGAAAGTGAAAGGTGTTGGGCTAAACTGTCCCTTGAGATGTGGAGGTCTCATAACTCACCTTCATCTGCGCCGTATGGTTCACTAGGTTTATATTGGTAATATTACTTTACAGGGACAGTACATAAAAAATTCTAAACTAAAACTAAGGATTTTAAATTGTGAGAATGATAGAGTGTATTATTTTTTGGAAATTGTACAGTTCAACTATAATAACTTACAAAATAGAAAAAAAATAGATATAGACTAAGAACTTTAAAAAAAGAATTACAATATACTAAATGTACTAAATTAGAAAATTAAGTCTACCAATAGACACATATCTCAATAAACTTAGCATTGCACACAATCTAAAAAGGCCTATCAAATACAATCATGCCAATCACAGTGCCGGGAGGGAGAAGGTGAGGGAGATAACAAAGAAAATGGTTGAAGGGCATCAAGGAATACTGGAATAGACTGGGTTTTAGTACACATTACTAAAATCATCTGGCACGGGAAAGGTGACAAAGCTTTATTAAAAGTCACGTCTAGCCCTAATAATTATCACACAATTAAGGGATAGATAAAGTAAGCTGCAGCAGTAATCAAACTTTATCTCATGATAGGGTATCAACCTACCCGCATTGTGATATTAAATTCACAGTTGATATCTAAATACACCATATCAGCGCTGCACACAACTATGTGTCCATATAACGTGTAATAAAAGATTATGTCACAAACTACATTTTCCAGTGTAGCTGAAAAACAAAGAAAAAAAATATGCTATAACCGTTGTTTTTTTTTTTTTTTGGAAGACTTCTTCCACTACTTTATTCTTAATTGTAATATTGGAAGAAATCTCCTCCAACACAATGGAGCTTTTAACGATTTTTTCCAAGTTATGCAATCAAGGTTAGCATTTCTGCAACCATGTGTGAATTAGTTATGCGCCATATTTGCTTTTCTATCTTTTCTATCTGGATTTGAATCCATAGCTTTTGATCATTTAGGAATAAACTGCTAGGCAACAATTGTTTAATTGTGAAGTTTTCCCCCTAGGTGTGTTATTTCTACCTTTCAAGCCTCATCTGCCCGGGGGTTCAAATTTAGGATTTTTTGTTTTGCAAAAAATACTAACACTCATTGAAAGATTGAATTGATATGATAAACCCACAAAACTTCAGGATAGCACATTAGAGCCCAATATTACCTAACTAGTAGCCACATTTAGGTTTAACATAAAATTTCAAATTTGAATCATGATATTGTTAAAATCATGCACAATTATTTTAAAACTGTAGTAGATATAATGTTGAGAGAATGTTGGTTCCTTTGTTGATGATATTTTTTAAATTATTATCTCAACTCATAATGTTCAAGATGAAAATTCAGAGTTAATTTAAATATTTAGTTTTAAAAAAAGTATTAGAAATATATATATATATATATATATATATATATATATATATATATATATATAGCTTGTACGAGAACTATACATCATTCTTTCCCAAAAGTGAATTCAAAACCACATACATGAAATCACTACCTCTAAATAGTTGCAATTACAATCGTGCTTTGCTGATGAAGAAGGCCTATATGATTTCTAACAGGATGAGTTACAATTTATAAAAAGTGACAAATATTAATTTTAAAAAGTAAAAAAGCACTTTAATGATAAACTGAAGAAAAAACTTCAGAGGGTAAATATTTGATAAGGTAAACATTTATGAATGTAATTAATTTTACCGATACAAACACAGAAATAGTAGGGAACGTTAATATTAATGTTTTCAAAGGCTGTAATTTTAAACACAAATAATAAGAAAATGGGAAGATGGTTGGAAGCATATTTAAAAGGAAAACTTGTGTTTGTTTTTCCTGTTAATTGGGTTTAAGTTTTTGCTGAAAATTAAAAAAAAAACATACTTTGGACAATTTCTTAAAAAATAAGCATATATAATGCAGAGGCTTATCCGGGTTTTTAGTGTAAGCGGAGCTAAAAGAGAAAAAATGGCGCCGAATTTTTAAAACATTCTATTTACGTGTCTTTCTCTCTCTCTCTCTCTCTTTATATATATATATATATATATATATATATATATATATATATATATATATATATATATATATATATATATGTGTGTGTGTGTGTGTGTGTGTAAAAAATAATGTATATGTGTATATATATATTTATATATATATATATATATATATATATATATATATATATATATATATATATAATGAGTTGTCAGTTTTTGGCATCCACGTACAGTTTACAATAGCGTTATGTCTATTCTAAAGATTTGAATGCATAAGACGCTTAAAAGAATATATTGTTTTTGCTTACTCAGTTGTTCAAAACGGACTTAATTTTAAATTAAATTTAAAAAAAAAAACCTAATAGTTACTGTGTCCTATTTAAACATATTTTATAACAATTTTGTTGCAAGCTATATAGTTTTTTAAACATAGCAATGCATCGTATTTTTTAGAATGGCTAACCGTTACAGCTGTTATGAATACGTGTTGTAAAGATATATGCTTCATAAATATTATCGTGATTTAACACTAGTCTAGTACTACATGCTTTATTGCTGCTTGAAAATAAATATTGTAAAAGATTTACATCGATGTGCCGACCAAAAATAAATCTCTGACGAATATCATTGTTTAAAATTTTGAGTTAAAAAAGTTTTCAAAAAAGGCGCCACTTTGCTGAAAATGACTAGTGATCTAATGGTGTGTCCGCTCACATTTTAGATCTATTTCTACAGCAGGGCTGATGTCCACCATTTCTCCACCTGCTGTATCAAACGTCATTCTGGCTGAAATCTGGTGCTGACCAGGGCCTAGATTCAAAAGTGGAATTTGGAGGCTACAGTTGTTCTGGAACAATCCATCCAGCAGTGTAGTGTTGATTTCAGTAGCATTCTCAATTACTGTAAGATTCTATAAGATATTAAAAATTAATGACTGTTTAGATAAATATATCAGTTCAACGTTCTATCAATAAGTTCAGTCCATTTTCTGTACTAGATAAAAACACTACCACGCTGAATTTTCATTACATTATTTCTAAAAATGAAAAAAAAAATGTTTTTTTTTAAATTTCATTCACAGTGTTATCTTACATGAGTGTTGATGTAAAATTTGCAGTCCTTCATTTTGTCTGCAGCCTCTGATGAACATTCAATCGAGGCTGTTCTGTTGTAGATGGTGGGCGGTGTGCAGTTAAAGGCCTTTACCGAAGCTTAAGTTTAAATAAGAATGTATTCCTTTTTATGTAAACAGTAAAGGTATAAAATATGATTCCGGTATTATAAAGTGCTAAACAGTGTTGTCACACTTACTACCCCCCCCCCCCCCCTTCTACTCATCTCATAAGTCCTGCCGACCCCCTTTAGGAGTGTGGCGGCTTTTGTCGAGGTTCTCCCTCTTATTTGTCTAACAGTTGATAATGCTAAATTATCATTATTATTAAAGAAATAAGTTTAATAATATTAAATGTATGCGAGCTTGATAGTAATTGTAAGAAATGTACATCATCTGTAAGTAACAACTTAGTAGAACCTAGATAGATATAGACCTAGATCTGATCTCTTCGTCTTTTTCTTTCTTAATTTTAGTGTTGGAAGGGATCTCCTCCATCACAACTAAGTATACGTGTCAACTGATTATGCGCCATTGAGGCCTTTGACTCAGATTTCAGCTACAAGGCAGCAGTTGTTTGATTTTGGAGTTGTCTCTCCTTGAAGAGCGGCTGTCCCCAGCTAACAAGCCTCATCTCTAGATACCAGTCTTAATCTAGTCGCCTACTCACCTGCCATAGTATTGAGCAAACACATAAATGTCACTATTATTGTAATTGCATTTAGTCCTGTCATTGTTGAACTTGTAAACCTTGAAATTTCAAATAGAACTCACGATCTAGATGTGTTTCTTACTAGATTAGTAAAATGTTATAAAGCTTGTGATGAATTTAGGATAAAATATTTGTTTTTAAGCCTATTTATCTGAAAGAAACCAAACGCCAACAGTTCGTTCGTATGTCTACTTGTAGGCCAATATCTTTTATTTTAAACACAAAATAGTGATAAGCTCATGCGTCATACAACATTGTGAAATGATACTAGTCCAAAGTTTAAATCGCAATCTTATCACCCTGAAAATAAAATATTGACAAAAATATTTTACAAAAACGGCTATTTAATATAGGCCTACACACACATTTTTTCCATAATTGGTAGTATCAAACAGCTGTCTCACAGCATATAAATGAGGATCTATGTATCATGCACAAAATATGAATAATTTTGACGCTTTTCGTTATAGTTATTTAAATAGTAGTGTATTTTAAAATCATTTATTTGCTCCTTTTATTGCATTATTCATTAGAGCTTTTTATTGCAACGTTTTCTATGCAATTTTTTACTTGTTCAAATTGTTGTTTAGTGTAGGACATGTTTTGTATAGTTTTCAGTAATATTTTAAGTAGATAGAAAATTATCAAATATAGCAAATAGACAAAATTGTAACTCCACATTCCACTAATATTAACAACCTAACACGTCTATTTTCGGGAGTATTATCTTTCATCAGTAAAACAAATATAGGTCCACTAAATAGGAAAGAGATAACTAGATTTAGGCCAAGATCTAGAGCTTTTAGTCTAGTCCGTTACATTATGAGGAAATACATTCTATAACAATATAGTCTACTGATGTCATAACTTTTATCAGTTTGCGTAGCAGATCTAAATTTAGTAATAGGTTATCAACAAATAAAATGAGATAGCCTGATATAATTCTTTATTTGAATTTAGATCTGGACTCTTGGTACGCTTTAAAATATTTGGAAACGTGAAGTTATCAACTGGTCTATTTGAGAACATATATACCGATTTGTTGAATGAGTAAATAGGGTTATAGTGGTTCTTTAAAAAGGGAAATGGCCTTATTAACATTATTAACACATATTTGCAATGACTTCCATTAAACACATCTGATTTCGATTGAAATAATAATTTAATAATAATTTTTAATAATTTATTACTATCTATTTTTAACATTATTTGAAAAAAAAGTATTCAACTGCAAACATTTCGGCAGTCATGTACTGAATTGCCCAACCATGCGCCATATAAACACATATAAAACGTAATACTTTAATGTATGTTTTATTTATTAAATAATAATGTGCATTTAGTTCTAACCTGAAAATTCTTTTCCTTATATAATATCACCTTTTACATATTAATTCACCCTTTTGCATTATTATCATCATCTTTTAACGTGGGATGTTTGGGTTAGGTTAGCCTGTTATCCCTTCTGTAAAATAGGCCATCGTCAAGAGCTTTCAGGTCATCTAAATTCTGGGCTAGTCCCAAAATTGTGTTCTCTCCAAATATGCCCTGGTGTATCCAGTCTTCTTGGTGTTTTTCTGCAGGTCAATGTGGCATGCTAGTCAGCATATCGGTATCAAGTTGTGTCTGTCTTGATGGACACCAGTACTAATGTACATTGAAAGATTATAAAGCCTGACACAGTATAAGTTTTAATTTAAATAACACTGCACTTTATATTTTCAAATATATCTTATTGCTTAGGGTATATAAAAATGTTCAAAAGGTTTATATTTATAAATACTATTTGATAAATGTGATAATGAAAGCAACAAATTTTGTTTAAAATATAACCCACATTTTATCAATGGAATGTTTGAAAAAAATGAACAACACATATATTTCAAATTTATTTTGGTATTATAACATATTAGGATGTGTAATTTATAAACTCATTAAATTAGTAGAAAAAATAACCATTTTATAGGTAAAACGGAACACTAAATTTTAATAGCTGCATTAGTAATCAGGTATTATTTCTAAGTAAACAGAAATATAACAAACTCTAAAAAAGCTAATAAATACTATAAATCTTTTAGGGCAAGTTTAGTAGAGTTGACATATTCTTCAGGTTTTAACAAAAAAAAGAACTTTTTGTTAAAATATATTTCCAAATTATATCTATGAAAATCGTTAGTTTAAAAGGAGTTAATGTTGTAATTTTGAAATATTTTAACAATATAACAATTTTAAAAAATTCACATTTTAAAATATGAATGTCAAAAAAATATTTGATATGCAGTTGTCTGTTGTCATGGTTTACCGCAATTCTTAACAAAACCAATATCCTGTTACAATTTTATTGTTATAGACATTTAGATTTGTCATAAGTAAAGCATTGCATTAAAGTATTTACAATAGAAGATTACTGAACACATACATTAAAATCAAAGAATAGAAAAAGTCACTGAATTTTGCCATGTGACTAAAGGTACACATTTGTAAAGAAATCTATACGTTTTTCAAAATTAAAAAAAAATTATTATTAAAGAGCATTGTAATTTTTTTTATCAAGATATGATTATATTTGTAGTTAACATACATTAATCAAATATTTGAACATTATTTTTAGACTGGACATTATTTTTATAATAATTATACAGAATTATAAAATTATATTTATTATTAAAAGGCAATGTAAAACTGTTTTAATCTGATAACTATATCTGTAGTTAACAGACACTAATTAACATTTTAAACATTAGACTGTCCATTAATTTTTACAATTTGTTATAACTGGTAAACCAAACTAAAAGCTGGCTAATACTACTTTTAATATTGCATTCGTTTGTAAAATGAACACTTGATGTTAAGGAAACTTCAATTGTATAACATATAAGTGAGGATAGGTATCACCCCAAAAGTTAATTTTCTTAATTTATGAGCACATGGGGTCAATATTTTACAAAATTACCTTATATAGGAATAAAGGTATAAAAAATTATATATTTTAGAATTTTATTATATTGAAAAGATCTTATTGGCTAATGTTATTATTTTTTATAACAAATAGCAAATGTATGTGCAAGATTATGAAATAAGTATTTACATTTAAGAACTGAAAATTTGCAAACATATCATTAGCAAACTATATGCATTTTTTCCACTTTAAATTAAGCCACACATAATTAACAAGTTAAAAAAAATATTTTTGGCAGAAAATGTTAATCAAATGGTCATTTAGTAGAATAGTTTTTAAAATTGCTTTCGGGGGGGGGGGGGGGGGGGAGGGTGATATCTGTAAATTAATAAATAAAAATTAATAATATAAATATGCAACACTCAAATGTGTCAAAAGTATAAGGTTTTTATGATTTTTAAAAATAAAATACTATCAAGTAGTTTTAAATTATATTAAATGCACAACATGAAAACATATTAAATGTTTTGGTATAGGAATCAAAATACTTCTGAAAAAAAACCTTTAAAATGCTAAAAGCAAAGTATGCTATAAATAAATATTGATGGTATTTATAATCAGTAAATCGTAGTTCTATTTTATGTATAAATACAAATAAACAAAAAATGTTGACAGCAGAGCAATCTTTGTTGTACTGTAAAACCTTTTAAAGTTTGATAAAATACCTAAATATGATTTTAATGTAAACTAAAGATATAAACCTGGATTAAAATACTGCTTCATATGAAAAATATAGTAATCAAACACATAAGACTTTTAGTTACATCAACAACATTAAACAGTATCAGTATTACAAATAGCTTTTAAATAATGTTTTTTATGTTAAGATACTTTGTAGATTTAGTCATTCAAAAAGTGCTTTTAGAAAATGATATGTGAAGATTTGTGTAACAGAAGTAAATGCGAGCTAAAAACAGATGATGTTAATTAGATGAAGTACCCACTTGTATGTTACATAATTGTTACAAAAAACATGGGGAATAACCAATGTTTCTTGTTTTATGTCCAGATTGATAACTACGTAAAATACAGAGAGAAAAAAAAAGTTCTCTTTAATCCAGTTGAATGTAATAGGAAAAATATATTAGTTGTGATCAAAATGTTCAGGGCATTAGTCAATTAGAGTGAGTTTGGTGTAACACTTATTATATTTTCTATACTGTTACAACTGATTAAATTAGCAAGAAATTATGGCTTTTATAAAATTTTAAAATCATTTTTTACCAAAATTATTTAAAGTCAATTTCAATCCAACTTCCATACCAGAGTCCACATAACCATTGCCAGGTACAAGACACCATAAGAAGACATCAGCTTGCAGACATTGTTGGTGGAATCTACATGAGGAATTCAAGAAATTTTTGTTTGAGTAATATCAAGATAACGCAATGTGTTAATATTTAATTAGAGTGAACTTGTTGTTAAATCCACCCCTGTTAAAAACTTTTGCAAAATTTCCAGAAATGCTACATTTATTAATTTATAAACATTTTTATTTAAAATGCTGTATGGCCCTTATAAAATGAACGTAGGCGTCATAGTGCTCGCAGGCCAATTGCTAACAGTCACTGTGGAACTCTAGGCGCCAAACCGTGAAGTTATGAAAATCGCACTCTCTCGACGCCACCCATAAGATTTTTTTTCGCATAAAACTTCTCCCAAGTTTCAAGGAAATTTTCAAGAAAATTTGCATCCTCACGTGGCGCCGCCCTGGCGAAGTTAAAATTGATTTTTTTGCAGACCCCTTTCCTAGCGTGTTCTTATCAACACTCTAAATTTGATGGTGATCAGATGAACGGTGTCAATCCGCAAACGACTTTTATTTTTATACTAGGCATGCTGCCCAGCTTCGCTTAGGCTTTCGAAAACATTGAGAATTTTAATGCTTAATTAATTTTCCCCAGGGTCGGTCTACGACCTCATGAGTTATGAAGAGGTTTTTACGTGGACATTTTTTTTCGATTTATAGCTCATATAAGGCGCCGGTCAATCGAGGTCAGTTTTGACCCCCTCAGCGTGTTCTGTCGCCCCAAGGCAAGATCCTGCCAAATTTGAAGCGCCTGCGGCGCCGGGAAGTGCCCTATCGGGCACCCGACTACATTGCTTTATATATTATACAGATTAGCAAATTGCATAGATAAACAAAGATTTCAATAAAGTAATTAAGGCCTGAAATACTTTAGTATAGAAATGTATTATTTTAATAGATTCTAGATCTAGGTAGT